CTTGCCCCTATCTCGAAGTCCCCACACTGCAACCATTAACTGCGCTGCCTCATCTGCTCAGACTCTAAAGCAGCTAAAGAAAAGAGATGGTATCGCACATAAACAAGTAGTCAGTGTTTTCATGAAATATGCAAATACTTACAGAAACAGAATATGATGAAGCGATATGCAAATGACATGACCCCAAGACTGACCAGATATATACACAAAGTTGCATTTGGAGGACACTAAAAGTTTGAATGCAAATGCTGCAATATTTTTGTGTGAATATAACCTATTGGTATGATGGTCCTAAAAGTGCAGTATGTACCCCAAAGAGTTTTGCTTTGAATGTTTCGCAATATGGCACTAAAGGTATGTCCTGCATTTATTCAAGCATAGGGGTTTTATAGCTCAAGAATATTTTAAAAACATGTATTCTTACTGAGGGTGGTTCCCACTAGCTTGATTCATCAGCTGGTTTCACTTCGTGGAAACCGTCTGACCTCGCAGCATTAGGATTCATTCACACAACTGTAAACAGGTCCTTTTTTTATTTAACCAATCTATTTGGTCATGATGTATGTAATGCACCGCGAACAGGGCTAACTGGTATATTAAGCTTTTCCCAAATTCCGTAGGAAGAAGGGCAATAACTTCCTCCTTGATAAAATTCACCAAACATTCTCTTTGTTTCGGCTTTTAATCGTCAGTCTCAGGAATCGTTGTCAACACAGAATATTTGACTCTTCGCTGATTGGCAGGTGCCCAAACTCGCACTTCCGGGGTTCTTGCAAACCGTCTTGTGTATTCTGATTCCTGACCTAGTCGTTCGAGAGAAATGAAATAGAGCGGAGGAACTAGGTGTCGCCAGCCTGGCCAGGTTTCCACACAACAGACTGGTAACTTGGCTGCCATTGCCGTCACTTTAATGCCATACTGTGGATTACAATTACTCCATATCTCCATAGTACCCTGTGGTGAAACCTGGACCAGAATCCTTATATATTATAAAAAATAAAATAAAAATTAAACATTTGAACAGGTTTTCTAAATGTAAGATTTTCTTATTCACCTACACTATTTAAACATGTCAACATATTTTTCTTATCATATTTTTATTGGTGTTTCATGTTTTGTTGTAATGTATGTTTAATTGTCCCCATGTTTCAACAGTAGTATATTTATTTTCAAATCTCAAATCTATAGGCAGTTAACAAGCCTATTGTACAGTTTCCCATATGTTTTATCATAAATGTAAACAAATGAGCTGCACTCGGCTAGTGCCCAGTTTGTTATCGCAGGTTTAAATAAATCAATAAACTAAAATATTTTGGCTATAGTTTTCAGGGTAATCCTCTAGTCACCTAGTCACTAAATACACATTCAAAACTGATAAGACCTATCCCCATATGCTTCTTGATAATAGGCTCATTACACAGGCACAACAACATGAAGTCGCAGATACATAAGACTCTCATTAACACCAATTAAGCCCTGAGCAAAAAGCATTATGAATCTGCTGCTTCAACCTGCAGTGCTGTAGATAGGAGAGTCTCACTGAAGCTCTTTGCCTAATAAGACACTGGACTTATGATGTATTAACAGCCTAGAAAACACATGCTACTGGTGAGTAATGAACATGAACCACTGGGGTTTGTGTGAGCAGAGGTAATTGCTAACCACATCACTCTGGGTTATGTAATGCAGAAGTAGAAATTAGATACATAATGATGAAAACAAAATCATAAGAAGGGATTCAAATGACTAAAATGCCGTTTGAAGTAAAACGTCGTATTAGTAGATAATATTACTTAGAAGTCGGTAAGTTTTCATTAAAATTGTCGTTTTCAATCGGTCTATTTTCACTCCTACTTGAGTAATGTTTAGTTTGATAGTACTTGAGTCAAACTTTGAGTTACTTTTCCCATTGCAAATAAGTGTCTAATGATGAGTATATATTGACAATAATATAATAAATATTTGTGTTTCTTGCACCACTCAACAACATATATGTTACAATTACATTACTCTTACTTGAGTAAAGGGTTCCTCAAATACTTTTTACTTTCATTTGAATATTTTTTTGGATTAACACTTTTTTGATTTATACTTTTACTAGAGTAATATTATTTTGAAGCGACATTTCCCTGTCAGTTTCTGCTGTCAGAATCACGTTATATGCATTTATATGAAAGTATTTGTCCAAAGTATTTCTCCACATAGCAGACATCTTTGCTTTTATGATGTTCTTTTAATGTTGGCTCTAGTGATGAGATAATTAAAACTATTTACAGAATGGGTATTGTGCCAAGTAACAAAGCACTGAGCAATATGTTAATCTACACATTCCTGTAACACTTCTTGTAACTGCTTTCCCAGGTTGTTCTTTTTTGGATGTTTGCACACAACAAATGAACTTCTGAACACAAAAACCAGGGTGACAGAGGTGTGAAAAGCGCAGATGGCTGTACAGATGTTGCGGAGTTAATGAAAACATCTGGAGGAGAAACATGTGTAAATGTGTGTGAATCCACCCACCTGTGTATCTGAGAGAGCCTTTAGTAATTGTGAAGACAACTGTGAGTCCTCCATGCAGAAGACAGCCAGGTCCAATCACATCACTTCTTCTCTCAATGAAGATTTTATTGATTTGCCAGGAAAGCTCCGTAGTTTACAATTAAAAGTACACTGGAATTAAAATGTATTCAATTACAAGCTGTTTAATTGTTCAAACTAGATATAGATGGTTAGGCATCACAATTGACCACTGGGGCTAATTCACACAAGAGCAAAGGATAGTGTTTTCTAGAGACAACATCTTTTTGCCTTGTTATACTTTGCTAATTATCTAGTGGCACATTTCTCCTCTGACTGTGTAATATTCACAGTCGGACAGTAGAGGTCAGGTTTGTAAAGGATGTTGCTTATGTTGTGACTATAAGAACAGGGCAAGATATTTGTTCATGTCTCAACACTGAAATGTTGTGAGACTAATTTTCCTCACATCTAATAGTAAGTAAAACAGGTTCATAGCTCCTGCGTCACATGCAGGAGCTATAAACCTGACTCTTCAAGAGACAAGAGTCAGGATTAAAAGTCCTAACTTTTGTGATCTTTAAACCATGTCCTCATCAAAAACATATATTGAGTTATCAGTATTAACAGCTACCCTTTACATTTAGTTCAGCAGAGATTGGCAATTTCAGGTCTGAAATTATCCAAATGATGTAATGAAGGTGTATGGCATTTAAAAACATAATGGAGCATTTCCTGTATTACCTTATGACGTCACAAGGTGGAACAGGGTGTTTTCTGTTTGAGAGAAGAACTCATCCAAAAGACCCTTTATGTGTTACAGCTGTGTGAATTAAACAAAGCAAAACTCCAGGCATGTTTTTGATGAGTAAATAACATTATAATATAGATCAGAAAATATCATAATATGGGCCCTTTAAACAACTAAATGTAGGTCTTATGTTTGCTGAAACATGTGGTTAAGGTGTGCCCATGTTTTATTTAATTAATTAATTTTTATTGATTTATTTATTTTTAAATTTTTGGTTTTGTTTGCGTGTTTTTCAATTAAATGCAATAATTATTTTATACAAAATGCATAATGTCTCTTTGCACTCTGGCCTACAGGTCTCCACTCAAAGTAACATTGTACAGTAATCTGTGAGAGGGAAACTGAGGTGTGTCTGTGTACCTGGACAGTGCCATAATCCCTCCACTCTCTCACGACTCCGGATTAAGTGGCTATAAATATGAGTGGGGAGGCCCATGCATGTCTGTGCAATCCTGCCATTGCATGTGTGTGGCCTTTTGACTCAGGTACTTCAAAACAAAAAAACATCTTGAAAGTTTGTGTGCAAGTGTAGGATTTAAGATTGTAAAGGATTTTTGGTATATATCAATGTCAGGTACTGGCAAATGTGGAAAATGTAATATATTTAGCAAAGTTCATTTTAAAATTTATTTATACATTTATTTGTTGCATTGGGCTAAATGTGCCTGTTGATCCGAAATTCAATTTGCATCATGCATTGATTACCAAGATGATATGAAGACCAAAGTTAATAGACACCAAGCAAGCACTATAGCTTTTGTAAAATACAATATAGATTTAAATCATATTTTTGTCATAGTAAACAAGACTTCATTCTGTGATCTTCAGTCCAAAGTCAGAAGTGAGAGCATTCAGTGGCCTTGCGCATGTCCATCTTAATCTGTGTTGAGCTGTTGTCCACACCAAGGGTTAAACAAGCAAAGCCCTGAGACTTAAGGAGGATCCTGCCGTGCACATGGATAACTACTGCTACTGGAGTGGACAATGGCCGTTAGTGGATCTTATAACCAATAATTTTCAAGAGAAGTCCCACATGCCTTAATCCTGCTTTGAAGAGACTGAAAGGCTCGATCCAAATTATTATAGAAGGAAACTATTGATCAAGTACAGAGTTTTGTGGTCAATATGAAGGCCCATGTTTGTGTACGACAAAACAGTGGAAAGTTCTGAACAAGGGACACAAGAAATCATGAAGATGTTTCAGGACAAGCAACTGTTGAGGGTAAGTGTGACTGACTACACCAAATGGACATATGTATTTATAGAAGATATAATGTTTGTTTAAATTATATTCATTGAAGACTAAAAAAACATAAACGCGTCCCTGTGTTTTGTTCTTTTCTGCTTACTTAAAAAAATCTTTGTAGCTTAATCGAAACTTATTTTACAAATATGCCTTGGAGCAAAACATAATTTGAACTTTAAATTCCTGCAAATATTTTTTTAATTGCCAAAGTTGGTATGATGGGGTCATTTTCAATCCATAATAAAACTGACAGGTTAGACTTGCTTGCAATTGCCAGTATGAGCACTAATTGCATTTAAGTTATTACTGACACTGCCATCTATAAATACAGGCAAAAATGATCTTTATGGAGCTGCTATGGCCTGCATTTGCCACTAGGCGGGGGTATAGGTCTGCTCATTGTAGACTCCTGAGCGCCCCGTGTGGCTTTAACACTTTGAGTCTCAGCACTCTGCTTATGCTGCCTGTGCTGTGTTTGGACAAACATTTGGCCGCAGACTTTTTCTCTCACCGCTTTTCGAGGTAACATCCAACCCTAAATATTACATGCATGCGTGTGCAAGGATCAGTAATGGGGAATTTAAGAGCAAAGAATGCATAAGCTGATATTAGATGAATGATTAACAAAATAATATGTTGCGTTTATGAATTGGTTTCTGTCGTCTACGTGCTATGTGCTGGCACAGGTGCAGTCCCCTCGGTAAAACTCTCTGTTAATTATTTAATGTTTTCGTTTGAAATATTTGAGTGTTTTATTATGAATGTATTTTAGTGTTAATTTGATTGCAAGTGTGTCTTGTAAGATCAATAATAATTGGCCTGTGTGCACACCTGTGGATCTGGGGCTTTCTTGTTTTTTTGAGAATGTGAAGTGTGGAGCTGTTCATCATCAACTTCTTTGTTGAGATTTAATATGATTTCTATTAACTGAGTTCTGCAGCAGTAAAAAGTTTTTAGTCAAGAGTCAAGTTTTAAGAGTTTTAAGAATGTTTAGTGAACATTCCAGTTTTAACATGGATGCACTGTGTAACTTTTCTGGTGGGAGTTCAGCACCTGCTTGTCTCCATGGAGATGTTGCCTGGAATCTTACAGTATAGCATGAAATGTATTTATCTTATACTTTTTCAATTACTCATGCATTCTCATTGTGAGTGAGCTGTCTCTCCACAGATGTGATGCCCTGGTAATGCTTGCCTTCAAGGAGATAATAGGTTTGGAAAATTTACGACAAAGCAATGACATATCTCCATGGAGACAAGCAGGTGGCGGACTCTCCACCAGAAAAGTTATGCAGTGCACCTTTTAACTAAAAGTCCAAAAATGTTTTGCATTTGAATCAAATTCAATCCATGCTCTATTTGGCCAAATTTCTAATGTATATGTATTTGTAAATCGGATCAGATAAGACATTTGTCCCTGATTTTCTCCAGAATTTGCCCTCTCCTGTTGTGAGGAATCCATCATTCGGCCTCTTCCTTCTGCACCATGGAGTACTGTACGCCCCAGCCCACCCGGCGCCACAACCCCGTGGACAGCATCTGTAAGAAACTGCAGACAATCCAGTGGCGCCGTGAACGGGAGCCCAACTCGCCTTTTCAGATCCCCAAATTCTCCTCCAGCAGCTATGATAGTCCCCAGTGTGGCCTGAGAAGCAACCTAGAGGCTCTGCTCAAGAAGGGGGCGCTCTACAGGGAACTCATAGACCGGGAGAAGGACAAAGCTATGGGAATGCCCAGCTCTGCAGCCTCCAATAGAACCAGCATGGGCCCACCTACTCCTGTGGCTACTCCTGCAACTCCCAATTACAAACCTACTACATCCAATGTGACCTACACTATAACTAGTACGCTTGGGGAGAGGAAAGGAGCAGATGGAAACGATTTGAAGCATGTTAAAATGTGGCAGAGGTATTGTTCCACGCCCACAAACAACACAAATGACTCCCCATACTTCACGTTTACGCGAGGGCAGCAGTCTGTGCAGCCTGACAGTGAGAGAGCCAAAAGGAGTCCGCCCACGATGCACACTTTCACGCCGTTTCACACAACAGCGTCATATAACCTGAACTTTAGCTCGGCCGATGCAACGAATACCACGGAGTGTGAGGTGCCCTACCCAGCACTGGTGGTCAAGAGGCTGTCTATGGGAGATACAGGTAAGGGGGTAAGAGGTTCGCTCAAGTTTAGGCATGCATAGGCTTGTCATGATAACAAATTTTGAAGTGTGATATATTGCTGGAGTAAATGTAGACAATAAACAATAATACTGAAAGTAATTTATGCCACTGACACAATAACCCAAGATCAGATTTAATCCTCAAAAACAATTTTAAATGTTCAATATTATTAGAAAATCATGAGCTGCAACAGAAAAATGGCAGAATGAAACACTTAAGTACTTAATTTGCATTTGGTATGAGGCATAGAAGTTATTATTTCAATCTTTTATAGCTTTGAATCTTATCATATAGCCAAAAAATATCCCAGAATTTTCCAGTATGGCAAAGAAAATGTACCACACAATAATGTAATAATATTGAGCCCAAAAATATATAGTTCCAGCTTTCATATATTGACGATATTAAATGAAAAGCAAAAAACATTTGCTATTCTTACACCTTAAACTTTTTCTTATCTGTCTTGTGACCATAATCATTGCACTGGGACTTTGTAATCCCAACCTTTGGCAGTACATGTGGTTTAAATAGTTGATTAGGCTTTGGAGGAATAAAAATGGGAACTTTTGGGACTGGAGAAGTAAGCGTCCTTTTCCGTTTAGGCTATGGTTATGACACATAGTTTATAATACAAAAAAACAGGTCTACTTGATTATAATGAAAATCATGATGACAATTATTCTAGTGGCCTGGAGTTTGTCAAGATATTTTCAAAATATTATTTATATTGTATTTCTCACATTCACTTATTCAACTGTGTCCTCTTTTCTCACAGCATCTCTTGTTCCACTGTATCCATAAATCTGTACCTTGCTCTTTCTTTAACTGACTTTACCCTGACCCTATGTCCACTGTCTATGAATGAAAAAGAAAATCTGTAAACGACATACATTGTGACCAAGTAATAAAAGCTGTGGCCTTGAGATATTTTTGCTTGTCTGTCTGATGCTCCACAGTGACTGTTGCTGTGCCTCCAGGCCTCTGTATCATGTGTTGTTTCCTCTTACACAACTCTTACTGTTTGATGCAATTTTAGGAATGTCCACAGCAGATGGGAAAAAGGGGAATATGGCAGAAATCAGCCTCATTTGTGAAGAGAACCTGCTCGACACCATCTTCCACGCCTGCGACACACAGCGAAGAGGTATACACCACACATTTACTCTAGTACAACTCTCCATACTTGGGTCACATGTGGTCCTGCATATAGGCAGCTGATGATGGATAGTAAGCATACATGTAGTTTCTTTGAATGTAGTGAAAGCCTGTTTATTGAGGCAGTCACACTGTAGTGGCCTGTGCTTTTCCCGCCTGTGGCATTGGACGCGCTATGAGCAGTTTGTGAGTTTGTTCATTCAGAAGAAGAGGTGAGACAATTTCAAGTTAAGAAGTTTTTATCGACTCAGGAATATTTTTTTTTCTTCATCCGCTACTTTTCAGAGATCTATTTCAGGTGACTAATTGCATTTATTTTCTTTGATATGTTAGTTATTATTTGTAATGTAGAGGAAGAGGAATGTATGTTTTTACATGAGTGTAAGCCTGTCAATTACTACACCATCTTATTTTTCAATGTGGTGGTTTTCATTAATTTAAGAGACTATGGTGGTTCTTCATTGTATAATAAAAGTAACTATGTTTATTCTGGATTTTTTTTTTCTATCAGTTAAACATAGTTACAGTTACTCACATGTTTTAAATAAAAGGATTGGTAACGATTGTGCCACCATAGTCTCTATATAAGCTTGTGGGAAACACTGCAATAAATAAAAGGTACACAAGAATTTTTGAACTCAATTGATACAGAAATGTGCCTGTTGTGCCTGGTTTAGTTTACAATATGAGGAAATCAAGGAGTGTTTTTCTGTTGTCCCTGATGGTGGTTATACTTGGTCTCTTATTTATTTTCAGTGGTGGATGTATGTTTGGGCTTATGTTGCTGTGTGGTCTTTTCGTTTTCTTAAAGCATTATCATATTGTATTAATATAAAGTAGGGATATAACAATAACCGAAATATCATGGTATCGTATTGTCAAAAGTCTCACAATATCATGGGAAGTGACAATATATCATACTATAAGTCTCTTTGCTTAAATTCATTGTTATGGTGCAGTAGCAAAACAGAGGGAGCTACACAGACCATGATCCTTTGGCCTGTTTAAGTGCAGACTACATGAAGAACTATTATTAAGCACTTTTAAATCTCAGTTCTTTGAATTATGACAGAACCAAAGTCTTTTCAAGGCATTTTAAAAGGAAAAACTAGCATATTCATAATTATTTCAGCCTCCACAAAATATCGCAATAAATATCATACCGTGAGATGCATATCGTGAAAATACTTTATCGGGATTTGAATTTTGTGACATCTCTATTATAATGTGCTTTTAATCTCAGGTAAAGTGTACGTGTCCCATATCGTGGATTACCTGCGTCACACGACCAGCCGCTCCTCAGAGGACAGTGGTCTGGAGGAGCTGTGTAACATGTTGGACCCTGAGCACAAAGACGTCTCCATTGACCTGGACACTTACCATGCCGTCATGAGGGAGTGGATCGACGACTGCCGCAACAATGGGTGAACACACACAGGGTCCACTAAATACTTGTCTTCATGGAGATGTTTGTCTGGAATGTTTCACAATTTGGTATTAAAACTTTCTATCTTCATGGAGATAAGATCAGACCAGGACAGGTCAGATCTGTGCTATGAAATTGAGTAAATGTAAGGTAGAGGTGCTTAATGTCATATTGTGGAATGTTCCAGGTAGAGCAATGACATCTCCATAGAAACAAATGGGCTAAGGACCTTCCACCAGAAAAGTTACACAATGCAGCTTTTAACATTTGAGAGAAAACTGAAATATGATATGAATTAGGGGTGTCCAAGAATATTGAAATACTGATATCATGATACTGTATTTGGTGACACAGGCTTGTTATCATTTATATATTGCCAAGAGTATGTTTTGGTACTTTTTGGCAATTTGCTTGGGACCACACTTGTTGCTTATTTAGTGTAAGGAAACTTGTGATTCCCAGCCCTAATGTAAATTTATACAAGAATCCAAGGAATTGCAGAATGTGTTTGCACAGTGAACTACTAGTAAACAGGTACAACTGCATTTTTAAAGAGATAGTATTTTGTTATTTGCAGAGGAGATTCTACTGTCTTATATTTTGAATCAAATTTGCTTATCTTTAAAACATTTGGCATATGCACTTTCTGAACCTCTGTATGTTTGCCATATAAAATCTCCCCTTAAACTGTTTGTTTTATACGTCAACCAAATCAGCTGTTGTCTTCTGAGTCATCGCTGTGTAGGTGGATATGCAATGGTAAAAAATAACTGGCATATTTCTCGCAGTATGTTTCATAATAAAATTGTTTGAAAGTTAGAACAATTATACATATTTTTGTTTATAAAAATAACTCGGAACATACCACTGAAACTTTTTTAAACTGTTGACTGGCCACTGAATATATAACCCTGTATGACTCTTAGTTTACAAAGTTTCCTCTGTAGGCTAGAAAACTATATATAGATTATAGCTTCTCTCTTGTTCTCTTTCCGCAGGGAGGAGACTGCAGAGGAGGTCACACAAGACTCTGTGAAAATGAGAGACAGCATATCAGGTGATTTGTCTTGTGTGTAATTCAGTTTCTAGTTTTCTAAGGGTGTAGACTGAGAAACACTACTGCTTTACATCATTATGACTCATTCATGTTTTCAAACTGTGGTATATGTACCAATTCAGAGCATTAACAAACAAGCTCTTTCCAGTGGTGTGAAATATATTTGCTATAATATTTGCTTTATTTAAAGTCTATTTATTCATCCACATTTTGGTACTGCTTTGGGTATTGTCTAGGTTAGACCTTTGTTGTAGTTCAATTTTAGTATTTCTCATTCCTAAATTAGACCTGTAATAGACCAAGTTTAGATCTGGTAGTATTTGGAAAGCCAAATCTTTTGAGCGGTACTCGATGTGAAAATTTTGAGAACCATTTATCTAGATTTGTTCAATAATAGCCAGCTCTAATTCATTAGATTTTTGTTGCCATTACATAGCATCTGTCACATACGTTTACATTGAGAATAGTTTTTCATCATTTTTATTTGTACTGGTAGTAGTATTTCATTGATATGTTTTATGGTCGCTCATCTTATATCATTTTTATAGTTTTCTGTATTTTCACTTTAGCGAGAAGATCTATGCTGCTAAATATGACCTCTGGAAGCTTGGAGGCTTTTGGTGGAGAGGTTTCCAGGGTTGAATTGTAAGTGATTTGATTCTGCTTATAGAGTAAAGGCAATGTATCTCTCGCCCACTCATGGCCTAGATGCACTAAAAGTTGTATTTTTTTTCTAGTGAGACATCAGAGCTTATGTACTGCGTTACCGATCTCCAGCTGAATAACCAAAAACTGCAAGATGAGGTGAAAAAGCTGAAGCAGGTAGTGGAGAGCATGGAGGACACCAACCAAAAATTAGTTGAAGAAAGTGAAGGACTGAGGAACCAGGCCAAGACGTAAGGATGCATAATATATAGCAGTGTTGTCACTACTATACTAAAATTTAAAACTCAATTTTGATAGTAAGAAGTAGACATTATACTCAATACTGATTCCAATACCACAATGATAGTTAAAAAAAAACAAAAAACTCCTAGACAACACAATGTCATTTTCAACATTAAACCGCAGTCCTTTCTTGTTCCTCAGTCGTGCAGGTAGGTCCCATAGTGGTTCTGATACAGCCCAGGATCATTCTACCACTCATTTGAGTTATGTAAATGTGACAGTTGTAGTATCAATACCTGCTCAAATAAGTATCTAGTTTCAATATTTTTAGTGTTGATTAGTATCTGATTTTCGAAGATACACATTTTGAAGATACACATAGATGCTTTATATGAGGAGATGCATATTAACAAACTGAAGAGAAAGTTTTTTGTGTGTGTTTACTATTATGTCATGATTGTATTTCTTATATTTTTTCCTTTGTGTAGAAATCAGCAGTTGGCTCAGAAAGAGAAGATGTTGAAAGATGAAGTGGAGGAGATGAAGGCTACACTCAGTAATACAGAGGAGGGTCGGGCTCGTGCCTCTGCTCACAGCAAACACATGGTCAGTCCACAGAGATCTAACCTTTGATAATCCGCTGTGTGCGTATGGGGTATTAGGTAAATTAATTAAATAGGCATTACGCAAACCTGAACTTTAAATGAAAGTTAATCTAGGGCTGTAGTACTCAAATTAAGATTATAGGGACTGATATGATTTTGCAGCCATCCTTGTATTGTGAAAACATTTCAAATTAAGAATATGTTTTGGAAAATGTCCTCTAAGGCTCTGCTGGCTATCTATGAGAAAAGCCCTCTATTCCATTCCAGTATCAGGCGTGGCTGCTGTTGTGTTATGTTGTGAAAAATAATTTGTAATATATGGGGATTCACAATTTAAGGCACTAATTCTGTAACCTTGTCCTGTGATTTTACACGTTGTATCAGTCCCAAGCCTGGACTAAGGGAGTGTTTTAAAGATAAATCAAAGTTTTTTCGCAATACTATTACTTAAAAGTGCACCATGTCTTTATGGCAATGGGTCTGTCATCTGCTTGTCTCTATGATGATCTTATTGTTTTGCCTGGAGTGTTCCACAGAAAAGCACAGTATTTGTCTTTCTCCATAGAAACAAACAGGAAATGGCACAAAGTCTAGTTACAAGTCATATCTGTGGAGAGGTTACTCAGCTCACAGCAAAAACACAAGATGTTTTTGATTAATAAAAAAAAACCTATAACTGAATAAATGCATTTTAGACAAGTGTAATACCATACTGTGGAACATTTCAGGCAAAGTAATAACACGTCTATGGTTACGGACCCCAGAAATATTGCCTGAAAACGTTAGATTTTGTACCTGTTCTTTAAATCATGATGCACATGAATAATAATAAACTGCTAATGAATTCATTTTAAAATGTCACTGATGTCTGTGTGTGCTGTTTTAGGAGAGAGAGAACCAGAGTCTCATTGCAAAGATCGCTTCTCTTCAGGAAGAGGTAGAACTTTAGTTAGATCTCATTAGTTGCAGTAACGTACTCTTGTGCCGCTCAAACATTAACCCAGTGACAAGTCTAAACTGACGCTGTCTCTGCAGAACTTTAAGGTCACCATGGAGACGGACGAGCTTCAGAAGCGGATCTCGGAGCTGTGTGACATTAACGCTGACCTTCAGGTGCCCCTCTCCTCAGACAAACTCTCTGCCATTTTATTATATTATTCTGTTTCTATTTTACCCACACATTACCTGGCTTCTTAATCAATATCTTCTTCCTTTGAATAAAAAAACTGTATCTTTGTATTACATGTTCTGCAGGTGCAGATTCATTCTTTTGATGGGGTCTTGAGTGAAAAGGATGTAGAGCTACAAGAGGTCAGGGACAGTTTTGATTAATGTTTACTCCATTCTTATTGCTCCTTTTCTGCCAGCCTCAGTCGGTGTTCATATTTGCGCATTGCAGCTGCCGGAAATTTGGAGCTGTGTTGAAATGTCACTATATCCTAGTATTGCTCAGAGAAATTGAGTGTAATTTGTATTGCCAAAAATCCTTGGGGGGAATATGTGTACTTTTACTCAAGTGAGAGCTGTAATATTCATAAAGAGTCACACAATGTGACAGCAGTAGTAGTCACTGTGGTAACTTTTATAGTAACTATAGAGCATTTTAAGATATGCACTTTACCAAAATATAAATTATTATGTATAAAATTATAGTTCATGTACAGTACTTAATGTGTCTTTGTATTTTACAGAAAATGAGGCAGATAAATGAGCTGAAGGCTACAGTAGAAGAATACTCATCCATCACAGAGGTGTGTTTTGTTCTATTCTAAATTTTACAGAACTATGTCAGGAGAGCTGCTCCGTGTTTGAAGCCCTCACTTTAGTTTTTGAGTGATGAGGTAATCGTGTGGGAAGCTTGTCACCTGGAAACCTGCAGGTCTCTGAGGTTGCTGCAAGTACAGCACTGAGTCACACTGACTTTTAAATACAGCCATGTGCCAGTTGAACACAAAGTGATGGGCTGTTGTTACAGTAGTACAGTAGTACAGTACAGGCAGTTCAAACATGTTTTTTTTCTTTGTTTTTACTGTCAATTCTGCCCATTCAGCTGTTAAGAGCAGACAAGAGCAAACTGGAGAACCAAATGCAGATGCTGCATCCAGACCTCATCGGGTATGTGGGGGGGATCACAGATGCCCTAGTGCTATTTTTGTATATTTATATAATGATTATTTTATTTATTCTTCAGGGGCCTTTCCTTGTCAGTGGCTTACAGGTTAAACCAGAGCATCACTGGATCTTTACAGTCCGAGTTGGCTTTGGCCCAGTTTCCTCTGGAGGTCTGTACCCCAGAACTCTGCTGTCATTGTATTCACAGTATAGTAAATAAAAACACCGTGTAACTCTTGTTTTGCTGCAGCCTCTGGTGGGGGTGGACCCTCTGAGCACCACTTCCCTGGATGAGACCCTGGACAAAGAGGTGCTACTGATGATGCAGGGGCCCAGTCCAGAGCACATGTCCCAAGAGTTCAAGAACATTGTCAACAAACTGGTCGGTCTCATCTTGTTCATTTATGTTCACATTATATGCTTATAGGTTAACTCTTTTGATATTTTTCTAGAAACATAATTTACTAGAAGAAACAGGCACAGTGATGTGTACAGTGCAAGGGTTGCTGGACGACCACACAAAAATGGGATTCAACACAGACAAGTCACTTCAGGTCATACACATTTTCATGCACTTACTGTATTTTATAATCAACAAATGAATTAACTGTAAAATATTAATCTCTAGCACCATACAGTTTCAAGTATATTTCTGTTTCTAAACCTTATCAGTGAAGAAAAATGGCTCTCATATGCTGAGATAAGAATGGGAGATATATGCCAAACTAATATAAAATAGTTTTCTGAATAAAGATTAAAAAGTAAATCAGAATCATTTAAGAACCTTTGTACTGTTTTGATTAAAAAAATAATAATAATCAATGACACAGCCTTCAAAAATAAAAGTGGAAACCCTGAATCCAGCTTTATGTAATGCGTCTCCCACGGCGACTAACACCTGTTGCCTTCTCTCCCTCTGCATAACTCTGCTGCTGCCGATCTGCATTTTCTCTGTATCTTCCCACCCACGTTTTCATTTTTCTGTGGAGATCTTTCACTTACATAACTGTCCACCAGGCCCCATCCGCGCTGTGCAGTGCTGTAGTCCGTGTGTTGTACTCCCCTCCTCCTCTGGCACTTTGATTCTCTATCTCTCTCTTTCTCTCTTTTGCTTCCCCTCCCGCCTCATTATTGCTACTGTGTGCATTCATTACACACGTTTGGCTCTAAACAGCAAATGAGGTAGCAGTAGCATTCTTAACCAGGAATTTTCCTTTTCACTTTTTGCAAGGATGAAAGTTGCATCATTTTGATGCTTTTGAAGACTGCCTGGATGCTGGGGACCATATTGAAATTTTGACCTTTTCGGCCTCTTTTTGGCAGGCGTTCCGGGCCGAGCTGGACACCAGGAGGGCGGACTGGGCCCACAGCCTGGACCAGCTGGCCCAGTACACGGACTCATTGGAGAAGGAGCTCATCAAAATGGCCAGTAACATGAGGAGGTCCCGTACTGAGATTCTTCACCTCTCTGTCAGGTGAGTGTTTGAGTGAACGTGTGGGCTGTCAAATGCTCGTGTGTTTTTTATGTATAACACCTGGAGTGAAGGAGGTACATGAGTTTTGCTATTTTGAGACAGAGTGCGTAATTTGGACGTTATAAGGAGGCATGAGGCTGTCATTGGATGAATGAATTAGTGGGTGGAGTCAGAAGTTCATGTTTAGATAGTTTGGGTAGTGTTTTAGATAGAAAACTCTGGGGTGAAACGAGCTGTCATGTTTAAGAATGTTGTAAAGCAGTGATGTTAGGGAAATAACAGAAAAGTGGTACTTGTAGACATTAGGAGTTGTGAATTGTGAATAATGAAAAATGCATCCCTTGTTTGATAAATGTGATAATACTACATGCTAGGTTGTTCTGTTTTGTAAAGGTTTTGGTCATTGAAGTCTTATTTGTTTTATTCTTTGTTGTCATGTGCCCTGTGTTATTAGCTTTTAAAAAAAATAATAAAATTTATTTATTTTTTAAACCTAATTAGGCTGTCATTAGCATTAGCCTTAGCATCATAAAGTGCCAGCAGTTACCCTAGGTCCAGTAAATACAGGAGCATGCCTTTCTCACTGACAACATGAACTGTGATTTGTTATGTATAGAAATAAAACCTGGAACCTTCTAGCTGTGAGGTGAGAGTACTACCCACTCAACCACCAAGCTGCCATTTGGAGAATAGTTTATACTTTGAATGTAGATATTTCACCTTTTGTGTGTTACATGGCAACGAATAAAAGTCTGTCTTGTCTTATGCAGGAAACTAATGTGCAGTTCAGATTGAATCCTAACTCTGTGGACTCTCTGCTCTATACAGCTTTACCTTAATTGGTCACTTTTATGCAGTCTGCCTTAAGCTGCTCTCTGACCTCTTGAACCTTTGGAGATCCCGCCTCACAGTGTGGGCTTTGGTCCAATCCTGGGTAAAATCTGAGGGTTTTCCCTGGTTTGGAGCTGCTCATGCCCCTTTGGTACTGAATATAAAACACTGCTTGATATTATAACTAGGAGTCTTAGTGAACCTCTGTTGCCAGGGTGAAGCATTATTTAGCAGAAAGAAAAGGCAAGAAGGCTTGTTAAAGGTGTAGCACGACTTTTTGTATGTGTAAAACCAATTAGGGACATTGTGTGGCCTGGAAGAATGGTGCTATGGTGAAGAGATGGACCTGCTTCTGTAGTGGTTATTTTTCTTGAAAAGTTTGAATTTGAGAAAGTGATTTTTAAAGTTGTAAAAGCTCAGTGGATAAGCTGATAGTGGTCATCCTGGGAAACAGAATGGGACACTGCATGGGCCTGCGGACTGGGTACAGTATGTCCAATGTTCTCTCCTTTCACCTTTTGTAGATGGTTAAAAATACCTCACATCCCTTTTTGGAAACGGGAGTTGGGTGAGTTATTGAATATTTTTATGTTGTCTTTGGGGCAGGGTGCAGGAGCAGGAGAACCAGAAGAGGCAGCTGTGTGAGGAGCTAGAGCAGCTGCGGACCCCCCAAGACAGCAGAGAAGCTTCATGCCAGACCCCTGCAGCTGAGGAGGAGGTGAGGGCTCATAAATCTCTTCATATTGATCATTTGAAAAATTGAAATCTTGTCAACTCCAAAGTGCATAGTAGCGTTATCTTGATTTTGTTTTTTTGCAGCTACTATCTTTAAACTCAACAACATTTCAAACACTTCAGACGATCTCCTGTCCTAAATAGACAATTGTAAAATTTGTTTAGTGTGTTTTAAACCAAAATAGGTACATTTATTTTGCTGCCCCACTAGTTGCAAAATGTTAATTGCAACAAACTATCTTTTTCATATTAATTATTATTGCTTTAATTACAAGTGTATCCTGCAGCAGCATTTCTAAAATCTATTTTCAGTGTTCTACACATGTGTAAATTGTGGCTGGATTATCAAGAAAGATACATGAATGAAAATTTCAAATACAGTGGACAGTATTCCCTGTAAGGACAATGAAGTAAACTTCAACTTCACTTTATTATGTTCCCTAGGGACAATAGTTTCTCAGTCAGTGATAACAATTCACAACAACACAGTTTGTGCGAGTGCACAAGGACATAAGTGTAACCATCCTTCACCGCTTTCAATTCCACCAGTGTTTGTTTTTGCAGAGTCACAATTTAATAATTTACCAAAAAAATGCAGTGATGTTGTTTTTAACATACCATGACCACCTTTGCTTGAAACATAATTTGATGATGCATCTTTTACATTGACACACAGAGGCATATCTGTTTTGTAAGTCAAATTTGTTTGTGCAGTTACCATAGCTATAATCAATGCATTATTAGAAATTGCATTTGATGTGCATTACTTTACAAAATTATTACTAAAATAGTTGCTTTGTGAGTGGCATGAGTGCAGTGAGGCAGATGGAGCAGAGAGTTGGCGGCTCAAGTGGTGCTCCTTCACACAACGAGCCCAGCGCCACACGCCCACGCACTCTGCTCTGACCACTGCACAAGATACACGCACACACACACAAACACGCTATGCTTCTACCACTGCACAAGATATACACACACACTCACTCTTCTCGTACTACTGCACAACATACGTGCACACGCATGCGCTCTATTCCTACTCCTCCTACTATACAACCTTAGCCATAATTATTAAATGCATAACCTAACCCATATCTTAATTTTAAATCATATTGTTGACCTAATAATTACGAATGTATGTTATGGGGACCTGATTATATCCCCATAATGCAGGTTCCCGTGAATTGAGGATGTATACAGATTTTAACCTACAAAATGTGCTAAATACCCACGCACACACTGCACCATCATCTAATACACTTCAGACTGCTAGATTTACATTAGTGTTTATTCTCTTGCGTACACAGTTCACTATCACTATCTGTGCATGTAGGTGGTGTCTAATCATTTTATCTTGTTTAGGTGTGAGTTAAAACATAAATCTACATACAGTCCTATTGGTGGAAATTACTTGCAAAATATGTGACCCATAGGAGATAATTAGTGCTGCGTAGTGCATATTATTTGTATCATGTATGTATATGAATATAAATCTTAAACCATCTACTAACAAGCAGATTCTGAAAATCTTGATTTGAGTACATTTTGACAAGGTGAGGAAATGGCCGATGAAACAAGTCATATTCCGTTTAATGTAATAAAAAACAAATGTGTTTTTAACCCAAAATATGACAAAAGCATTGTGATGTAGCCAAAATTATGTAAAGAAGGCTGTTTATTCATTGCTATACTAACATATTAACTAACGCATTCTGTGCTAATTTTGTGTTTTCTCTTCAGCCCGGACAGGACTTGGATTGGGACGAAGAGTTTGACATTCAAGATTACATGAAGAATGAGGAGGTAACCAACAACTACTGCAGCGTGGACGTGGGACCTCCAGAGGGTCCCCAAAGTGAGGAGACAGGACACAAGAGGACAGAGAAAAGAGACAAGGAAGGAAACGAGGAAGGAGACAAGAGGGCAGCGAGCCTGGCCGAAGACTCAGACGCTAAGGAGAAATCCACCCTGTACATCAACGTGTACATGGAAACACAGAGCAGACAGGAGGCTCTGGAGACCCATCATGGTAAGAAACATGTTAAAAGAAAACTTAAACTTTTAGCTATAATTGGACAAAACCACTGTATCCCATGTGCTTTGGTGACGCTCAAGACTCACTCCACCAAATATGGCTAAATATGAGCTAAATGTTGAAGATGCTTGACAGGCACTTGTCCTGTTTTAGCCCTGGATCTCTCATAGATCAGTGGACTGTAAGCTTTGGCTTATACTGTCTGAAAATGATCTCATGAGCCTGGTGCCATGATGAGAATGACAATCCAGGAAAACAGGAAGTCTTTACCTTATATGTGCACTACAGTTGTGCAGGAATCACATGTATTATGCTGTACCAGTAATATTACTTTACACAACACTATTGTTTAAATGTTGGTATTGCACAATTGTGTTTTCACACACTCAATATTTCAGATTTGCATTCTTTAAAATATTTCTTTTTCTTTTCTTTTATTTATACATTGCCCATATCTGGAAGCTATACATTACATCTGTGTTTATTACACATTTGTTTTGTTGTTAATATAACATGGTAACTGTATATAATCAGATTTCTACAGTTGACTAGATTGGAAACAGCTTTGAAATTTAACTGTCAAATTTTGATACCATAAACATGATTTGTTAATTGAAATTGCAAAGCAGCACATCACATACATTTGTTTGTCACCTGTTCTCTCTTTGTATTGTGACAATAGTACTACTACGCATAGCTTTCTCTTGATCCAGTTAAAAGGAGATTACAGGAGGTTTTTTTTGTCATTGACTGTTGTCTGTGAGAGAGATCATCCCCCTGTAATCCAAGTCACAGGCCACTCAAGACCACAGCTCAGAGCACACACAGAAACAGCACATACACAGTCAGAGTACACATACAATGAGCAGCAGTGTTAAACTTTTGTTTTCAAATGGAGCAAAGACCTCGGGGCAGGTTTTAAAGCAGATCTATTATGCAAAATCGACTTTTTAGTCCAAAAGTCATATTTGGAGTGATTCATGCGTCTTTGAGCAAGCTTTAATCGCTTCTTTGCCAACAAATTTATGGCTCTTTGTCCTAACTTTTTTTTGCCGTGCACCTCCCTGGTCCTCACTGGATGGACACTGGATGACACTGCAGTTTTCTAATGCAGAAAACTGTGGACTTGATTCTTTTTTGTCAAGTCATTTTAGATGAATATTATAACATAATAAACCATGTGTGTCATAGATTATAACTATGACTAACAAGTATAGACACAGACTCAAAAGAATGAACAGATTCAGGGCTAAAGGGCTTTATTTGCTATTTTTTTGTCAATTGATTGATTTTTTTTTTTGTTTGTTAGTGTCTTGGCTCTGTATGTCCAAAATTGCCTACATTTGCAATAAGGAAGTTCAATCACCACTTACCTCTAGACTACAAGATATTTAGGTTTAAATTCAGATCTGAAAACTGTATCCTTAACATTACCATCAGATCAGGACCAGTGCTTGTAGTGTGATACTAGTTTTATTTCTCTTATTTCAATTCTATACATTAATTCATATCCCTTTTTGCATATTTTTGTATCTCTAGAAAAATCGTTTTCCAAAAATACTTTAAAGGGAGAGCACAGTTGGTCTTGAGCCAGAGCCTATTATGGAGGTAGTGTGGTGGTTTTGTGACGGTTGTGTGAAATCCTCTTCTTCCCAAGGTCCTTCTAAGGCCAGGTGTCAGTCCACTGTGGTGCCTCCAAGGCTCTAATCCCTGCTCCTGTGTCTTTTTTGCTTGAGCGTGTCACAGACAAAGACATGAATCACATCCACAAACGGAGAGATGTGGTCATTAACGCCATCTCAGCCATGCAAGCAGCCACTCCTCCCACTGAAAACATTGTATAATTGTCATTTTCACCATTTATGGAAAGACATGGGACCTATGGGAAACAAAAGCATGGGTTGAATAGATTTCTAATGATAGTGTGTGGGATTTTCTTCTAAAATATCATATCATATACCGGTATTCTCTTTCTGGCACAGGAGCTCTGTCACATCATAACATCGATTGTTTCAGTATTTATGATTATGTAAGAATTCATATTTTCAATAAATCTTGATCATTGCATAAGGTTTGATTACACACTGAAACAAATGACCAAGTGAATAATGTTCCTTCTTAATCCCAGCAGGTCCCTGCAACAATGCTGTAACTCTGAGCCCTTTCTTCACTGATGTCAGTAGTGACCATTGGTATTTGTTTCAGGTGCTGAAGCCGGCTCTGAACCCCAAGCAGTCGTGAACCATAAGTCTGTGCAGGTAAACAGACTCATTATGTTATATACTGACCATTTATGATGTCTAACAACACATCTTTAAAACTAAAGCTCAAATTGTGTATACTTCTTGGGTTGAAAATGTCTTATCTTGACAAGAGGCTAAACTAAGTTAACCAAATAACTGTTGGTGTTTTGTGCCTCAAATCAGAATGTCCTTGAATGCGCCAGCTTCAAATAGATGGGCTTAACAATCTATTTCTTGTAGCCTTAGCATCTCCTTTATTTTTTCTTGCTCCACTTGGTCATTTACTTGCCAAATATGTTTCTGTAGATATTACATATTATAATACTTCACTAGTCAGCATTAGACAGACTTCTGCTGTTTACTTATACTGAATAAAGATGTAAAATTGTTTAAGTCACACTATACGGCCAGATGCTTCATGTGCAGTGCCTGTTTTTGTCACGTTTATCAAAATAGTGGATTTATTTTGGGTGGAGGCAAATGAAGGTTGACTAGTACTTGGTTCTGGTTATGGCACTGTTTAGTCCTTGATTTGACATTTTGAGCAGCGCTGAACTAAAAATTTCTGGTTGAATGAATATCTTTTCTGAAATGTATCTGTTATAAAACTCCGCTTTATCTAGTTTTAGCAGCTTGCAGATCTAGTCGGCGTCTATAGGCACATTTGTAAAGACTCTATAAAGCCACATAGCCCATATCGCACAGCCAGTTAATTTTTAAGCATGTGAGAATTTGATCTTTTTATCTTGTTTTAAAATAAATGCTGTATATGTGTATAGGAAGAGGGTGCGTTGTCACAGAGCGCCCACTCACAGGCTGTTGGTGCTGGACACCCCGAGGCAGACCCTGGTCCCACCCACTTGAATAACTACAGTAAGACAAAGGCCTTTCTCAAGATCACTGTTTTTAGTTTTATTTATTCTCTGTTTCAAAGTGTTTTACCTCAGCAAACAATGAGTCATTCTGAGTCACTGCTGTGCTTTTCATGAGAAATAGAAATAATAGTGATAAGTTAAATCTTTGCACTAATTGTTGCTTGTGTAATGATCTTACTTTTGTGATCTTACTTTTTAATGTGAAAAGGGGGCTACTCAGCCACCAAAACAAGAAAACATCTCAAAATGATTTAAGAATATATTCATACATTTAAAAGTGATTGTTTTGTATATAAAGCTGATGTACATTCTTATGTATTAATTTAATAGATCTAGATGTCAGTTAACTGTTAAATTTTCACCTTCAGGCGCAGAGGAGAGCAAAGCCCCTCAGACTGTCTGTGATTTACCTCAGAACAACTCTATTGAAACAGAGCCTAACAAAGTCACAGAAAGAGGGGCTTCAACTGACGACACAGTGGACCATAAGCTCAGGTACAGCTTATAAAAACAAGATCACAATGTAACAAAGTATTACAAAAATATAAATCTGCAGTGTTTCTTTTTAGCCACTAGAGGCCAACAAATCCTATTTATTTTGCTGTTGCTACTACTGTCAACAATAACATTTATGATGTGTGCCAACTGAAATATGTAGATTAATTTGAAATGTTAAAGCTAAAGTTAAGCGATTCTCCAGTCTATGTTGGCTATTAGAGTTATTAGAGTTAACTTCTGTGACTTTAACAACCGGTAGTTCAAGTCAGTAAAACCACTTTTTAGTACATGTCTTTTATAATATGATTTACTGGCTTTGTTACCAGCTAAAATGTCACTGAAGAATAAAAATCATATATTTCACATTTCACAGCATCTTTATACTGGCCCATACCTGCAAGTCTGTTGGATGTTATAATGCATTTCTCTGTAGTATAGGGCCCTCAAATATGATACAGAGTTGTGTCATTTCCCTGTGACTTGTGTTAATTTGCAAGTCAAATGGGTGTTTTCCTTGTGGGAGGAGTGTAAGGGTTAATTAGTTTATCTGCTGCCATACTTTGCATGGACAGCCAACCAGTCAAGTGTTTTAGCTTGTTCCTCATCCCACATTCTGATCAGATCAGAAGAATATAATAATAAATATCATGTAATGTAATTTTATTATATTGATGGGTAAAATTTGACCTACTGACCCTTGGCTTGCACCCAGCTCAACTTCAGCTCCAGAAGAGGACCAAAAAGGAGAAGGCTTTGATCAGAGCTGCAAGGAGGCGTCAGAAATGAGCCGTAAGGTTAGTGTAAAACTGTTTTGTTCACATGGGGCTTAGCTTCCCCTGTTTCTGCAGCTGCCCTTCCTCTTTTCTCTCACTTTGTCACATTCTCACTCGTGGTTTCTGCTCAGTTTCAGCCTACGTAGACTTAGAATACTGGTTGTAGGTTGTGGATTTGAATGCTTGGGCTCACATTACCAAATTTTAATGGCACATCATGGTAATTTAATGTTTTACTTTATTATGAGATAATGTTTTTAGAGGGTGCTCAGTTGCAGCCTCTATATAGAAATACATTAGCCTTTTAGTTTTTAGCTTTGGCAATCTACTTATCTTTACTGTGCTATACTATGTAAGTATTATTGCAAATATTTTTAAGTATAGGCTTGCTCTTGGTCCAGTGAAGACCAGACTGTATGCTAAAGTAGCTTCTGTATTAATGGTTTTATACAATGAAGCAATGGTTACGAGAAAGGTATTTGTGTTTGACGTGACGGGTACACACCAGAGGAACAACAGGTGTGTGAGTAATTCACAATTCTTCAGTCATTTACTGAGCTTTTGGTTTGACAAAATTAATTTCATTTTGAAAAACAATCAAATCAATGTGAGTTACACAGAGGAAATGGCTCTCGGTGTAACATTGTTTTGTGTGTGACTTGTGAAAAACCAAAGTGCAGTCTCTCCTCCTCAGATATTTTACATGTGCTGTACATCATTTACATGCACCACATGAGGACGAGCAAGTGTTCTTTCTCAAGGCAGATGACCGCAAATATGCCAAATTCATATATAATTAATAATTCTGCAATTTTGTGTTATACCAAGTAACACCTTTTAGATTGTTGACTTCTTAGCTTAGGGTTGAGCAATATGATTAAACAAAAGGAATCATGATTTTTTTTTTTTCCTCCTCACATTAATGCTTTGGATTTGTTGTATTTTTTTCTCATTAAAATAATCATGGAATGGTCATGGCTTTAAATATTGATTTCAGAAATATTCACAAGATGAATACAAAAAAATGAATGTATTTCTTCTGAAATCTGAAGTTTCTTATAAACTGTACAGCCCTTGTCAAACTCCCAGTTAGAGGTTTAACAAAGGAAAGAATAATAATCTGGATTTAACTGGACCTAAACATGGATTAGACAAAGTCCAAAATGCCCAAACTGATGCTCTTGTATTACACAACATCCCGTTGCGTTGGTCCCGAGTGCTCACCTCGCCTCATTGTGACTGTTGAGCTGCTGCCGCCTCCACAGCTTCACTGTTAATGTGTCTATGAGCAGCACCACTAAAACTCTCCTCCAGGCTCTATATTATATAAGACTCAGTACAGTTTTCTCTCTCAGATCGAACGAGCCATGGGGCAGGTAAAATATCCTTAATACAAATTAGCTTTACTGGCCGTCTAATGCTTTCCTTTTATCTGTAGAGCCTGGGTCAGGACAAAGCAGACCGAACAGCAGAAGACAGGTGAGTGATCATGTGCTCAATATTTGTTATTTATTTTTCTAAATTGGTATTACAGATTGAAATAGAATAAGGTAGTAGTATTATCAGTTTTAAGTTAATTCAGTTCAATCCATAAAAGTGTTGGACAATATGGATTTTTTTTATTGTGCAATGTGACAATCTGCTATTCAGATATTTGTTCTGTTTGGTGTAACTTCATGCTCAAACACTGACTTCTACTGGACAGGCTCCATCATGCTCTAGTGAATGAAGAGTAGATTTAAGCAGTCACAGAGAACTGTGTCAATAGAAGCAGATGGCTATAGTTACCTCCTAATAGCAAACAAATTGATTCTATCCAAACAAGCTATGATTGCTGATTTGCAAATTGCTGATCCAGGTTCAAAATATATTTAAAGCATATTCTTTCTGTAATGGTTCTGTTCATAAATGAGAGCTAAATAATGTGTATTTCAGCTCCAGTCTGCTCCCTGTGCTGGTGGAGGAGGAAGAGACTGAAGCTTCCACTGCAACAGCATCTGTGTCAGGTAGGACTTAAAGGTCCTGTATTATGCAAAATTTACTCTTGTGAGCTTTAAGCCATGTTAGAATGTTGTTTTGTTTCCTTCACACATACTTGAGTAACCTAGTCTGTCTACATCTCCAAAGCTCAAAATGTCCTGTTCCACCTTATGATGTCACGTAGTGGTAGTTTTCAAGTTAACGTCTACATTTAGTTCAGAAGAGATTGGAAATTCCAGGGCTGAAATTATCCAAATCATTCTAGTGATGTATGGAGTTTAAAAACACAGTTGAGCACTTTCTGTATTATCACAAGGTGGAACTGAGTGTTTTCAGTTTGAGAGAAGAACTAAATATGCAGTGTTTATGTGTTTAACATGTGTGAATGAAATAAACACAGCTCCAAGTATGTTGTGATGCAGTAACAACATTATAACATAGATCAGAAAATGGCGTGATAATGGCCCTTTTACACTGGGCCAATAGAACATTATGATAATTTGTCTAATGTATACCTCTATTCACTTAATACTGTCATGAGCTGCAGTAGGTTGTATAGTCTGCTTATTACTAGAGCCCGACCGATATGGATTTTGTTGTGACCGATATGGAACCGATATAATGGTAGTTGGAGCTGCCGATAGCCGATATAATCGCCGATATATTTAGTGATGTAAAAATTCACTGTAAATCTTGAATTGATTAAAAAACTTAGGTTTGGCTCTAGTGGATTCTAAATTGGGTTTATTTAGGCAACATTTATTGTTATTTTGACTCTTTACATCATATTTACATACAGTAGATTGGCCTAATGGCATTTTTGCATCACATTCTAGCTACTGTTACTGTCACTGCTAGTGATGGGTATTCCAGTTTGTTTTTGTTTGTTTTTTGGAGAACCGGCTCGGCTCACTAAAGCAACTGGCTCTTTCGGCTCCCAAGCGACTCTTGAGATGGTTTTGTTGCAAGCAGGACTAAACCAGAACTGAACCAGGACTGAGTGTTGGGACTCGGTTTCTATCTCTCTCCTTCACTTAAGCCCAAGTTTAGTCCTGGTTTATTCAATTTATGCTGAACTGCAGCCAAATATGCACTTTTTTTTTTCCTATGCACACGCAGATTTCTGAAAGTTTCGTTTTCAGCCGCTGCTGCTGTCAAACTACGGGTCTACCTGCGGGATGAAGAGAAAAAGTGAGAAAAAGAGAAAACACGGCTCCCAATAAGAAGCACGCTCCCGTTGTTCGCTTCAAAGAGTCGGCACTAAGAGCCGCTTCGATCGCGACCGACCCATAACTCCTAGCTAGTAAACTACCGCTATTAGCCTTTAGCCGTAAAAACGTGCGCACCGCGGTAATTAATTATATGCATAAATGTGGATCATTCACACGTCTATTCACAGCTCATTTACATATCAATGCTGGTCCAGTAACAAATATACTGCCAATGTAGTCACTTTACAATAGACCAATAGAAAACAGCCTGTTTATGTGTGGGAGCTACAGCAGCTAATCGCTAACAAAACCTAAACTAGCTTCAAAGTCGATGTATTTCCAACACTCACCGCTCACACAGGCTCCTCCTCACATCACAAGTCTGCACTAATAAATGTCCTTTTAATCCAGACTCAAACCGATTGTCCGAAAAAGAATATAATCTCAGTGTTGCGCACGGCTGGGGTGTAAACAAACACACGCGAGTGAAGTGACGTCACTCTGGTGGTGTGTTCAGGGACAGTACGGACACAGACACAGACAAATTACACCGTAGAAAAATACTGATGCGGAGCCAGATATTAGGACATTTATCTGTCTGTAAATTGGATTAAATGAACATAATGTAGAGAGTCTAAGCTTTATAACGAGATATAACATGCCCACGTGAAATATCGGCCCATATCAGCAAGCATATCGGCCGATAGCCGATATGTCCCCAGTTGCCCATATTGGCCGATAATATCGGCCAGCCGATATATCGCTCGGGCTCTACTTATTACATCCATTATCTGTCTTCAGTTCTTTTACTGTTTCCTTGGATGACTAAAATGCCCTCTTCTGTGTGTGTTGCAGCGAGCGAGCATCACATGAGCAGCTCTCATCAGTCCAGAGGCAGCACAGCTGCAATGGCCAACAGTGTTTCTCCAAAAAAAGATTTACAACAGCTTCAAGGCAAAAAAGAACTGGTAAGACCCACAGCCCATAAATGTTCAGAGCTCAGTACAGAAGGGGTAATCCTCCACTAACTGAACATAAATCATCGTAGCATCAATACTACATTTGATTATATAAAAATAAATAAGACTGGTATAAGCTGGTATTATGTATTTAATTTCTTATTTGAATACATTTTGAATTTTATCTGTGAGTGCCTCTCTACGCCTATTCAGTTTGACTATGTCAAGTTTAGCATAAAGCAGCTCATAATGGTAGACTCAAATCATGGACAGGTTGTACACTTTAAGCATTTGACCACAATGTTAAGTTCATTGCAAGTAATTTGTGTGATTCTGGTTACTATTGTGGAAAAGCATTGTTGACTAGTCCTGTTTCCCAATTAGCACTTTTTCTTCTGGATTAAGTTCATTTAAATAAACATTATCTTATCATTTGCTATTGATAACTGGATCATGACAATAAAAATGTGGTCTTTCCAACCAGGCCACTACAAGAATGTGTCCTCATGTTGACACAGGGCAAAGGAGGAGGGGAGTCTCATTTTAGCTTCACTTTAGGCTCTTATTATTCAAAAAGCCAATCCTCTGAGCTACTCTGACTCATATCACTTCACCTTCAACATCGGGACAATTTTAAACTGTGAAGAGGAGGGAGAAATTACAGAAAATGGAAGCTGAGAGCTGTGAAAATGTGGATAAATCACAGTTAGGAGTTCAAAATGTTAAAGAAATGTCTCTCTTTGTACAAACTTTGCAGGAGTTGTCACGAGGGATCGAGACCGGGGATCAGCTCGGCACTAAAGGGGACCGGAGTCAGACCACCAGCAACAATGATGGTACGTCTGTCTCATATACTTTACAGATGCAGCAATGCACATCAGATTAAACTTATTTAAAAAGTCTGTAGATTTTAAGGTATAGGTTTTTGTTTGTTTTGTTTTTTTAATCAGGGAAATTTGACATACATTTTTGGTTCGTTAAGCAAACTTATGTGTACTCAGTTGAAATGTGTGACTTGAGTGCATTGTCTGTATTTTGTTATTTGAAATTTCAGAATTGTGTACCTTTTTTTTATATGCCAAGATATGGTGAAGCATTGACACAGACAATAATGTTAGAACTTGTTTAGGTCAGTTCTCCTAATTGACTTTTTATTTTTCAGCAGAGGTATACCAGCATTCAGATGTCAATGATTCCTACAAAGAGGACAAAAATGGGTAAGACTAAATTTTTTAAAAATCTCTGCAGTCACAATGGTTTGTATGTTATAATACTCTTATTACATGTGTTCTAGCATGACTCCAACTGACAAGGAAGTTGAGGTATGTAAGCAAGTGACTCATCTGTTTCTATTTCTCCATTAATGGACTATGCATTGTGTTTAGCTCTAGCCTTTAATTATAAACCTTTTAAAACTCGGATTGTCAAAAGTGATATATGGAACCTGATCATTTGCTTACAAGAAACCAGACTATATTTTATCCACTTAGAGCTTTTGGCCAAATATAAAATATGTTCATTTGGCATTGACATACTTTTTGTTACAAGATATAATGGTACAACAACAAAGCTTTATTACATGAAATCTGAGGAGACATGAAATATTTCACATGAAAACTGAGGAGACAAGGAAATATTTCTTTTTTTTTTTTTTTTAATCCATCATTTTTTTTAATCCATCAGTAGCTATACATTTATACACTATTTTAAATCAGGGCTCTCGAGCTTGTATGCATTTTTTTAATGACTCAAAACTAACTAACTTGAAGTTAATATAAAATTAAAAGAAAAAAGTCTAGATTTCTGTTAATCAGCCAGTGACGGTCCTTCTTGCTCTCTTCAGGCTGAGTTCCAGCGGCTGGCATTGGGCTTCAAGTGTGACATGTTCACTTTGGAGAAGAGGCTGCGTCTGGAGGAACGTTCACGAGACCTGGCAGAGGAAAACGTGCGGCGAGAAGTGTCCAGCTGCCAGGGCCTGCTGCAGGTGAGAGGACAAGAAGGGGCACGTTAAAAACCAACAAAAATCAATGTAAGGGTAACAGGGAAATGATGTAGAAAGGGTGAGGCCTTAACCATGAATATGAAATTAGTTTTTCATGTATCACTTCAAGTGTCCACTTTCAATGGCCTTTAACAAACCAACATATTACCTACATATTCTCTATAACAGTAAAAGTGTTAGGATTGTGTATGCTTTAATAACTCTTTTCCTTTGGGTTGTTGCAGGCCTTGATTCCTCTGTGTGAAGATGATAACCAGTCCATGGAAATCATCTTGAGACTTCAGAAAAACCTGGAGATCCTCATCCAGTCCATGACCCGAGTGTCTAGTCGCTCGGAGATGCTCGGAGCCATACATCAGGTCAGCATGGTTCAAATGTGTGATGCTTTTACATGGAGTGAATCAAGTAAACAGGACTAAATCTAACCCTTTCCTAAGTAAAAATGACTGTTTATTGTCTAAAAACAGAGCATGTTTTCATATCATGGTGGTATAGAGATTGGTATCAAGTACTGAGCCTCATTTCCAGATCATTTTTTAGTATTGAATTGTTTAGAAATTTGAGTCTCGTGATCTTGACAACTATTACCAAAGTTTCAGCCACTTTCCAGAGAGCTTGCTTTCTTGAGCAGAACAATTGTCATTCAAATTGGGGCTAGGAATAACAGGGTCCCTCACGATTCAATGCAATACATGATACATGGCTCATGCAACAATAATTCTTTGTTAAACCACTACTTGTGAAAGGTTAAGATGCATTTATTTTTATCATCAAACAGTTAATATGCTAAGTGTATTGCAGAAACAAGTTTCCTAAGCAACAAAATTGTATTGCAGTCACAATAACGAGATACAAAAAAATACTCTTAGCGATATATCTATACAGCAGCCCATGATAACGACACTGTATCATTAAATTTAGTATCACTATACATCAATATTGCAATATATTTGCACACTCCTAATTCAAATATACACACCAATCCTATTAGAGTTGTTTAGTTAGTGGATTCTTTGGGACCAAACTCACCCTCACCTGTTGCCCCCTGTCAGGAGAACCGTATTGGTAAAGCAGTGGAGGTGATGATTCAGCACGTGGAGAATCTGCGGCGCATGTACACGAAGGAACACGCTGAGCTGTTGGAGCTCAGGGAGACTCTGATGCAGAATGAGAGGTCCTTTGGATCACAGACTAAAAAGGGTACACAGTTTTAGAACATATCTAGATGATCAGTAATTTGTATATTTTAATTTAACTCTAAAATGTGTTTGTTACAGATGATTTCCAGGGCAAGAAGGTGAGAATGTTTGAAACTTTGTTATTTTCTTTTTTACAGTACCAGTGTTAACGGTTATTATTTTCTTGTTAACAGACACAAGGTCGACGTGTCAGCCTTCCACCTATCCACCCAATTAATATGGTACTGTTTACCTTTTTTATACATCATATGGATTTTTATGTGTACCAAATTTATTTGATTTCTTTGCTTTAATTCACCATGTATTAAAATTGAAATTTAATACAATTGAAAATCTTTCACAAGGGAAACGAGCTGGAGTAACCCTTATTTATAGAAGGAATTATTGTTTTTGAGCAATGGAAACACAAAAAATGAATAAAGGCTAGATGAATATGTTTAATGTCATACCGTGGAACATTGCAGGCAACGCAATAACATCTTTATGGACACAAGTACGTTGACCCTCAATCAGAAAAGTTGCACCTTTTAACATAGGTGTTTCAGGCTGCTTGCCAGAAATCATAGAAAAATCTGATAATTGACTAAATCTTCATCTGTTCTTGTCTTTCAGAGAAAACCCCAGGACATGTCAGAGGTGGACCATGAGCGACTGACCCGGCGATCTCCGTGGTAGGTGCCCACGTACAGCTTGTGTGTTCATATGCAAGGATCCACCCAGTTTAGTTGGTATAAGGAGGAGGGGTTGGTGGACCACAAATGTGACTGAAGCTACATTATGTTGTTCTGAGATTGGTTGCTGTGTTTTTGCTGTTGTTGATGCTGGTGGTTTTCAGGAGTGCAGGGAGGAACATGGCTCGGCCTCCTCTAAAGCGCTTTGTTAGCTCGGCACCTTGGGTTGACTCTGAGGACCCTTGTGACATGATGAAGGGGTAAGACTTTTGAGTAAAGCCAATGGGAAGGATATTTATAATGGCACATAGTATACCTACATGCACTGAAAGATGGTAATTCTATTTGATTTATTAAGGCTAATATTATTGTAGCAATCAATCAAGCTGTTAGTCCACTGATGAGTCAATTAAAAAGGGGCATAGCATATACAGTTACATATTGCTTGCTTTTTTATTTCAAAATATAACTAATCTAATTAGTCAACTCCTTAATCAACTAAAAGCCTATAGCCTAATTGCATCAGTTCAGTTTTTTCCCCATTTATAATGAATATAAGCATCAAAATGGCTTACACATAAAACACTGTTTCTTATAGTTTGCTTTGGTTAATATTGAACAATATTTTGCCAGGGATTTTTCTGAAAGTCCCACCTTTCTGTATAACAGGTAAAATCATTGGTTTGCTTGTTTGGTTTGACTACACATGCATGGACTGTGGCTGTGTGCATGTAGTATCTGACATTGTGTTTGTGGATGCCTGGCACGCACAGGAGCAGAACGGACAACCACTTAGACGAAGAGCCCAAGGAGGAGGCAGAGACCGAGAGGAGGTCCAGTCTCAGTGAACTGGGAAACAAACTCACCTCTCTCCTTCTGCCCAACAAGACGTCAGTTTAAACACATACAGTAAACCAGCTCCAGTCTGATCACCCACATAGCTCTCTAACGCTAACGCAGCGCTGCAATGGGAATTCACCATTTAGATCATGAGGTTTCAGAGCTTATGACAACATGAAGATGCACATTTTGTAGACTAATATTTTGTAAAGAATGTTATGGGTGAAGTTGGGGCTAGACTCTCCCACATCCCACCAATGCTTTGGAGCATTGAAGGCTGGTGATTTTATCTTTATTTTTAAGGTTCATTCCATTTTTTATTTGGCACTTTCCTTGTTTCAGTGACTGTTGTTCAGCATTGAAACCTCCTAGATGGTGAAGCTCTGATTACATGGGTCTTTGTCATTTCCTCTTGGCTCTGGTATGATACAAGCCATTGTGAAAGTGTTATATCTCAGTGCTGTATATCTGCTTCAAGAGGACTGTTCATGTGAAATCATTTTTGTCTTGAATGCATGAATTTAACATGATTATTGCACAACGAACTAACCAAGCTGTACATCGTCTCTATGTTCAAATGATTTTTGCCTCACTGTACTTGTCTTTTTTTCTAAACTTGGTCTCTTCTCTCCCTCCCTCCCACACGACTAAGGACTCAAGATGAGCTCTTTGTCATGCTGTAAGTGAAGGGAGGTTTTTTTGTCGCTCTGTTGCATTCTTCTGCTGAAATGTGCTTTTTCACAATATGATTCTAATGAATACTGCTGCCGATTAACTTTCTTCAACAGCATGAATTATCACAAATGGCCTTACTGTGACACTGTTACTTTACAAAAGTAATAATGTGGCTCACATAAGGCCATTTTTGCAGGGTCTAATACACTTCGATCTGTTGGTCTTGACTTTCCCCAAACTCTCCACTACATCTGATACTGATTAAGTGACTTTATATGATTTTGTCTCCTCCAGTCCAAGTCCTTCCTCCAGCCCAACTTCCTCTGACCCAGGAGTGACCCAGTCTCTGTCCCGAGGATTGGGCTCCTCCAGAGCCTCAGCAGCAGCCGTGGCCAGGGGCAGTCGCACTGTGTGGCTCTGGTTGGCAATGTTCGTGCTGTTGGCAGGTAAGAATTTCACTCATCTGATGGAATTTAGTGCATTTAAAATGGTCTGTTTTTGTAAACCTCTGTGTTCAGGTCTTCTGGCTCTGCTGGCAAGCCTGGTGATGCAGCCTGCAGTAGATGCGGCTCCGGTGGGGACGGGGGACTCCTGGATGACCATCCAGCAGCTGCTCTGGCCCTACACCGGGTTGCGACACAATGGCCAGCCCCCTGTGTGAGCCCAACCCTGCCCTCCGCTTTTAATATGGACTATATACAGACTCTAAGCATAGAGACTTGAACTTTTACTGGTGCCTGAAAACTACAGCTGTCCTCAGGGGTGGTCAGTCCACTGGAGGATTATATGCATCATATTTGCGAATTTATTAGTCTGAGTGTGCATTTGTTTTTAGAAGAAGCTGCGTGAAGTGAACACAATTTTTATCTTCTTTTTTAAGGTCACAGTGCAATCTGTAAATAGACTGTGATTGGACCAATCCAGACAAGACTGAATGTACACTTTGTTTTCCAGTGACAGGCATCATGGACAGTGGCTTAAGTTTGCCAACACAATTCATGCACTTGACAATCAGGAAACATTTGTAAAGGTGCAGGAAGGAGTTCTTTTATTTCCTTGTTAAATGCAGAGCATATTTTATAATTTATAGTCTTTAATCACTGGTAATAAAACATTATTTGAACTGTGTGTTTTAAATATACAGTACACATTTTGAGTGGGGTCTGTAAATGTTTATTTTTGTTAAATTATTATGTCCAGGTTCAACACCAAAGTTTTTCCTTTTTTAATTTTTGCAGGATTTTTGCTGTGGTTTATCACCATTTTAAATTCATACTTTTATATGTTCTAAAGCAGTGAATCGATGAGTGACCTTTGCACAAATAAAGTAGCCAACTCTACAAACCACAATGTAAAAATGATTCCTTGTGTTTGTGGCTCATGCATAGAGCAGAGGTCTGGTGGCACACAGCAGGCTCTGGACAGTGTCCACAAATAGATTGTGTGAGGCTCTGGTTCGAGCGATGCCCTCTGCACTCATGTGGTCCTGTAGCATGTGGATGAAGGTGGAATGGAACTCAGTCCCAGCGCAGTGGTCTGGACTGAAGTCTTCACTGCTCTCGGAGATGCCCAGCCTTTGACTTCTCTGCGCCCCCAACAGGTACAAGCACAAGCGGTCTTTAGGCACCGGGCCAGGGGCAAGGTGCTCACAGACCTCAAAAGGGAAACAAGACAAGAGCACAAAAATCCAAATAAGTTTGGTTTCCTTTATTTTCCTTTGTAAATTCCTATTTCAGTTTGTGACCATTCAAACAGGTTCTATTGTCTCTTACTGTTTTATTTCCTCATTAAAGTGTCACATGTCTTAACTATAACACAAAACAGGAATAAAGTGGAGAAACTTAAAACAATATTGTTTCATGATGAGGAAGAAGATACCTGCATGACGAGGTGCTCTGGGCCACACTTTGCGTTCCACCTGCTCCAGGTAAAGGCACAGGCCGAGGAGAAGAGGGCCATCTGCTCATAGGCCGAATGCTCTGTCAGTGGATCCTACAACAGTATAACACCAGAGGGAAAATTACTTTAGAACACATCATATACTAATTACTACTCACCCAACTATAATAAATAGAACTAGAGTTAATCAATATGGGGTGACTGTGACTCAGGGACAAGGGTGTAGACCAGTGTCTGGGGAATGACTGAATACTGGACTAATGTTAAGAGCTTTAAAATATGTACAACACACATCTGGGCCATTCTTGGAACACCTTTTCTAAAACCTAGAGCTGCCTGGAAAGGCTTCTTTATAGACGCTTCTAATTCACTATTATACACTGACCTTGCCATATGTTGTCACATATTTCTCTGTAAACTCATTTACAAAGATGTTAATCCCACTGTCCTGCATGGCTCTTTGCAGGGCTGTGCTGTTCATCCACTTCCCTGTGAGATGAGACGGACATTTCTGCTCCAGTGTCTGCACCATGCACTTATGACCCTGTGAAGAAAAAACATGCATTAACTATAGTTGCCCCAATAGTCCTGCCAGCCTGACACAGTGATTTTTCTTATAGGTTAAATTTATGTTCAGATATATTGTACACTATTCTAAACATATTCAGGTGGTGGTTTTTGGATCTTAGAATGTGATGACGACGTTGTGATTCCAGATGGGGGGCAGAAGCCAGTATTTCTTATCAATTGCATTGTCCTTTACCATAAAATATCCAAAAGGTAAATCAACAAATGCTAAACCCTTATCATGTGTGTTAGTGACTAGACCACACTATATAACAATAGAAATCTACATTTTAAAAATATTATGTTTAGCTGACCATCATCTGTATTAAATAATTTTCATCAATAGAATGTGGTGATGCCATTTGAAACCCAGCAATATCTGATGCTCTGAAGCTAAAGTACATGAACATTCACACAGACAGTGGTTCCCTCTTTTCTGCTTCACTCGAGGAAAAACTAAATCTAAAACACAACACTACCCACGCCAGTCCATCTTTCCCACAATCAGGGAATAATTTCGCTCTATAAAATTCTTTATAAAAGAAAAATAGATATTTATATAACTGTACACTGTATCTATGTATTCACTGTATCTACACCTGAACAGTGATGCTGACATTAATGAGGTCTCCTTTAATTGTGTAAACTGCAGAATCTTGTCCCAGGGGCTTCAGTTCCCAGCTCTTGAAGGGGAAGTTGGCGTACGTGTCTTGTATGAGAACAAATGGCTGGAAAGAGTCCATTTTGAAGGCGATCTTAGATTTATCTTCACTGCACGCCACTTCAGTGATGCCATCCATTCTCCACTGCTTTCCTTGAGTACACAATATAAGTATTCAAAATTGGTAAATATAACTTCTGAAAAATATAGAAAAAATTATGTGGCTTTACCTGTAGCATCCCATCGAGCCACTTGGGGATTTTCCAAGAACATTACATGGCCAGGTATGGTAACAGAAACACCAACAAGAGGGCTGCCCAGACCTTCAATGTCATCCAATTTGCTGTTGAGTGATCCATTCATCTGGAGCCCCTTTTGTGGATAGGGGAACGCTTCTAAACCTGTGTCCAATATCTAGGGAAAGGACATAAACTTATTGCACTCCTATTTATGTGAAATTAGGACCACTGCCATAAATTGTTAGTCACTAAAATTTAAAACTTAATATTACATCTTTTGAATGGAAAAATGTCACTTAAATGTTCCATATGACAGGCAGCCGAAACCCATGAATTACTAATATTTTGTTTAATTTTCAACTTTAAACATACTCTGAATTGTTGCTCTTTTTCTGTATTTTTTCCTCTGTTCTATTACTAAAAAGCTTCTTGGAAACTGACTTGTCTAATGGTCCAGCCATTGGCATGACGTGCCTGAGGGGGCAAGTGAAACACATCATAGTAGAAGACTCCGCCCAAAGGAGAATACTGCATCAGGTCCACGACTTGAACTTTAAAACACACTTCGGTTGTATTGAGGTGTGAAAGAGACGAGGACAAGTCCCTCTCCACAGAACCTATATATACAATAAAATATATAGAGATGAATGGAGCAATGTGGCGGCACTAATACTGCATAAAACACAGGCAAATTTGAGAAATGGTTAATAAATTATAAACAAAAATAATATTGGTTCAGAATAGCTGTCTCAATTTTGTATTTTTTCTGCTCATGTTTCAAGGATTTGGGTTGGATTTCAACCCTGCTTTGGACCAGATTTAAAGATTAGTTGTCTGTGTTACTTTTTTTTTTTTTTGTATAGACATGCACTGATTTACAATAAAATTTCTTCACAAAATGTGTAAATGTTGAGTCAGAAGAGTGGAGTCATTTTAGTTTTGGAACTGTTACACAGCAGCATTTAATTATTTAGTGATTTTTAAAATAAAGTTAATCTATATAAGCGTTCAATGCTCTGGCTCGTGGTCTCACCATTTAAAGCTTCAATCTGTGTTTGTATCTGGCTCTGTCTGCTCTCTGCTGAATGGATACTGGTTCTTGTGGAGTGGAGACTAGTTCGACTGGCATTCTGCAAGATATTAAACACAAAAATACTATACCACAATCATGTTTCAAACCAGATGGTTTAGAAGATCAGTATTGTACCTGTCCACCAGTAGATTTAGAGTCAGTTTGATCCTCCTCTTCCACAGGTATATGTTGTACAGAGTAGTGCTCCTTCACCTCCTCCCTTGTTACATTAATCTCCTCTTGGACAATTTCCCCTCCTGTAAGAGACCTAAGGATAGAAAGAAGAAAAAGTATTGCTTATCTACAGTGAGATATTTACATGGCTTGACATATAATATATATATCAATATATATCAAATGGTTCTACTACTTGTGCCAAAATATTGCTCATATATTTATCCTGGATTTTGATTGTAAATCACAACCCAGGATCAATTCTGATTATGTATTTATTACTTTGTAAGTTAAATACCTGGAGCTTGGTGTGTGCATTCTTGTGTGAGTCATGCGGGCCAGTAGGGAGAGGTGGTCGTATTGTGTATGCAGAATCCTAACTGCAATGTTACTGACCGCAAGTTGTTTGGGAATCTCAAAACCAAGACCGACCTCTTCAAAGTTCAGGCCACCAAATCTGGATTAAACACACATTGTAAATGAAATAAATAATGTCATAATAACTTTTTTTTTTTTTAATGAAGAACTGAGTTCAATTTATATAACCTTGGATTCCTTTTTAGGTTGGCCCAAAGACAGAGAGTTATGTGCTCATCTTTGACTACAGTCTGCATGTTGCCGGTCTGAGTATCAATGTTTGCACTGGCTTCCTGGAAAACATAAAAGACCAACTATATCAGTTTATACTTCATAAAGCTGTTATAAATGAGACGTAACTGAGTAGTGTGACAGTACCTTAAGAATGTCTTCAGTAACAAGATTATGTTTTAGGTGAACAAGCTCTTGTAAATTAGTAATGGCTTCGTGATATTTCTGGATGTCCAGTATATTTGAGGTTTCTTTTAGTAGATCAGATAGTTTCTCTATCAACTGTTGTGGACAAATATTTGCATGTAACACAGTATAACATATGGCATGACAGTTCTAATAATGATGAACAATTTAAACTAGGGTGACCACCTGTCCCTCTTTTGGTTATTCTGCTCAACCATTTAGGCCTCTGTCCTTGGTCACACTTATTTAATAGTCTCTCTGTCTATGTCTCTCCTTTTTATTGATGCCACTTAAGTTGTATATTTGCAAATAGCCAGAACACCAAACATCATATGATGCTATTGCCTATTGCAGTTACAGTATTATCTATGAACTTAAAGTCCATTCCTCCATGTCCCACCACATTCAACATGCCCCTCTTTTTCTAAAACTGACATGGAGGTAAATGGAGAATGATAGCTGGTCTATTGGTGGTTTAGATAAATATGATGTAATTATGGCTATGGAAAACTGTCCAAATAGTAACAGAAAATGTCCTGATTGGTTAATAGCGGTATGACTGAAGCCTGTTCCAAAGTAAGAAGTGATATGCAGTACCTGTATTGCCCCAGTACACTGCTCCAGCACTTTTGTCACATTGACTTCAGGCTCCTCTCTCCATAGACTCATATATGTATTGATCTCCTGTTGCACAGAGGGGTCCGGTGTACCATCACAATGTATGTAGCTCTCCCACTAAAACATATAGTGCACCAGTTATAGTAACCAAAAAGCTTCTGATGAAATTCTGACCTCAGTGTTTACCTTGGCTTTTTCTGCCTCCTCAGCTTTCCACTTAACCACTGCATTGTGGTTGTCTTCCAGAAGTTGCCGCAGTTCGTCCAGCTCATTTTCTCTTCTCCCTAAATCCTTTTAGAAAATGTTTTAACTTTTTTGTATGAACTAAATAGTACAAAGTAGAAATTGATATATGTAGTACCTTAAACTCAAGTTCTTGCAATACTTTCTCCTTTTTCTTTCTTTCCAGTCTTTCCTTTTCATCTCTTTCTGCTTGTAATCTGGCTTCCTCTGCAAAGCATAAAACAGTGTGTTACCATTGCAACATTTACTTATTGCAGGCCTTAACAATCACTTTTATTATCCCATTGCTAATGTACATCAGTATTTGAATTATTGGTGTCTGTCAGTTTGTTTACCTTCTTCTTGTAACCTCTTTTCCTCTTCCTCTTTCTGTAACCTTGCCTTCTCAGCTTTGGTAAATTTAATCTTGCCCTTTTTAGATGCCTGGAAACCAATACGCTGTATTTAGTCTTTTGTAAATGCCATCTACTTTATGAAAAATGCATAAATGCATGAATACATTAATAAACTTTCTATGTCATACCTTTTCCGTATTGGGAGGCTATTTGTATTTGTAGGGAAAGGCAGATGGAAAGTTACAGGATGGCATGCAAACATGCAAGAATAGTAAGAATAAGACAAAGCATTTAGGCCTACATTATGAAATCATATGAATGTGTGTAGCAAAAGAAACAAATAAAACAACTGTGTTGTTTGTCAGTTGAGTTAAGGTTAATAGGTTAACGACAAAAAAACAAAAAAAACTTAAGTACAGCAAAAAACGACAAATAATAGGCCTATAATTGATGCTATGTTATGGCTTAATAAATCGCATACCTCATAAATCTTTTCCGCTAAGTAATTATTAATGGAGTATATTTTATTGCTTTTATACCTTAATACCAGTTTATAGGCAAACAAAACTCACCATTTTCTCGGTCTTCAGCGTCCTGTAACCATAACAACAACTGCGCATGCGTATTAATTGTGTAGGAGTTTGTTTACATTTGCGACAGTAAATCGACATACGGTTGTGTTCCTGTCCTCAGGAGAACCGAAGCAAGGACAACAGATATGTTTAATGTATCACTTTTTTAAATGCGCAGGATAACTTAAAAACGCAAGACTTTAATGCCTGACTTAAATGGTGTGAACTAATCGGTAAGTTAGTCTAGTTAGCGTCTAACGTTAACGCTAACGCTATTATTTTATATTAGCATCGTTCAGTGGCCGAGAGCTTCAGTTATATACATTTTTATTAAAAATCATGTGTTTCTTCGTTCCCTTTATGCAGAAGTCCAATACCCCCTCTTATAATATGGCAAATCCTTTAAGAAGAGAGGTTATTAGACTATATAAAAATGTAAGTAAATCAGTGATGTGTTCGATCATTCTGAATGTATTCTTACTTTGCATTATTGTGCCCATAGCTTCTTTATCTTGGTCGAGAGTATCCACAGGGATCAACTTATTTTCGAGAGCGCCTGAAGACAGCTTTTATGAAAAATAAAGACGTGACGGACCCAGAGAAGATCAAGAAACTTGTGGCAAAGGGGGACTTTGTTATCAAAGAACTGGAGGCGATGTATTTTCTCAGGAAATACAGGACACTGAAGAAAAGATACTACGAACCAGAAAAATAAGAAGATAAAAAGTCAACTAGTTGCCAGTACGACTAGTATTTTTGCATGCTGATTGTATTGTGTAGCAAACTGCATCTAGTAAAAACTTTTTTGGTCTTATTTATTGTTTTTCCCCGCCTTGTGGTTTTACGTAGATATATCCACTCAGTTATGTGATTATTTCAATTTGTTCATTTTCTTTTCCTATTTCATACAGTGTTGTTAGCATATTAATATTTTTGAATGAAATTATGTTATCTTCATGTAAACAGAGGGGGAAAAAATCTCGTGATTAAAAGTGATTTTCGTAAAACAGTTACACACCCGGACTAAAATTACGTGCGCACGCTTTTCGAAACAGGAAATCGTCCTTATTGTGTATTTGCTGCATGATGAGATGGAGGCTGTTGGGCATTATGTTGTTGGCTCATCTGAGAGCAAACTTTCAAAAGTTGATATATTGAGGGGGCTAATCACTGAGAAAATGACTATAGCCGTGCGGGAAGTGTTAGCTGTGGTGGAGACAACAGTAGCTGGATACGAGAATGAAGTTTTGCTGTTGAATCAGGAGTTGAGTCTTAAGAAGAGGCAACTGGACACGATCCTGCAACCTCGAGTATATCTGAACAGGAGAGGTATGAGGAAACATTAGTTGTTTTTAGTGGTATTGGGTGCAGGCGTTTTACATACATATTGTATCTTTGTTTTACTAGATTTTAATGATGAAACCCCAGTCGTGTTTAGTGTATCTTCAGGCGAAGTTGAACTGAGACACGTGCAGAAGATCATGAACAATGGGGCATCAAGAGAACGGTTTGAAATCCCTAAATTTATATGAATGTTTGTATGGTGTTTTTCGTTTTTTAAAGTTGCTGTTAACGTAACGTTGTGTGTTTTTGCAGCACCGGGGGATATAGTATTATCGGCGAGCCCCCAACATTGTCTCGTGAAGAAAATGTGTTGAACCATGAAGAAAGCGATTGTGTTGTTGCAAATCCAGCCAGTGACTCTTTTGTGCCTTGTCCGGCCAGAGGGGAAACGCATCTCACCGATGAAACGGTAAATGATGCCCAAAAAACGAAGGTCAAAAGGAGAAGGCGGGTGCCGAAGCGATACAGATCAAACGATGACGAGACAGACTCTGACCGTCAGGAGAAAGAAGAAAAAGCATGGAAACCCACGCAGCGATCTTCACCTGGAAAGAAAAATCATTTGATTAAATTACGTCATAAAATATGGAACATCCCTACCAGTGACAAAAAAGAAGAAACAGAAATAATATCCAGCCAACGCAAACTGCAGCAATCTTTGACAAAAAAGCATTTGATTAAACTTAGAATTGGTTTGATGGAGTGCTCTGACACAGATCTATCAAACAATGGTAAGACATTTAGAAATGAAATGTTTCTGAGATTATACATATCTAGTAATAACAGCTGCCATTTGTGTCAGCTTTTGTCCTTAAAGGTCCAACTCAGACAATTTTGTGTCAAGAAAACCTAAGCGAGCCTGACTTCTTAATTCATCTGAGATCCACCTTTCCCGAGCTTGGAGAAGACCCTTTTGAGGCTGTCTTGCTTGAAAGAAACAAAACATTACTTTCTAATCCTGTGAAAAGGATGACACAGACTGAACTTTACAGAGCCTTCAGAAATACACAGAAACACCTTGCCTTTTACATACAGCCAAAGGTAGGGTAATTAAGTTCTTCAATTAAACAAAAGTGCTATGGCTGATAATGATTTACTTTATGAAGGAGCTTAAAGACACTTGTGACACACCGACATCATCCCATGATCACGAGCCCAGTAGAAGGTAAGTTGCACCAAAAAATGCATATTGTGACTTTACTACTGTCAAAAGGGCTAATTTCTCTCATTTCCAACAGAATTTGACACTTTTATGCAAAATTGCTTGTTTTAAAACAAAGTTGCAAAGTGCAATATGGAGTTGCTATGAGAATAAAGTCATCTAAATTTTAGGAGACTGAAGTCTTAGTGAGACAAAGACATTTTATCAGAGTGGCCATGTTGAAGATTTAAGGATTGATTTCATAAAAGCAATTGCACCCTACTATGGATGTCAAACTTTATAATTCTAACCTTTTAACAAACAGCCCACATGTGTGTGCAGCCCAGTTACTGCACTTTAGTTCCACATCACAGACCTCTGAATCATATAGGCTGCATTTTCTCAAACCATTTCCTAGCAGCACATGGGGTCATGCCACGGGGAAATAATTCAACAGTTTGTACTTTTTAATAGGCCACCAAGATAAAGTTTGACAATCGTTGCTGGCTTCTGTACTTAAGATTTTAACTCATCCAAGCGTTATTCTTTTGCATCCTGGCTGTGGTTGCGAAAGTGAATTGCTCTTCTGCATTTGGTTTGTGTGGGAACATTTATGTCAAACCCAAAACCTTGGTAAAATTGCGTCTTCTTTTTGACTATGACTTTATTCTCATAATAATGTTATTCTTGTAGTACAAGGATTTTTTGCTCATAGTAGGCTGCTACGGTACATTATTTTTCATACAATTATGCCTTTAAGGTCAATATTATCATTATGACTTCATTCTCATATCCTCTACATATTTATATATTGCTTTTAATGGGAATGTTATCTGATAGTTAGATAGTGATAGTTAAAACAGAAATGGTTAGAAAAAAAATCTCTTCATGCAATTGCATGCAATTCCTTGTGACACCTATTGGTGTTCAACATAAAGAAAGTATATTTTGTAAGATGACGATGACGATTTGAGAGTACAAGACAGTACTGTGACTGTAGCATCAACCTTTTCCCACAGGGATTTTGAAGAACAACAACTGTCAGAAACGGTGTGTCCCTTTAAATCGGAAGATGAACAAGATGGCCTGTCCTCCATTGTATCTGCAGCTCAGAGTGCAGAGGGTGAAGATGAGGATGACTGGAATCCAGAACAAAACAATGAAGAGAACAGCGCTTCTCCAAAACCTAAAAAGATCAGAAAGAAAAGAGTTCCACAGATTAGCCCTGGTTCATGTAAAGTGTGTGGCCTTGCATTCCAATCCATCAAAAAAATCACCAAACATGCTCTTTGTCACCTGGATAATCCCAAAAGCATCTGTGGAGTATGTGGACAAGAGCTGGAGTCATCAGAGGAGCTCAAGATTCACCTGGAAACTCACCAGAGACTACATCATTGTGACACGTGTGGAAGATATTTTCTGACCTTTATTGCTTTTCAGAAACATAAAGTTACTTGTGAGTTAAGTGAAACTGGCTCTGCTAATGACAGGATGTGGAAAAAAATTAATTTTCATCAAAAAGAAAAGCCTAGTTACAAATGTGAATACTGCCCTCAGACTTTTACATTTAAAACACAGCTTTATGCTCACAAAAAGAAGATACATGGGGAGACATATTCTTGTGATGTATGTGGCAAATATCTTTCAGATTATTCATGTCTCTCACGACACAAACTGATTCACTTTGGTGAGAAGAAACACAGCTGTAAACATTGTGGGAGGCACTTTTATAGTATATCCCGTCTAAAAAGCCATGAAATAATTCATTTTGATCGGGAAAGAAATTTCTTGTGTGACATTTGTAGCAAAACATTTTATACAAAGAGCTTGCTAACCACGCACCAGAAAATACATGATGAATCACATGTCATTGAATGTCCTGTTTGTGGCAAGTTATTAAAAGGAGAGTTAGAAGAACACATGAGGATTCATACTGGAGAAAAACCGTACACTTGTAAATTATGTGGCGTGAAGTTTAGATTACGTAATCATCTCAGAAACCACATGAACTCCCATCTTGGCATCAAGCCTTTCACCTGTACAGTGTGTGGATGTAAAACATCACGTAAATCACACTTGGAGATGCACATGAGGACTCACACTGGGCAGAAACCATACAAATGCACATTGTGTGACAAGGCCTATACACAAGCACACTGTTTAAAAACCCACATGAAGAGCCACCAGACTGAAGAACAGACTGCTGTCAATGCTTTGGCTTGAAAGGAAGAAGTAAAAGCAATAAGCAAGCAAATAGAATTTTCCCCTGGGGAGGAATAAAAAATTTTTGTTACAGACTTGCAGCTGACTGAGGAAATGGAAGAGAAAACTAAAATAAAACATCAGCAATAGAGATAATACAATCAACTAAAATGCTGATTAAATAAAATATAAATGTTAATTGTAACTTAAATCTGTAATGACTGTATTTTTATGTTCAATTTGGCAGCAGTGAGATGACACATTTCAACAGTTTGTGACCTTTTGAAAGGCCAGTACTACAGTTTGTGTAGCTTCTATGTGTAAGCTTTTAACTCATCCATTCTTTGGCATTTTGACTGGTTAATTGCTCTTCTGAGTTCACTTTGAATGTAAACATTTATGTCGGTCAAATTTACTTAGTTCATATAGAGGAGCACTGTATTCACAAATAAAATTAAAATTACAAGACAATTATAGTCTTTTTGTTGATCTTACAAAGCCAAAATCATCAGAAAATAATTGTAATATTCTTTTTACCTATCCTACACTAGTCTCATGAAATGAGAGAAAAAACAAAATATGCTTTTTCAAATTGAATATAAAAGCAGCCTGCACAAGTGATATAAATTTAAGATACGATTAACATTTATTTGTCCCACAGTGGTGAAATTGCAGTAATTTTCAGTCAGTTTTTTATCAAGGGAAAAAAAAGTTGAAACAAGAACAGTTCATATCAGTTTTATGTTTTAAAAATTACCTTTTTCATTTTACTGTGTTACATATTTATTTGCTGTGTATTTTTAGGCATATATAAAACATAATTACGTGATAATTATGTATCTAATAATTTTAAGATGGCATTTACAGCTTGGGGGGTTCTGCAGAGTTATCTTTGCTGTTTTTACTGCAGTTTTCTGGACTGTGATGTTTTTCTTGGGATCTGCTGTTGCCATTCCTCCTGATGACAACAGGCACCACTGATGCCTTCACCTTCTGGCCTCCTCCAGCTCTTCTTTGAGCCCTTGATATTTCCCTTGTTTCTCATGTTCCTTTTTCTTGATGTTTCCATTAGAATGTGTACCACAACAGCTTTCCTCTGCTGTTTGTCCACTGCCACAATGTCCAGTTGGTTCATCATCACCATTCTGTCAGTCTGTATCTGGACTCCCACAGGATCTTGGATCAGTCATTCTCCACTACTATTGGAGGTGTTTTTGCACCTTGACCTTGGAGTATCCAGTGCTTACTCTGTACAGATGTTTCTGTACACTATGCCAGCCACTTTGTTATGTCACTCCATGTATGCTTTCTCTGCAAGCATCTTGCCTTCTGCAGTTATGTGCTGGACTGTCTGAAGGACCTATTTGCACTGCCTACACCGTGGGTCTTGTCTGGTGTGGTAGATTTGGGCCTCTATTGCCGATGTGTTCAAGGCCTCCTGTGCAGCCAGGATGACTGACTCTGTGCAGTCCTTCAGACCAGCCCTATCAAGCCATTGGCAGGATTTCTTGATATCAATCACTTCAGTTGTGTTATGATGCCAAGGCTGCCAGTCTGCGTCATCAGCTCCTCAGGCCACCACCAATCCTCACACACACCAAAGTCATACTAGACATTGTGGGTGAAGTGTCTTGCCTAAGGACACAACAGCCGTTTCTAAGACCTGCGCCACTGCCTCTTGGATGGAAAGTACTAACCAGGCTCGGCTTTGCATAGCTTCTGAGAGTACTAGAGCGGGCTGTGACATATGTATAGGTTGAGAAAAAAAAAAATGTGTCTGTGGTGACCAAATGTGCTTTAGTATGTTAATCTTTTATAGTATGGTTATGGTGATTTTTGATGGGCTATTGATAACGGGTTCGCAATATTAAATAAGTTACGTTAAAATAATATAAATTACGTGAAATAAGTAGCACTAGACGAGTATGTGATCCATTAAAAACACAAAAAGTGCCCCCCTATATTGTTTCCACACGGACTAAAATTACGTGTGCACTGCACGCTTCTGAAACGCACGTTTTTGGCGCACATCGTGCAGTGTTGTTTTCGTTCACGTGATTTAGTAGATCGTGTTTTTGTTGTTGAGATGGAGGCTGTAGGGCTTTATGTTGTTGGCTCATCTGAGAGCGAACTTTCAAAAGTCGAAATACTGAGGGCGCTAATCACTGAGAAAATGACTATAGCCGTGCGGGAAGTGTTAGCTGTGGTGGAGACAACAGTAGCTGGATACGAGAATGAAGTTTTGCTGTTGAATCAGGAGTTGAGTCTTAAGAAGAGGCAACTGGACGCGATCCTGCAACCTCGAGTATATCTGAACAGGAGAGGTATGAGGTAAATACATATATTGTTAATGATAGATGGTACAGGTAGTTTAACTTTACATACATTTTAAACTTTGTTTTTCTAGATTTTAATAGTTGCACCCCAGCCGTATCTTCAGGCAGCGTTGAAGTGAGACATGTGCAAAAAATTATCACAAAAGATGAGGACAATGGGGCGTCAAGAAAAGGGTTGGCAATTCTCTCATTCATATAGCCTTTTCCGTGTAAAATTTTGCTGTTGAACATATTTGTATGTTTATGCAGCACAAAGGGGCATAGTATTATCAGTGAGCCCGCAACACGCTCAACATTGTTGGACCAAGAAGAAAGCGATTGTGCTGTTGCAAATCCAGCCAGTGACTCTTTTGTGCCTTGTCCGGCCAGAGGGGAAACGCATCTCACCGATGAAACGGTAAATGATGCCCAAAAAACGAAGGTCAAAAGGAGAAGGCGGGTGCCGAAGCGATACAGATCAAACGATGACGAGACAGACTCTGACCGTCAGGAGAAAGAAGAAAAAGCATGGAAACCCACGCAGCGATCTTCACCTGGAAAGAAAAATCATTTGGTTAAAGTGGGTTATAAAATGTTGAACATCCCCACCAGTGAGAAAAAAGAAGAAACAGAAATAATATCCAGCCAATGCAAACGGCAGCAATCTTTGACAAAAAAGCATTTGATTAAACTTAGAATTGGTTTGATGGAGTGCTCTGACACAGATCTATCAAACAATGGTAAGATATTTAAATTAAATGTTTCTGATTATTATCTAGTAATAACAACTGTCATTTGTGTCAACTTTTGTCCTTAAAGGTCCAACTCAGACAATTTTGTGTCAACAAAACTTAAGCGAGCCTGACTTCTTCAGTCATCTGAGATCCACCTTTCCCGAGCTTGGAGAAGACCCTTTTGAGGCTGTCTTGCTTGACAGAAACAAAACATTACTTTCTAATCCTGTGAAAAGGATGACACAGGCTGAACTTTACAGAGCCTTCAGAAATGCACAGAAACACCTTACCTTTTACATACAGCCAAAGGTAAGATAATTCAGTTCTTCAATTAAACAGAATTGTTGTGGCTGATAATTATTTACTTTTTGAAGGAGATTAACGACACTTGTGACACACCGACATCATCCCATGATCACAAACCCAATATAAGGTTAGTATGACACTTGTGACGGGGTTGTTTTATGTAACTGTTACACTATCAAATAAAATATTATCCTTTTTGCAAAAACTTGCATTGCAATTTTTTAAAAAAGTCTGGTTAAATAACTCATAAATAAGTATATTTTGTAAGGTTAGGTTTGTTGGGTAATAATGGTATTTTGAGAGTCCAAGATGTATGACTGAAGTGCCTCCCTTTTCCCACAGGGATCTTGAAGAACAACAACAGTCAGCAACAGGGGGTCCAAGTAAATCGAAAGATGAGCAAGATGGCCTGTGCTCCATTGTATCTGCAGCTCAGAGTGAAGAGGGTGAAGATGAGGATGACTGGAATCCAGAACAAAACGATGAAGAGATCAACACTTCTCCAAAGCCTAAAAAGACCAGAAAGAAAAGAGTTACACAGATTAGTCCCAATTCATGTAAAGTGTGTGGCCTTGCATTCCAATCCATCAAAATCCTAACCAAACATGCTCTTTGTCACCTGGATAATCCCAAAAGCATCTGTGGAGTATGTGGACAAGAGCTGGAGTCATCAGAGGAGCTCAAGAGTCACCTGGAAACTCACCAGAGACTACATCATTGTGACACGTGTGGAAGATATTTTCTGACCTTTATTACTTTTCAGAAACATAAAGTTACCTGTGAGTTAAGTGAAACCGGCTCTGCTAATGACAAGATGTGGAAAAAAATTAATTTTCATCAAAAAGAAAAGCCTAGTTACAAATGTGAATACTGCCCTCAGACTTTTACATTTAAAACACAGCTTTATGCTCATAAAAAGAAGATACATGGGGAGACATATTCTTGTGATGTATGTGGCAAATATCTGTCAGATCATTCAAGTCTCTCACGACACAAACTGATTCACTTTGGTGAGAAGAAACACGGCTGTAAACATTGTGGGAAACATTTTTATAATAGATCTTGTCTAAAAAAACATGAAAGAATTCATTTTGACAGAGAAAGAAAATTTCTGTGTGACATTTGCAGCAAAACATTTTATACAAAGACGACTTTGTTGATGCACCAGAAAGTACATGATGAATTACGCATCATTAAATGTCCTGTTTGTGGCAAATTATTAAAAGGAGCATTAAAAGCACACTTGATGATACACTCTGGGGAAAGGCCTCACACATGTGACGTATGTGGTGTGAAGTTTAAATTAGCTAGTCATCTTAAATACCACATGAACTTACATCTTGGCATCAAGCCTTTCACCTGTACAGTGTGCGGATACAAAGCATCGCGTAAATCACACTTGGACATGCACTTGAGCACTCACACTGGGCAGAAACCATTCAAGTGCACACTGTGTGACAAGGCCTACACACAACCACACTGCTTAAAAACCCACATGAAGAGCCACCAGACTGAAGAACAGGCTGCTGTTGATGCCCTTGAAACCATGCAGTGACTGGATTCTTAAGTTCCCCATTAACACTAATGTATGTTTTCCATATGTCTATAGTACAGGCAAGAGCAAAAGGCCTCAGAACTCACCTGCTAAATAAATGTACTATGTGAGGACAGAAGATTCTTTAATGAACATTTAACAACAGTACTGTTTTGTAGCCTGTGCTATTTTGCAATAAAATTGTGCATATGTTAATTACAGAAAAAATGCAGATACTGTACAATTTATTATATGGTATAGAAATATCAGACTACAAAATACAATATGAATCATGTCTCTAGCACTGTAGGTGTACTCATGATGAAGGGAAATATTCATACATTTATTCTGGTGAGTTCAGTTCAACATCAACAAATGCAAGATTTGTTTTTCCTTGTACTTTGCTGACCCTGGTGCTTGCTATGTTCAGTTGTACATTCTTGCCTAGAACCTTAAAAGTTTACAAGAGAAAGTCATTGTTTTATTTTTGTAACTAGTATTATGAAATATGTACTATTACTAATACTTACTCTGTGTTTGATGTATTTGTACACATAAAATAAAGTTGTGTCTTCCTTCATTATAGTAAGCTTTGATTCCACTTTTTGTTTTTTTCCTCCTGTAACAACCATGCAATGAAATTACATTTAATTAAATTTATTTAATAGGCTGTTATCTTTGCTGGATATACAGCAAGGTTTGAATGCTTTCTTTACCTGAAAGTAAGCTCACTAAAAGCCCCACACAGATGACAGTTATGGTTCCAATGGGACTGAAGTACATGTATGAAAAGGAGTACCACTTGTCCACCAAAGGAGACCTGGAAAACCGGAGAGACGGAGAGACATACACAGAACAGGGCTTAAGACGGTGGAGTAAAATATGATGCTTAGGGTAAAAGTGAATAGAATGGAGGCATAGAGAGAAAGAGACAGAGACAAAGCGTGTGTTTGGATAATAAACATCTACACACCTGCTTCCTATATCTTGCTCAAGTGTAGTAACTGAAATAGCCTCAGTTGGGGCCATGGTGAATGTCCAGTTTTGAATCTCTGCAGTGAAGTTACAGCCTGCAGTGGTTAGAGGCAGTGGGCGCACCAGTTCAGAAGGAGGTGGGTAAATGTGGGAGCCAATGGAAACCCAGAGAGACAAGGCAAAACCTAAAACCAGGCCTGATAGTGCACCCTGGAAATGGGTTAGAATAAAACAGTTTATATCTGTTCACAAAGTATAGGTACATCTGAAGTGAATTAAAACATACTTTTGAGTTGGCAATGGGGCAGAGAATACCCAACACGAAAAGGCCTAGCAGTGGACCTCCAATGACCCCAAATACACTGATGGCAGCCTGTTAAATGTAAATAGCAAAATTTGTACTTTCAATTGGTTTCAGAGTGAGGAATGGTAAAAGTACTCAAAATGTTGCATATAAACAGGAAGCTGAAACCCATGAATTAATTGGCTGTTGCAGTATAAGCATAATGTCTAATCATAAGACAAATTTAACTGCCTTTACCTCCTGTTGAGACCAGACAACCCTGGGAGCCTGGTTTCTGTGTTAAACTGCTTCAGTGATGTAAATGGTTGGATGGCACAGAACTTCCTACAACTCAACAGCTCCTAATCTCAATCATTTTAATTAATTTCCCCAATCCACCAACCATATCAGCAGTAGTCTCAGCAGTAGGGGTCTCTCACCCCTGCTGCCAGAAACCTCAGCGTCATTTTTGACTCTCACCTCAACTTCTACCTTTATGTCAAAAAAGTCACCCAATCCTGTTTTCTCCACCACTGCACAATTAGCAAAAGCAAACTATCCTCTCCCACCCTGGTCTAGATAAAGTCATCCATACGCTCATTTTCTCCTGTCTAGACTATTGCAACTCCCTCCTCTCTGGCCTTCGCTCTAAATCCATCTCCCGCCTCCAACTGGTTGAGCATGCAGCAGCTCGGCTCCTCACTGGATTTAACAGATATCAACAAATTACCCCTGTTTTAGCTTCCCTTCACTGGCTGCCTGTGTGTTTTAGAATCAATTTTAAGATTTTACTGATCACTTTAAAGATCGTTTAGGCACCAAGTTACATTTCAGAACTTTTAACCCCGTACGAGCCTCCCACAGCCTTAGAGCCTCAGGCAGGTCCCCGTTAGCTGTTCCGAAGTCTAGGTTCCGGACGAAGAGTGATCGAGCCTTTTCAGTTTGGGTGCCTTGGCTTTGGAATGACCTGCCTCCGAAAATAAGGCTCACACCATCAGTATTATCTTCTAAATCACTCCTTAAAACCCATTTTTAACAGTGTTCCTTCCTTTAACTGGTTTTAGCTTGATTTTTTCTCTTATTTATTTTTATTCTATTTCTTTTTTTTTTATTATTATAATTAATTGGATTGTTTGCATCATTGTCTGTTTTTGTATGCTATTTTTATGCTTTTTTATTTTTCATTGCTGCTTGTACAGTACTTTGTAAACCTTGTTTTTAAAAGTGCTTTATAAATAAAGATTTATTACTATAATTATTGTTATTATTGTTATTACTAACTGTATATCTCTACCTGTAAAATTCCTCCCATAAGAGAAGCCAGTGCTGCCATTCCAATGCACAAGACTCCATACAATAAGCCTGTAAAAGACAGTGGTTACAAACACTGTTGGGCAAGTTACTTTAAAACTGTAATGCATTATTTATTACTTATTACTGTCATTTCAAAGTAATTCGTTACATTACAATATTACTGCATTTAAATTGTAAGGCATTACATTACTATTGCATTACTTTAAGTTACTCTCACCAAAATAACTGCGAAAAAGCTGAACTTTTGAGCCGTATATGGACTGAACCAGGACTAAACAAGGTCTAAACCAGGACTAAACCAGAGCTGAACCAGGACTAAACCAGGACTATAACAGGACTAACCTCAGACTGATTCCAGGACTGAAGAGGAGGACTAAACCAGAACTGAACTAGGACTAAAACAGGACTCACTGTCAGGACGGGCTCGAAGGTGACCGCAGGAGAAAGGACCGGCTTTGCTCCGCACCTCATGGAGGTAAGAGCTGCTGTCGCCCAATCGCGCTTTATGGACCCTGCTGCGGGGGCTCGCGGTCCTAATTTCAGCAACTATTTTTACGGGTACAAGACCCGGTGCAAAACTCTGCTACAGCGCGTAACTTCTACCTTCCTTCAACGTGTCCAGAAGTCCAACTTTTTGTGCGATGGTTTGCATCGTCCTCTGTCTTTTGGGTGCGAGCGCAGGAGACTTTGTCGGTGCAGAACGTTTCGTCGACGTTGTGGATTTTGTCGGAGAGAAAACTTGCAGACATACAGCACTTCAGAAGCACACTGATACAGATTGAACATTTATTTAAATTTGGCAGCTGAACACATTCTGTACTGTACTGTACAGGAGACAGGAGTCCCTTCAGCCGATCAGGACGCAGCAGGAGGAACGCAATACGTGTTCATACACTAAAAACAAAAGGCATGCAAAATTGCACAAAAAAAAATTCAAAAAATCAGCGAAACAGCGAGACCGCGAAAAGTGAATCGCTTTAGAGCGAGGGACGACTGTAAACCAGGTCTAAACCAGAAGTGACCCAGGTCTAAACCAGGTCTAAACCAGAAGTGACTCAGGTCTAAACCAGGTCTAAACCAGAAGTGACCCAGGTCTAAACCAGGTCTAAACCAGAAGTGACCCAGGTCTAAACCAGGTCTAAACCAGAAGTGACCCAGGTCTAAACCAGGTCTAAACAGCGTAGAGTTCTGGGTCGGTCCTTTCACCCGCGGTTACCTGAAGGTCTATCCGGCCGCGTCTCCGGCGTTTCACCGCTGCTGATTTCACGGTGATTTTAGCGAATTTCTATGAAGAAAAACCCACCACTTCAATCCAGGTTAAAAAAGCATTGTAACGCGCGTTACTCACATTTGTACCGAGTAAAATATTACAATTTTTCCCCCTGTAATGCCTTACATTACTGCGTTACAGCAAAAATCAACGCATTACTGTAATACATTACTTTTATAATACATTACTCCCAACACTGGTTACAAATAAAATGACTCTTTAAGGTTTTAGATAATAGTTTTCTCACTGAGTCCTTTGGAAATCCAGGACAGCCATTTCTCTGACAGTTTTGTATTTGGCTTGATTAAATCTTCTACTGTCACTGCAGCCAGAGCGTTAATACTGGAGGACACTGTGCTGCAAATAAAGAAAATACAATAATTAAAATTAGAATAAACTAAACTGTCTAGAAAGCAAATGTATTAGTTTAAATGCATGGCTTTTAAGCAAAGCATTTAAAATTAACATTTGATGTTAATTTTACCTCAATGACCCACTGTATGCTGCTGCTACAAACAACCCAGGAAGTCCAGGGTATCCTCCTAAAATGTCCATTACTAAATATGGCATCAGCTGTGAAACACAATGCAAATAAAGTGTCATTCATAACAATATAGACTAAGAAAACTTTTTAGAAAAGCAAAATAAAAAGTATTATTATTGCAATCACTGTTACAGTTGATAAAACAGTACAGATTTTATGCTTTTCATTTTTATTTATTTCAGAATAATAGGCTAGACCTGATCTGGGGCAGAGATGAGTCCAGAGGTCCAGGGGTCACAGCTCTTATAGACAGAATACAGACACAGTCCAGCAAATACTGAGCTCAACATTATCACCCACAAGCCCAGCAGGTTTACATACAAAGATCTGGAAGAAAAGAGCGTATTTACTAACCAGGTACATGGTGGAAGAAGTACTCAATTTTGTAACTTAAGTAAAAGTACAGATACTGGAGCTAAAAGATACTCAAGTAAAAGTATCAAATGAAAAAATTTACTCAAGAAAAGTATTAAAGTACCCATCTAAAAATGTACTTGTAAAAATGTATGTACAGATTTTGAGACCTAATAAAGCTTCAAATGTGATATTAATAAATGCTTTATGCTGCTTTACTACTTTTACTTTACTTTTACTTTGCTATGTTATGTCCATCACTGACTAGGTATCACTTCTAAACTACTTTTAACCATGTAATTAATAAAACAGACTTCAACAATACAATATTAACTCACAGTCTGGCCTGAGTGAGGCTTTTGCAGGAAATGTATCTTTGAACTTGGGACTGGTTGATCCCATAAATACTGGACCATACGAATGTTGCACCGATGGTAACGGTCCAGAAAGTGTGTCGTCTCAAAGGATTCAGGTCAAACCTAAAATAACACAAATAACAAAACAGTGATGTAACATTATCATATTTTAAATTGCTGTGCAAGAGTCCACGTACTCCCACATGTCAAGTCTCCCTCCTTCTTGTGAATCTTTGATGATGGGAAATATGCCTCCTTTTAAAGCCACAGAACGAACAATGACAGCGAGAAAACCTGCCAACATGACAGCGACCTGTGGACAATACATTAAGATTAAATCAGATTTTTAATATGAAGGATTCAAGTAAAGAATGTCAAAGTTATCTTGATTGGTTTGTCACTATAGTTTTTTCAGTAGCTGTTCATGTTTACTATACTTACCACAGCTATACTTACCAAAGCTACTCACCAGTTTATTTTTGGAAAGGGCTTTACCAGCATTTTAAAAATAATGTCACAATTGAATGAAACTGGACATTACATTTTGCTGAGACAATTATCATTGTTAAGTTATTTCTGTACACATACATTACTTAAAATCGCTTACAAACCTAATCTGTTTTCTAAATTACAAGTATGCGGGTCTTTCAGTAACTGATTAATTACCAGTTACTGATTAACTATACGATTTAAGATTTTATAATTAAGGCAAATGACCTAGAATAGACCCAGCACCTCTCCACAACTGTGTAATGACTGTATTAGCTAACAAAGATGACCACAAAAAAAAACACAGACCTGAGTAACAACATGTGGTTTACCTGAAAGACATCAGTCCACACCACTGCCTTCAGACCACCCTGGAACAATAATAAAAGCCAAACACAGGTACGATTGCAAACAAGGAAGGTAAAGACTGTAAACATATGCGTCATGTTTAATTTGTCCTTCACATACCAATGTACAGTAGAAGGTGCAAACTAGTCCCGTGGACACAACAGCACCCCATAGATCCATTCCTGTTACTACACAGATGACAATAATATATGTACTTATTAGTCAAACCATTAGTCAGGGTCTTAGTCAGTAACCTGTAACCGACAGGCTCTTGTGAGCTTTAAGCCATGTTGGAGTGTTACCTCCTCAAAAACATGTCTGGAGTTATGTTATGTTTTATTCATACATGAGTAATCCTCTATTATTAGTCTGTCTATAGAGCTGCCATTCCAATGCACCATATCGGCTTGTCAGGCCTCATCAGTACTTGTATGGGAGACAACTGGGAAAATCAGGTGCCACAGTAAGGCGCCAGTCACAAAAACTGTTGTGCCCTTAGACAAGGCACTTCACCCACATTGCATAGTATGAAAGTGGTGTATGTGTGAGTGTTGGTGGTGGTCGGAGGGACCGATGGCACTGATTGGCAGCCCTGCTTCTGTCAGTTTGCAGGGCAGCTGTGGCTACAATAGTAGCTTACCATCACCGGGTATGGAGTGAATGAATAATGATTTGTAAAGTGTCTTTGTGACATATGTTTGTGAAAAGCGCTATATAAAAACTTACTAACTTACTTACATTTCCAAAGCTCAAAATATTTTTTTTCTGCCTTGTGATGTCTCAGAGTAACAGCTACCTTTTACATTTAATTTAGTAGAGAAGGCAATTCCAGTTCAGAAATTATCCAAATGATTCTAGTGAAGGTGTATAGAGTTTAAAAACAAAGTGGAGCAAAGTGGAGAGTGTTTTCTGTTTGAGAGAAGAACGCAGCCTAAACATGTAGGATTTGTGTGTTAAAACAAAACACAACTCCTGGTATGTTTGTGATGTGGAAACGTTCATAACATAGTTAAGAAAGTAGCATAATATGGGCCCTTTAAAATGAGCCAAATGCATTTCAATAGGATGACCACAGCTTACCTTGAGTTAAAGCTAGGGCAGGGGTATAAATAACTATCCCAGTATAAAGCACCTGCAAAAATAGAAAATGGGAAATACACACCTTATTCACTGTCTCTGGTATCTCTTGTGGTTTTGGTTCTTTGGTTTTTGGTTTGATATTGTGGAAAAGTGACTCACAGTCTGCACAATGAATAACACTGTACCCAAAAGACGAGTGGCTCTGTTGAAACGCAGCTCTAAATACTTCACATTAGCCGGAAAACAAGGCAGAGAGAGAGAGAGAGAGAGAGAGAGAGAGAGAGAGAGAGAGAGAGAGAGAGAGAGAGAGAGAGAGAGAGAGAGAGAGAGAGAGAGAGAGAGAGGGGGGTTACCATGGCACCAAAGAATGAAAATGTACTCTGGAAATATTTTTGTTATTAAATATGTACAAGTACCCATATATTAAAAAAATAAATATATATTAAACTACCAAACAACAAACTATCACCAATTTATTTTTTTCTTTACTATGGCCGACCAGGACAAGGGATTACACAGATATGACTATTACTATTGCCTTTTTTTTTTTTTTTTCTTTTTTTTTTTTCACAGTTAGAAAAAACTTAGACAAACTATTGATCCACAATAGAAATTACTTAATTGATAAACTCACCTCATTTGTGCTTGTAATGCCCAGTCTATAGAAAACTGGGAGGAAGATCTCAGATGTCACTGTCATTGCCAACACATAAGAAATACAGGAAAAGCCAATAATGGATCCATAACGGTACACCTATAACAAAGAAGGAAACAACAACTGGCATTAATGGCAGGAAATTTACATAAGAAGATACTGGTAAATCAGTTGTTGAAAATACAGTCTTCATTATTTTCATGGAAATGGTTTGTTAGAACCTGCAAGTTTTTATACAGTCAAACATCAGTGCTTTTACTTTGCATTTAAATATGAAAGTGCAACCTAATTATACCTAATAAAATTACATTGTAAATCTTTGTAACATACCCTGTGATTTGCACTCACCTCAGCTGGGGTAGACAGTACAGTAATGGCGGACATGAAGCTGGCTGTCAGGGACATGGCCACAGGAAGAGCGCTGAGTGTCCGGCCTCCCATCAGAAAGTCCCCAGAACTCTGCCGGTGCCGGTCTGTCCAGGCATAGTACACCCCCACAGCTGCAGACATCAACAGCATCAGAGCAAAAACCACATAGTCCCCAAACACGAAGGAACTGGAGACTGGAGGGGTCCCAGACATGATTGTGAAAAAAATAAAATGCAATAGTACAAGTAAAAGATAGAGTTTTGGGATGATAACGCCAACAGGAGATGGCCAGGTGCCTATTTGCAAATTACAAGCTATGATAAAAAGGTACAATAAATGCCTTAGTAGTATGCATACTGAACGGGCAGAGGTTGTAAATATCTGAATTATTCTTTGAGCTAAATCCTACACTGGAAAAAGCAACAAGTGGTTGTAGTAGTCCTATATTGAAAATGGTAGTCCGACTCCCTTACGTCTAACTAAACTACTGAAAGATTTGAGAGTGTAAAAAAGCAGAGAGATGCTGGACTGGAGTCCTGCAGGTGAATGTGAGTCAAGTGGCTGAATAAAGGGCCATTCACCTGACCATGCACAGGGCTGAACCAATCACAACACGGTCTAACTGCTATGTCAGTACCATTGTGTATCACTGAGAAGTTTTCAAAGTAGATAAGTATTTTAGCTCAGTCTTTTAAAAAAAATGTATCCTTCGAGGTCTGAAGTTCAGAATGTTCTGAAAAAGAATGTAAATAGGAGGTAATTAAAATTACTGAACTACATCAGTTGTACAACTTGAAATTCTCAAAGGCCTGAAGTATGCCATTCTGTGTCATTCCAGTTTTCAGTAATCAATGATTGATTTTTTAATAATTAACAATTCTATCTATTCTACACAGCAAGTGTTAATTCAGCTCATATGTTGATGGAGTGCACAATAGAATTAGTTAAAACTACACTTTCCAAAGTGTAGAAGGCTCAACACTGGTAAAGTGATGTAACCACACACCTCATAGTTGAATTTGACACTGACTAAGATTAGATTTTTTTACACTAGTGTTACGGCCCCAGGCCTTAGGTTTAATTTGCTGTGTGATTTTTGCGAAGTTCTCCTAATTCCTGCTGCAGGAGTCCTGGTCTGTGATTGGTGGGGCAAGTCGACGCCCACCTCACCTGCAGCCACCTCCCCCTATTTAAGGAGATTACCAGCACCTTTTCGGGGCTGCTGGCCTTGGTGGCTAGTATGCCGTATTGTTTTTTTTTTGTGTGTGTGTAGTTTAGTTTAGTTTAGTTTAGTGCCTTTTTTGATTTGGTCACTCGATTCTGTTTGTGGGTTTATGTGGTTTAATTTGGGGAACTTGTGTTTTAGTTTAGTGTGTGTCCCTAAGTTTTACCACTTGTTTTTGTGTAAGCCTGCGTGACCCCTTTTCTGGCACAAAACTCTGTTTATTCTGTTGTTCTGTTTCTTAGTTTAGGTTGTTTTCTGTATATTTTTAGTGTTTTGTTAATTTACCTTTACATTCCTGTTAATTAAACATTACTTAATTTATTCCATTTTACATCTTGGTTTTATTTTTGTTACTTCCCTCACCCCAAACGAGCTGGGTCGTAACACTAGTGTATAGTAAAAAACTAATAACTCTATATTGCTATGTTTTAACACTTTATGAAATAGAAATAGTGTAGAGTGTTCTTGTTTCACTATTCAATAGTAACTCTTTCTTCACTAAATACAGTGTAAATGCTGTGGTCATTCTAGTCCATAATCCCTTTTACAAATGTAAAATAATGAAAGCCACCACAAAATTCCATTTCATCTTAACTTACATTAAAATAATGCACATCAACACAATTTAAACAAGTCATATGACACAGTACTATTTTTGCAAAATCCAACTGACAGCAGGAATTATCTGTGCCCTCAACAGTTGGTCACAATGATTGTCATTTATTTTTGATGATTTTTCAATGCAAGTACTTGATGGATGAATCAAGATCTTGTTTTGAATGGGATTCAGGCATGCTCATCTCCAAAAATGCAAGGAGCATATCTGACAGTTTGAAACAAAATCTCCATTATATTAACAATAACAATGTTCACAAAAGAGGCAGTCCTGCTAATTATGAAACAATATTACAGAAAATTTTTACCTCAAGAGTCAGTCTTTCACTCTTGGGGTTTCTTTTGACACATACAATGTCCATGTTGTAGACAGTTCTTTGAATACAGGTGTAAAGTTTGTGAGAGTCTGACGATCAAGTGCCTTGAAGTGTTCACCAAATTCAGCCAGGTCAACGATGAAATAAAAAAAAACCTTTGTCCTTCCCACTTCAGTCACAGGTAGAAAGGCCGTCCAGGCTCAACCAGCAAGAAATGTGTCCATACCAATCTGTAAAATAAAATATAAAATAGAATAAATATAACATATTCAAGTAACCACCTTGCAGAACAGACTATGCAATATTTAATGAGCCACAAATAAAAATTTTAAAGTAAATATATAGCAAATATATTATGGTGGATATATCATTATTTGCTTGTTCCTATTAAGCAGGTTATTCTGTTGCATGAGCTGTCTGTTTTTGTGTACAGGAACCATTTAAATAAATAAGTTGAAGGGTAATTTGAAAAAATGTAGCACCTTAGAAAAATATTATTTATAAATGCAAGACCCACAAGAAAGAAAACAAATAAATAGACACTCTCTAGGTGTTTAACGTTAACACTGTGAATCAACAACTACTTATTTTACTCTACAGCACAATCATAGTTGAAATAACTCTTTGACTATGTTGAAACATATCTGGATTTTCTTCACTTTACTCACAACAACACCAACACCATGAATTTAACACTTTTGAATTTGCTGTATACAACAGTATCCCGAAAAAGCCAAGTGGACAGGGCAGCTGCTGTTTGAGATGTTCATAGGAGTTAGAAACATCTCTTGGACTGCAAATGTGAGTTCATGGTGATTTTGTTTTTGTATATATTTTGTTTTAATATATATTAACAATCCGGATAAACATACAATTTACCAACTTGAAACCCCTTGTATACATATTTATTTAAATCCCTTCACCCTTGAGATTAGATTAGTATGGAGTATCAATACTGAAAAATTACCCCACCGAAGTACTTTATATTGATAACACAAAATGTGGTATTGTCTAGCCGTATTGTATATGATAAAAAAAAAAAAACTTATCAAACAAGGGCTAATCACCTGTTCATGCATAGGGCTGTACCACTCACAACACACTCTAATTACTATATCAGTACTATTAGTACTGTACTAGTATAGCGTGTCACCAAGAAGTATTCAAAGTATCAACTCACAGTCTGAAGTTCAGAATGTTCTGTATAGGAGGCACTTAAAATTACTGACCTACATCAGTTGTAAAAAAGAAAAGAAAAAAAAAAAAAAAAAAAAAAAAAACACCACTTGTACAACTTGAAATTCTTCAAGGCCTGAAGTATGTGATCCTAACTAACCAAACTAATGAACTAATCGACCGTTTTAAATGTTGCTATTAGTCACAGCAGCAGTTATCCAACAGTGTACGCTGTAAGGATGTGTTTTATAATTTATTTGTCTTATGCAGTCTGCTCTGCTCACATGACTCTGTTCCTACTGAGATTTCAGGACAATCAGCTAAAAGATGAAAGTGAAAGTAAGAACAGATAAAGGGCATGTTACATGCACACACAAAGCGATGAAGTAAAGTATATTTACATTTTTATTTGAATACTGCAATATTAAACCAAACCGGAAGTATACGGCAACAATCATCTCGCCCTCGTCGCGCACGTGGTGCTAGGGTTTCCCAGCATGCTTTTCTCCATCATGGCTGCGCCCTGCGGTCGGCGTGTGTGTAAACACTCCGAGTTTTGAAACGATTTAAATCAAAGATTTAACGTTTAGATGTAAAACACACGCGCACATCTGCAGCATCGTGTTTGTCTAATGTTTGAAACAGAAAGGCAAAGATGAAGATCAAATCCAAGTCCTCGTATCATAAATCTGAAAACACATTCAGGGTGAGTCCACTGAAGCATGTTGTTTCTGCAGAATGAACTGGAGACACGAATAAACCTTTCATTATACAGTAATTACACGACTTTGTGTCCAAGGGCGTGTGCCTATATATCTAATGTGAAATTGGCAAAATGTTTGCTAAATCTTGTGTTGTTTACTTTCTGCTTTGGCTAATGCATTGGGTCAGATGAAAAATATCTTATACTACAGCTGCTGTCTGGGCTGTGTAACATCAGCGTGTTGAGTTATCAACATGGGTGAAATGGCAGCACATTATTGCTGTACTGTATTTTATATATGTGCTCCATTGTGAATATTAATGGCATTTCTTTACAGTTTCTCACTTTTGCTGAGAGACTTGCCAATGTGAACATCGATGTGATTCACCGTATTGACCACACAGGCTCCTATGCAGAGGTACTGTCACCATGGTTATATACTGCTCTCCTTCCTTTTAAACTTTAATTTGTTTAACTCTAACCTCATCTATGTTTTCAATTTAGGAAGTAGAGACATACTTTTTTGAAGGGCTCACAAAATGGAGAGACCTGAACTTGACAGATCATTTCAGTATGTTTACTTTATTACTTACAAAAATGTGTTTTATATAAATGTTAATATTGACAAGCTCCTCTTTTCCTTTTTATCAGCCACATTTCTGAAAGAGGTCACAAACAAATGCCAGTCCTTCAATCTGCTGGTGTTCCATCAAAAGTCAATAGTGGAGAGTCTGAAGATGCATCTTGCCATCAAAAACAGCCTCGCCTTCCAGCCACTGTTAGAGTAAGTATGCTTTGTCTTAAAGGTGCATTGTGTAAGTGTGAGGAGAATCCCTCAGTCACCCAGGTAGAATCCATAGCGAGGAGAAAATTCAGTTAGTCGACTGGACAAAAATTTGTTTGGTTGAAGACGTTTCGCACCTCATCCAAGCTGCTTCTTCAGTTCTGAAGCAGCTTTGATGATACTCAACAGCTCTTCCTTACATTTATTTACTTACAGGTGGTTTTATAGCTCAAAAATACCTAGAAAAACAGGCATTATTATACTCCTCTCCTCAGATATGACCTGTAACTTGTTGTGGATACCACACTGTGAAACTTTCCAGATGAAGCAATAACGTCTCCATGGAGAAAAGCATTTCAGAGACCCTCCACCAGAAATGTAACACAGTGCACCTTTAATGTATATGTACAGCTGACAGATGAAAATTATTTAAACGTACTATTCAATTAAATTGAATTGAATTATATATCGTTAACTGTAGTTGTAGTAATGTTATTGTATGCCATTCTTGTTAGCCACCTTTATTCCATTGCATGCATGCAGTTTTACCTATGTTCTGATGCCTTCAACTTTGCTATGTTTAGAGGAGGAAAATGTACAAAAAAAAAAAATTAAAGTACAAGAGCAGATTTTAAGGTGAAACACCCAAAATTTCAATTTGGGATTTTGGTTGCAGATATTTTAATATTTGGCGACCAGTCAGTAAAACAGTTCAAGCCCTGGTTTAAGAAGGTTGTGATATAATTTCATATATTTTTTTAGTTATTATTATTTTTTTGCCATGTTGCCTACCCCTAAAACATGTAAGCGATTCCAATATAGGTTGCATAAATACCTAAAAATGCATACTCTATTCTGTTTAATACTATATGTAATCATTGTGTGGTTAAAATCTTATCTATACTGTGTTCCTTATTTCAGTTTGGTGGTCCAACTGGCCAGAGATCTGCAGGCAGACTTTTATCCACACTTTCCAGACTTCTTCCTCCTGATCACAGCTCTCCTGGACACCAAAGACACAGAGCTGCTGGAGTGGGCCTTCACCTGTCTGTCCTACCTCTACAAATATCTGTGGAGACTCATGGTTAAAGACATGGTCAACATTTATAGGTGAATATCAATGCATTCTCTAGTAGACTATGCAAGCAAAAATACAACAATGTAGAAAAGCAATGTAAACAATTTAGCAAAATTTTGTTTTAGTTTTGTTAAAATTAAAAATGTTGTAAATATTGTAGTCAGGCTGTTTTGTCTAAATAAAACAAATGTTCTTCTAACAGTAGAAGTTAATAATATGGTAAAATGGTATTTAACTGATCCCCTGTGTCCTTTTTAACATAGATTTCTTTTTCCATATATAGTTTGTACAGCATACTGTTGGCACATAAGAAGGAGCACATCAAAAAGTTTGCTGCAGAGAGTTTCTCCTTTCTGATGAGAAAAGTACAGTGACACTCTTGTTATACTTGATGTCTTTATTTATTGTACTGGGTTTACAGCACTATTTGTTTTATTTTTCCACAGGTTCCTGATTTTGATGCCCTCCTCAATCACGTGTTTTCAGATCTACAACAGCATCCTGAAAAAGCCGAAGGGACAGGGCAGCTGCTGTTTGAGATGTGCAAAGGAGTTAGAAACATGTTTCACTCATGTACTGCAAATGTGAGTTCATGGTGATTTTGTATTTGTTTGTTTTTTATCTACAATCCTGTTAACATACAATATATGTTTACAGGATTGTAGATCCTGTTAACCCCGCTAAGTATTTTATATTGATACCAAAAATGTGGTATTGCCTATTCCTCTATGACAAAAAAGTAGAATGTTTAAAGTGGCTGTCTGGACTATGTTTTGGAGTTGGGAAGAAACTGTCATCAAACAAGCGCTATCTGTTCTTAAGATGAACCTGTAGGAGAGCAGCATCTAATGTCTATATAATGTTTTTTTTTCTCTAGGCTCTCTCTGTGGCCCTGCGTAAACTGGGACCCACCACTTGTTCTGACCTCTCTCTGCCCTGGGACACTGTCAGAGACGCTCTCGATCAAATGGCTCAATCTGCCGCTGATCATGTGAACAAAGAACACTTCCTGGTTATGTTTGAGTGTTTACAAGTGAGCACTTTAGTCTGATTTGGTTCATCATGATGTCTATTTCTTGTGGTATTTAAATCATTTTGATAATAACTACCACATTTTACACACAATGTTTACAGTCCAGCATAGCTGAGGTCCATGGTGTAGTTGAGGCTAAGGGGGACAAAACAGAGGAGGCGATAGACCAACTGGAGCGACTGCTGTTCATTTTCCACACACTGGTGTCACACAGAGATGGAGCCAAGGTCACAAAACCAGAGGAGGTCTGCCAGGTAAAAAAAAAAAAAAAAAATAAATATATATATATATATATATATATATATATATATATAATATATATATATATATATATATGTATATATATATATATATATATATATATTATATATATATATATATATATATATATATATATATATATATAATATCAGTAAGAATAAGAAATATCAAACTTATTATTTAAGTAAAAGAAAGAAAAAAAATCATGATTTTCTTTCTTTTTTTTTTTTTCAGATTTAATTTTTGCCTTGTTATTGTCTTGGTTTAGCTTCTGTTGTGTTTTAAATACAACATTTTTCCTCTTATCTTGCAGCCCATATTTTATCCTCCCCATGAAGTTCTATTACTGTTGTTATAAACAGGTCATAAACACTTGTTATTTTCTTTCCACAGGTGGTCCTAAAGTTGGTTCAGTGCCCTTCTCTGTCAGCCTCTTGCTTCCGTCTGCTTCTCCAGATTATCTCGTCTTTACTGTTGGGAGAGAATGTCACACTACCAAATGCTCTCATTCAGCAAACCATTCAGAAGGTCTGAAATAGATGAAATTATATGAAATTCTGAATATTCAGTTTACTGAGGGATTAAGTATACTTGTACACTATATATGATCAGGACTAATCTTGATAATCCCCATAGTAGTTTAAAGAGGTCCAGAATGAATCAATAAACTATATTTATGCACAAATGATCAACTGTACAGTATGTTGTTTTTTTTTCTTTTTGTAGGTTTTGAACAGTAACATCAACAAAGATCTGATCCTAGAGTTCACCAAAGAAATGTTCACCATGAAACAGTTTCGAACAGGTGAGTGATTATATTGCTTTGTTTTTCAGCATTTATTGTAAATTGCTCAAATAAGTAAACTAAACTAATCTAAAGCAACTAAAAAATGTCATTATATATTAAACTGGTGAGTTAGATGATCACTTTTTTAGTTTATCACAGGAATATTTTTGAGCATCATGTGTATTCTTTTTATCCTTAAAACATAAACCTTTTCATGCCCTTTCCTTCAGCTCTTCCTGCCCAGCCTCCTGCGCTTCTCTGCTGGGCTCATGACCTCAGGTGAACCCCAGTCGTTGCGCTCCGGTCTTGAAGTAATGGTCCATCTGATTCTGGCCAAAGCACCACCCCCCACAGATGGGTCCCTGGCTTTTGAGACATACCCACTGCTTTTCACGGGTCAGACAACAGGGTAACTATTCCCTCTTTAACTTCTGTAGGTCATTTCATGTATGTCTACTGTAGAATAATTTTTATATGCAAGTATAAATACATTGTAAACAGAGTAAACCATGGAGGAAAAGTGAAAAGGATTTGTTGTAAAGCTATATACAATGGATAATGTTGCCACTTTTTTCCACTAAATGCAGAGTTTGTGGCAGTATAGATGTACATGATAATAGCACGACACTAGAGCCCCCTGCTGTACCGGAAATGGTTCTTTCTTTGGTCAAATTTCCCGAGGACAGATCAGCCAATCACAGACCTGTCTCACCTATGGGCTGCGCTGGTGCTTCTGCCACACCTCAGGTAATATCAACTCACACAGATCTACTGGAAATTTCAATAAACCATTTAAATGCATTAATGGTTCTTTTTTAACAATTCATTAATCCCTATAGCATATTTATGTTTTACAGTTGTTTTTAGATCAAAATAAAATGTGTAAATCATGAATTAGAGCTAGTTAGTAATTAGTAGTAATCTTTTTTTTTTCCCTCATAGACCACTGCCTGCTGCATCAGTGCTTCCTCCTGTTACAGCCTTTTTGAACCATCTACTCCATCAAATAGATTCAGATAAACTGGGAAAAGGTTTGTTTTTTTTTATATTGTAAGGCAAGGCAAGTTTATTTGTGTAGCACAATTCGTACACAGTAATTCAAAGTGCTTTACAGAATAAGAAATACATTAATATCACAACACAATACAATAAAAATCAAAACTTAAACAATCATAAAATTTAAAAGCGAGAGAAACGTTAAAGAAACAGCTCAACACAACTGTTTTGAGACTGGATTTAAACAGCATCTGTTCGGGGTTTTAGATGCATGAATCTGAAACTCTGACTCCCCGTGTATAGTCCTGACTCTGGGCACCCGCTGGAAGCGGGTTCCTGAGGTCTCTTAGGTCCACAGAGTGCGAGATGGTTCATATGGCACTAACATGTCACAGATGTACTTTGGTGCTTGGCCATGGAGAGACTTGTACACAAACAGAGCCGCTTTAAAGTCTATTCTCTGAGCCACAGGAAGTTAGTAACAGTAGTAATATTAGTAGTTGTAATATTAGTTATCTTTCTCCAAACTATATTGACCAGTGTCCTCTTTATGTCTTTGCAGCGGGGTTATTTGTGGCCAGACAGGCTTTGAGCTGCCTCCTCACAGTGGACAACTCTGCGAATGTCCTTTCATTGATCTCAGTGGATAAGATCACCTCTATCCTACAGTAAGGCTTCTGTATTTAATTATTATATATTAATATATTCATAAATATATTTAAATATATACATGATTAAGCTCAATTACCCAAATATTTAGGTGTAATAACTGGACAAAGGCATTTTAATTGTGTATTGCATATGCTGTAAATCAGTTACCTTGACATACTTAGACCAACTATAATGACAAATAAATGACACTAAACCACAATATAAGCTTTTATGTTCTTTATTACCACAGGAAATTTCCCACAGACCTCTCTTGCCTTCTTCTGGGAGACTTGTACTTCACCCGTCTGGCCTTGAGTGGGGTTTCTGATCATCTTTCCCACGATGCATTGCTGCAGCTGTACCAGATTCTGCACAATAACCTATCCTCTAACATTTCCATGGTTTGTCTTGTTCAGTATATCTGGAAGTACCTGAATAATTGTATAAATCCATTTAATTTCATTTTTCAATTTTAGATCCGCCTGCTTACTTTGAGGATCTTCTCCCATTTTGAGGCAAATTTACCTGCACCAGCTGAGGTACTACACACATTTATACAAAACTGTACATGTATAAGTTATTGATTTCCATGTGGTTCCATTTGGTTACTCTAAATTGTGCTTTGATTTGAGGGTTTACAGTACAGCTCGGAAACATCATATTTATAGGGGGTGATGTCTGGTTTTGTAATCAATATGATCATTTTTCAAAAATGTACTTAATATCAATTCAGTTCATCTTAAAATGAATAGCTGACTGTCTTTTTTCGTTTCCTGAGTGTTAGAAAATATCAAATAATATTAAAGTAAAGTTTTTTTATTAGTATTATGATTATTTTGTGATTACTTTGTGTCCAGGGAGAGGAGAGTGTGGAGGCACAGTGTGTGTTTGCGATCTGTCTTCAGGCTGAACTGGTCCCAGCCTCAGTTCAGGACTACAGAGAGAAACTGCTCCACCTCCGAAAACTGAGACATGACCTGGTCCAGCGCAGCCTCCCCATGGGACCTACTGGCACCTTCCCACAGGTATAACAAAATATAGACCACTGTTATACCAAATGCTATCAACCATTATTTAAGTATGCCTGTTTGAATCACGTTAACTCATTTCTTTTCCATTTCCATAAAATTTTTCTTTTTTTCCAGGTGCCTCTGCGATATCTGATAGCAATGCTGTTTGTAAATTTCAGACCACTGTGGGATGCAGTTATTGAGCTCATTGTGTGAGTAAATTTGTTTTTCAGTTTCCTGGTAATACTATTTTATGAATCCAGTAATGTAATTGATAAATTGCAGAGCAGAATGCCTATTCCCCAGTTAATTTATTGCATGAAAGTTCTAATGTAGTTTTTGTTTGTGTTCTCAGGAGCCATGCCCGAGGAATGGACAACAAAGATTTTTGGAGAGTCTACCATGAACAGTTGGAAATGGTGGCTACACTGGCAGGTCTGTGATTAAATGCAAATAATGTTTATACTATTTTGTCACTTTCTTTATGTGTTTAGTTTTTGTGAGAAATACTTCTGTAAATATAAAATTCTCCAGTGATTATAAGTACACAATCAGTGCCTGTATTACTGTATTGAGCCCAGATTTTTTTTTCTACTATTTGTCTTTAACAGAGAAAGAGATGGAGGACACTGACAATGATGATACTGAAACCCCAGACTCCACTCTCCAGTCTGAACAGGGCTGTGACTGTATAGAAAGTGGTGATGTGGGGGTGCTATTCATAGAGCAACTGAAGACAAGCTCTAAACCCAATGACAGGACGGACTTTCCAAATTTCCGCAGTCTCCTTTGGAAAGCCATGTCCCAGTTTCCTGACAGAGTTGAACCACGGAGCAGAGAGCTCACCCCACTGCTGCTAAGATTTGTCAGGTTAGACATGAATACTATAATAAAACTCCTATCTATCACCCATACTGTTTTCTGATATATAGTTATGGCCCAGTGTAAACAACTTAATAATAGAAACTGTTGAGATAAGCAGAGCTGGTTTGAAGGTGTCCGCCAGCTGCTTGTTTCAGTGGATATTTCATTGCTTTGCCTGGAACGTTCCTCAGTATGATATTAAACAGCTATATCTTACATTTATTCAATTACAGGTGGTTTTACAGCTCAAAAATATGTAGAAAATCAGGCATTCTGAGTGTGAGTGTGAGTGCTTCTTCAGAGATCTGACATGTAACTTGGTCTGGTTTGGTCTCGATGAAGAAAGAAAGGTTTAATACCATACTGTGAAACATTGGAAGACAAAGCAATACAAGTATTTGATGGACCCTCCACCAGAAAAGTTACCCAATGCACCTTTAAGTAATATATAATGTAGAACTACTGTAACTGCCCAACTAAACTACTGTCACTGTAGCAAGCAGTAGATTTCTTTATTTGTGATGTGATGATGATATTTCTGTCACATAAAACAAAGGGCTAAATCAGTGTATTCAAATACAGAGCAAGTAATTATGTAAAAATAACAACTGTTTTCTTGCAGGAATGAGTTTTACAGTGCGGATATGCTGGTGGCTCCGACTCAGGACTTGAGAAAGAGAGATACTGAAGCCCTCTCAGAAACAGCAATGGTCGTCGATGAGGAAGAGGAGCAGGAGGAGGAGGAAGAGGAAGGAAAACAACAGAAAAAAACTTTACCCAGGAGAGCTGCTGCCAAGTAAGATAGATTTGTTTTGTTTTTTTATTTCTATTCCTCTTAGCTACTGAAAAAAACATGCAGACAAGAGACAAGAGTGGATATATCTGTAATCCCTCAGTCGTCCAGGTATGATCCATAGCAAAAGAAAAAAACTGGCCAAAAGAGGACGTACATGTACCACATTCACACTTACAATAGAACTAAAATAAAAGCCATACAGCACATCAGACATCAAAAAATAAATAATAGTACAATAACACAAAATAAAAATAATTAAGATTTGAATGTAAATTCTACCAAGATGTTGTGTAATTATCTATGCATTTTTATTGCTCTTTCTACAGACAGCTGACTACTCATCTGAAAGTGTTTGCCAAATTCACCAATCCTCGTTCACTGTACATGGAGGCCAGTCTCAGTGAGCTCTATCATCAGGTATAACAATTTTGTTTTTTGTTAAATTGGCTTTTTCCTTAAGTGTGCACTATGTAACTTTTTTGTTGGGGGTCTGTCATCTGCTTTTCTTAATGGAGGGGTTACTACTCTGCCTGGAATGTTCCACAGTATGAGTATATAGCTAAAAAATACCAAGTACCTATAAAAACAGGCACTGTGAGCGGGGTTGCCTCACAATAGATATGACTTGTAACTTGTGGTCTGCTTTGGTCTCTTTGAAGATAGATAGGCTTAATGCCATATTGTGAAACATTCCAGACAAAGCAATAACAACTCCATGAAGAAAAGCATTTGACAGACCCTCCACCAGAAAAGTTACACAATGCACCTTTTAAGTTCGATTAATAATATTATATTTTGTTTGTTTTTTTTAGTTGCTTTGTCACCAGGATCAGCACATTCAGCAGGTAGCACTAGAGTGTGTCCTCACATACAAAGACCCCCACATTGTGCCGTACAAGTAAGAGAAACAGTTTACAAAAAATACTTTAATAATATACGAAAAAAAGCAATATAGATGAGTTATGGGCAACATTAATTTAGTTTTGAATACAAATCATTTTTAGCGCTTAGATACAAAAGTGGTATTTCGGATCCTGTATCAGTTTGAGATGTAAACCAATACTTATATTAGTGAATGCTATAAAAATGGAATAAATTTGTGCCCACATCTTGTATGAGCTTTTGAATAGGTTTGCATCTTCCAAGTACTTTTTTTAAATTTATTATATCTACATTTTGTTCTTTGTCTTTTCACAACTTTTTACAATTCACACTTTTCACCTGTGTAGAACTTTCAGCCAACAGTGTACAATGTTTTCCTCTCTGCTCTGAATGTGTCCATTGTTCCTGTTGGTGATGAATTGGGAGAATCATCTATATCCTTCCTGAATTACAGGAGGTTTAGGGGCTTACAGGATTACTAGCTTTCAGTTCAGTGATGACTTTGCCATAGTTTTCTTTCAGCTGTCGGTTTTCAATGTTATCAGGTAACTGTGGATACATTTGAGGACAGACATGGAGGTTTATATTACAATTTCTGCTGTCCTTTGTTTACAGTGACACACTGACCCATTTAAACAATGTGTCAGACAGGACAGTTCAATGTTACGTATAGAAAAGTTCTAGGAATTCAGAAAAAAATATATTTGTATTTCATATTAATTTACATTTTTGGACAAAAAGCAGTTCTTGCAAAAGTACAGATGTATTACCTAATCATCATCTCTTGCTCTCTCTAATTGCTGGACATTTACTGACCTTTTTAAAAAAAAATTAATTCAAAATTCACAAAGTAGGAATTTTTTTCACCATTATGGTGCAACATTAAACTAATAATAATAATATAAGATAGGATTAAATAAAAAGGCCATGTATTAAAATAAGGTAAAAACAGACTTTGTACAGTACAAAATATACAGTAGGACAGAACAACAGTGCAAGTGGGTTAATTACAGTTTAAATATATTTTTTGACATAATTGAGTATTTGTTTGTTTTTCAGGGAGAACCTTGAGAGACTCCTGAATGACAAACATTTCAAAGAGGAGATTGTTCATTTTAACATTTCAGAGGAGACTGGGGTTGTGGACTCTTCACACAGGGCAAAACTTATCCCACTGCTCATGAGGTAAAGGATCATTTCTCAGTTTGTCATTGTAGAGATTACAGGTTCACTATTTTCTGATCTGATGATTTCAGCCCTGGAATTGCCCATTTTTACTGAATTAAGGTAAAAGGTAGCTGTTAATTTGAAAACTGTGCCATAGGGTATAACAGAGCATTTTGAGTTTTGGAGATGTAGATGGACCAATAATAAAGGATTACTCAAACATATGTGAATTAAACAAAATACAACTCAATTTTTTTTGATGAGGTAACGACATTATAACATGGCGTAAAGCTCACAAGACACCTTTAAATCTTGGCAAATGAGCTACAGTCAATCAAAAGCTGGTCCCATTATATGTGAATGTAAAGTCTTCAGAATATACTCATCTTTGCCGCACTTCAGGCAGCAATTTTTTTTCTCTTCAAACCTCAAGAAGAGATGTTTGAGCACTTTATATATTAGAATATTTATTATATTTTTGGACAGGCTGCTTTTTGGCCGGCTCCGGACCAAAGCAGGCAGTAAGTTCCAGGGGAAAGCCAGTGCTGCGTCTCGTTCCTCCATCATCCTGCGCTTCCTGGCTGGCTGTCAGTCTGAGGAGCTGGGCATGTTCATCAACTTGCTGCTGGAGCCTCTGTCCCACCACTCTCAAGGTACTGTGGGTCCAAGTACTTAAAAGTTAAAACATAAAATATAAATGCTTTGACTTAAATGAGCATATAATGAAGATGAAATAATAGGTGCAGTATGTGATTAAAAATATAGTATAGTACAGCACAGTACAGTACAGGACAGTACAGGACAGTGTTATATTCATTAGCAAATCCATTTTGTTTGCATTGCTGTTATCTGACCTTTCAGTGGCCAACACTGCGCACACTTTGCTCTTAATCATTGTCCAACTTTCTTATATCATACTGACCAAAAGTGAACTCATTTAGAGGTGCACAACAGCCGTTTCATATTTACCATATTTCAAAATGTACACATACATTTGACAGTGATGTAATACGTTCTGCGATTTATCTGTATGTCTATAAAAGCAATAAAGTAAAAATAATGAACTATAAAATCATATAGACATATCCCAATGTCTGGGCAGCTAGATAGATGGAGAGGGGGGAGAGTCTGTTGTCTCAGGGTCCCTCTTACAACTTGCTTATATGAAAAGGGGCCTATGTGGGATTATGCCCCAAAATTCTGTAAAGTATAACTGAATGTTGTCTCTCTGTTCAGGTTCATGTGTGGAGGCAGTGGAGCGAGCTGTAGCAGACACAGATGTAGGTGCTGTCCTTCCTCTGGGACGTGTGCACTCTCTGCTCAACATCATAACCGTGGTGATGGACAAACTTGGACATCTCATCCACTCGTACCTGCCCAAACTCCTGCAGATTCTCCTTTGTGTCACCGCTTCTGTGTCCACGCTGCTTGACCGAAGGGAACAGGTGGGGACAACGTGTCACTCTATGTGTTGGAAAACTTGCTTTTATTTTTCAAGGACATTTCAGTACAATATTTTAGGCACTTGGCCAATTGATTTTATTACAAAGTGACCAAAGTTACTTAAAATTATGAGTTTACTAAATTTTACCACATTTTAAGCTAAGCCACCTTTAACATTACTATGATCATGTCTACAGTGAAGAATCTGATATAAACATTTATATTTTATACAATATATTGTGTACACAAAATTTATTGTATTTTAATTATAATTAAAATGGATAGGTAGGTAGATGGGTATCTTTATTGCAGACACTTCCAAGGACCACGCGCACCACCACCAGGGGTGACTTGGTCATAACCCACAGACGGACCACCTTTGGTCAAAATGTATCTGTGGAATAGTCTTCCATTAATACTGAGAGAATGCCCTACATATAGCTCTTTTAAAGCTCAAATGAAAAATTGCTTATGGTCAAACCAAACATGTACTCCATATATAGTTGCATTGTGATTTTAATTGATCTTCTATGGACACATATTTGCATGTATTGTATGTATGGCCAAATTGACCGCAAAATCATGGGAACTGTGCAATGAGTGGACTGTGCAGTATCTTGGACTGTGCAGTAATAGGAACTGTGTAATGAGTGGATTGTGCAGTATTTTATTGTTTGATCACCTGTGACTCCAGCCCTTTGGGACAACGGATGGAAATTACCCTTAGGCCACAATCCGATGTGTTCACATTCATGTTGTGTCATGTTTGTTCATTAACGTGCTCAGTCCCAATCAAATAAATAAATAAAGTAATACTTAAGTAATTAAACATGATATTGCTTAACATTAACATGTTTTTGAGTTGTGTTTGTTTGCTGTTCCAGTTGCGTGCTGGATGCATCAGCCCTTTGAAGAACCTGAGGCGACTGGGTGTTTTGCGGATGCTCGACTTTTTTGACAATTTTGACTTCTACAATTTCACTCCAGATGAACTGGATGCAGTGTTTGTCGGTGTGGTCTGGCCTCAGGTAATCTCTCTGAAGTAATGAAATATGATTTTATTCCAGTGATTTAGAGTGGTTAAATAAGTTTCTCGGATTTGTGGCTTGATGACATCCTCTCCATCTGATTTCATACTGTACTGACTATACCTAAAGATTAATTTGAATGTGAGACTAAAAGAAAAACAATACATTTTTATTACAAATTCGAAATGTCTCATATTCAGTGTGATCTGTGACCTGTATCTGTGTTGTCTTTTAGCCTCTTTAACCTTCACTGGTATAAAAAATGTGGGATTTGGACGAATAGCCACTATGGCTAATAGACATTGATCTTAAATGTGAAAGGATTAAATAATGAATAAGAAAGAAGAAACTAATTTCATATGTATATATATATATATATATATATATATATTTTTTTTTTTTTTCATCAATATTTTCTGTAGATATGCCGTTTACCCACTGAAAGCCCATACTCTCCCACTCCCCTGCTCAAACTTATCCATGTTTGGTGCAAAAATGCTCGGTAAGAATCTCATAGTTATATTCCCTCTCATTATTTCCTGTTATATTACAAAATCATCATATCATATATTCTTTTCTCTCAGGTATTTCCCCCTCTTGGCCAAACAGAAGCCAGAACACCCAGAGTCTGATGTTCTCCTCAATGTTTTTGCACTACTATCAGCCAAAAATGCCTCAGCAGTAACCATCACTACAGTAATGGACATCGCAGAAACACTGGCATCCACTGAGGACTTTGTGGCATCAGAGACAGAGACTGAGTTGACTGTAAACGGCAGTGTTCTTCCCCAGCCAGCAGAGGGCACTCTCACAGCAGGTGTGTAAGATGACTTTATTAATGTTTTTACAATAATGATGGTTTAGTCTGAATAAGGGCAGTAAAATTGTGATGGTGACTTGGTTTGGGCCTTTTGTAGTTTAATCTTGGTTTATTTTGGGATTAGTCCCAATTTTGACATGGTGTGTGTCCAAGTTTGAACAACTTGTGCAACTTATGGTTTTCTTTTATCTATATTCTGATGCTATGCTAAACATACACACACAAAAAAGTAAATAGATTTATGTATACATTATTTGGCATTGTTGTATATTAAGTTAAAAGTTTTCACTTGATATTTTCATTAAAAAAATCATGTATCATTTTCGTCTTCAGACTCCCTGACCAAAGGCTCCAGGCTACTGCTCCCTCACATCTCTACTCTGCTGCAGTACCTGAGCTCCGTCGTACGAAACACCGAGCGACTCAAGAAGAAGAAATTCAGAGCCCAAGTGGCCCGTGAACTCAACATACTCTCCAAGTACGTTTGCATTGTATACTTGTTTTTTCTGTTGACAATTAACTTAAGTTTGTTATTCCTATTATTATGATAACATTTTCCTTTTGTTGTTATTCTTTCAGGATCAGTCGATTTGTTAGTGACAAAGAACAAAGCTCTGTGCTCATCAGCCTGCTGCTCCCTCACCTCCAGAAAGGAAACAACCCACCGGTAAGACTCAAAAGCCTGTATTTGATCATAATCAAATGGTGATCTGTATGTTGATCCTGATGTTGTTTTATAGGAGACAGAGATTGATGCCTTGGCCACAGTTCAGAATTTACTGCGTCAGTGTTCGAATTCCTCCTCTTTCCTGCGACCACTGAGCAAACTTTTCTCTGTCATCCACAAGAAGATTCCCAGACAGGCCCTCGTCAGTGTCTTCCAGGTATTATTTTTCTAACTATAAGTTTCACTCTGTATTTTACTTTTCAAAGGTACAATCTGAAACATTCTGGTAGTATGTCACCTGCATGGAAATAGAGAGTGAAAACCATACTCCAAAACTTTATTAATGGAGATAGATATGTTTTATGCCATGCCGTGGAGGATAAAAAACAAATGAACAACATGACCTGGGTCCTGGTTTACACTGTATAGGGTCGTTAACATTCTGGCATGAAGTATTTCCAGCTAGTTTTCAGGCTCTTCTTATGCTGGGAAGATGAATTATTGTGACTAGTAGAAGTGTAGCCACAATAGCCACTCGTCTTTTCTTCCTGTTAACAGAGATTTTGCCTGCAGACCGAAATCTCCATGCATGCTCTTTCTCAAACCCTACGCTTTTCCCTCTACCCGATTTTAACTTTAACTCTAACCCCAATTATGGTCAACTGAAAATCAGAGGCCTATCTGTATCCGGTTGCTTCCTGCTCCTGGACTGCAGCTCATTTTCCCATTGTGATTCTGTTACGCAAGACAATAGGTCTACATGACCTAACTCAAATAAATAAATAAATAAAATAAATAAACTGAGCTGCTTCTTAGTTTTAGTATCTGCTGTTGCCCTAATCTGACAAACAGTTAACACATGAAGCTTGATATTTAATTGACCCTTTTTTCAAATCTTTTGTCTTCTATCTGTTCTTCAGACATTGTCAGATTTGGAGCCCTCACTCACATACATCACTGACGTCGCCACCAAGGTACTATAAGCAAAACATTGTTATATCAATTATATAATCTTTCCCCCCAAAACTCACGTTAACACACTGAATGGTTTTCATAGCTTAATGCCTTTGACAGTCGACATTTGGATGAAATCTACTTTGATGTTCGATTGGAGGCCTTTCAAGAAGTGACGAGGCGTGTGAGAGACATGCAGACTCTAGACTTGGACTTTATCTTCACACTCATACACAACTGCTTTCACACTTATGAGGTAAGAAAGCATACATGCAATTGTTCTGACTATGTTTATATGCACACCAAAAATCTAATCATTGTCGTATTTCTGAAGTGATCAGAAATGTCATGAGATGTGAGTAATCTGATTTCTTTCTGCCTGTTCACACCTGTACAGATTTTGAAAAGGAAAATTATGCAAAGGGTAAACCTAATGTGGCCAAGACAAAAATTCATTGTATTTTCTACTCCAAAATACAACACTTACTCCATTGATTAACTGGTACATTTCACCTATCATATCTGATGATCAGTTGTATGTGAACACACACAAAAAATCGAATGCATTATCTGAGTCTTCTCGTTATCTGATTTTTACTGCCCATATAAATACTCCCAATGTCATTTGTTCAAGGTATTTTTTTTAAATTACTGTCATAATTTTCTCCTCTAGATCGGTGACATGTCCCTGGGAGACAACGCCACCTTGTGTTTGTCTGCAATCATTGAACAGCTGGCAGTGGTTGGAGCTGGAGAGCAGCTTTACAGAGATGTCATACAGCACACTGTTCTGGATGCTGTGCTCAAAGGCCTACGCAGCAAAACAGAGGTAAATCAATCAATAACAATGTATTTGTAACGCACATTTAAAACAGCCCAAGCTTACCAAAGTGCTGAACAACACAGGTAACATTTACAATTGAGCAAAACCATACAAACACTGATGCAGCTGGGACTGGTTTCTAGACTTCCCTGTTAACATGTGTCTTTAGATGTATTGGTTGAGGTTTCATACAGATTGGAAATGACTGTAAAATGACTCACAAAAATGCAGAAATATCACATTAAATCAGTTTTTGGAATTTTAAAAGATGTGTATTTTAAAGGTGTACCATTTAACTTTTCGGATGGAGATCTGTCAGCTTCTTGTTTTTATGAATATGTCATTGCTCAACAGGCATTCTGACTAGGAGTGGGGTTGCCTATCCACAGATCTAACCTGTAACTCGTGCTTGGTCTCCATGAAGATAGAAAGATTTAATGCCAAACAAAGCAATAACTTCTTCATGAAGAAAAACATTTGACAGACTCTCCACTAGAAAAGTTACACAATGCACCTTCAGTTTTAAATTATAATCATCACTTTTTTATCTTATGTGCAAAATTATAATGTCAAGTATATTATTTATATAACAATAACAACATTCAGAATATTGGTATTTGATAGTCTGGCCACTTCTAATACTACCACATTATTAAGTCTCATAGCATGTTATTATATACATACAGTAGCATGTACATTTTCTGACCTAAGTCTTTCCTTCCTTCTTAGAGTGTCCAGCACGAGTACACCACAGTGCTGGCTTGTTTGGTGAAGACATTCCCCTCAAAGAAAGAGTTCAGAGACTTGGTGCAGCTCACAGACTACAATGACCCCGAGTCAGACTTCTTTGAACACATGAAGCACATCCAGGTGACAACTACATCCATTCTTACTTTTCAGTGGGTCTCTTTAAAGCTCTCGATGTTATTACATCTGTTCTGTCCGTGTAGATCCACCGTCGAGGTCGAGCCTTGAGAAAACTGGCCAAGCAGCTGACAGAGGGCACTGTGGTCATAAGTCCTCGCTCCCTTCAGAGCTACATAATGCCATACGCCATGACGGCACTAATGGATGAGAAGATGCTAAAGGTACAATGTCTTGAGAATCTTTTATTAGTTGCAAATTTAAATAATTTTCAACATTATTTCAAATTGTAATAGTAATACGATTTGAAAAATATGAGATATTCAAAATAGCATTTGTCACCATTTAAATTTAAAGGCAACTGAACATAAACAACAAAAAGGAGACAAGAATTTAAAGTATTTTAATCATTTTGTGATTAATAATTTTGCTTGTTAATCTTGTCTCTGATGTGTAACTATAAATACAAATAAGATGTTTTAGATAGAAGACATTTAATATATTAGAATTGAATAGTTCATTTAGATGAAGAATGTTGCAGCAAAATGATAAAATACCCATATTTATTTGCTATTGATCAGCATTTGTGTGTGTTTGCAATTTTTCAGCATGAGAACATGATATCGGCCTCAGTGGAGGTGGTGGGAGCTGTGTGCCGTAAGCTCACCTGGTCCAAGTATTTGTATTATCTCAAACACTTTGTTCACATCCTACAAACTGCACAAACTGAGCAGAAACTGGCTGTGAGGTAAGGCTTCGATTTATTATGTAACTATGGTTCTATTAATCTCAGATGACCATCCTGGTGGTCAGTATCAATGAAATAATTGCTACTGAAGATAAAAATCATGATTTTCTTTCATTCTTTTGTGGTAGCTTGCTGGTTACTGTTTTGGAGGCCTTTCATTTTGACCACGAGACTCTCAGCAAGGAGATTGAGGCTGCTAAAGCAAGAGAAGGTTAATATTAACTGCTTCTCTCTTTTAGTTATTTATATTTTAAGCATATAAATATTGCCATTATATTAATAAAATGATTTATATGTCATGTTGCCAAAATGTCCAGCTTGTTCTAAATATTTAAATGGTAAAACAAAAAAAATAATTTTATTATGCTTTGAAAACTACATGTTACATTCCACAGAATTATATGTGGGTTAGGGTTAGATACATAACTGGAGTTTTCAACATATTTCCTTTGGCTTTTTCTTGTAAACCTGTTCTAATTTCTATTAGGAGGTGGCACTGTTCTTGAACCAGACGAGGAAGAGGATGCAGCAGAAGATGAAGACCAGGCAAGTGACAATGAGGACGCCATGGAAACGGACAGTAAAGATCAGCCGGATGTTACCAAAGACACAGAAACGACTGATGTTACCATGGAAACAGACAGTGGCGATGCAAAAGTTGCAATCTGTGAAACCAAGAGGACGATAACTCCCAAACTGCCTGCAGGAATAGCCACTGGACTGCCTCAGAGCAAAGAGGAGCTGGAGTCTCTGATCAGCGCCATTCACCAGTCTGTTAACGAGAGTGTTTTGCCCCGACTGCAAAAGTGTCTAACTGCCAAGGTACACAAAATACAAAACAATTTGAAGCTTTCTTAGTTGTAGTACAGTATATAGTATAGTTATAGAAGTACAGGATGTGTTCATGTTGTTGATTTTTTAAATTCAACTTTTGTTATGTTTTTCTTATCTTTTATTAAGTATATTTTTTTATATAATATAAAAAATATCAGCTTAAAATTAGCAGTAACATTAACAAAAGTTATGTTTAGAAAGTTTATAGACAGTGTACTCCCATGTACTCTCCCCACTTTCAGTCATTTTCTCTTAACACAATTCATTGTAGCGGTATGAGGTTCCCTGTACAATTTCAAGATAATACCGGTACATATCACATTGTAGATTGATTGATTAGGATTGTCAATCAACTCATTGTATTATTCATAGTATCCTTTCACCTGTCGACAATTACACAAGTATAATTTAATAAATAATAACATCACATTTCTACCCTACAGTGAAGAAATGTTTTTATGCTGAGAGAGTAGTCATAGAAATGTGTGCATGTTTTTTAGCTCAGTTATTGTTATTATTATTATTTTTTTATCAGGTGCAAAGAGATGAGGAGCACAAGGCAGTTAAATCAAAGGAAGTGAAGGATGAGGAGGTGGTTCGCATCCCCATTGCCTTTGCCATGGTCAAACTAATGCAGACTCTGCCTCCTCATATTATGGAGGCCAACCTACCTGGGTACACAACTATAGACCACTCAAATTGTGGGCAAATATATTTGGCCTGTTTTAAATACATTTGCTGTGTTTTGCAGAATTTTAATTAAAGTGTGTGTACTGCTGAGAAATCGCTTCCAAGAGATCAGGGATGTAGCACGAGGAACTTTGGTGAAGATTACAGAGACTTTGGGCATCAGATATTTGCATTATCTGCTCAAAGAAATGCAAGGAGTGTTGGTGAAAGGTTACCAGGTACATATTAAAACATACATCCTTGTAACAATAAGTATATGAAGTCTGATATTTACCATTATTGTGTGGTTTGTTGTTTTTTAGGTCCATGTATTGACATTCACAGTTCACCAACTGCTGTCCACCCTCAGTCCAACTCTGAAGAGCGGAGACTTGGATCCCTGTATGAACATGCTCATTGATGTAAGGACCACAAAACTCAAACTCTGGTAGTCATTGTAGAGTATACTTACTTTAGTTAGCTTAAAAGAAATCCTGTGGTTACCAAGTTTGATAATATGGCTTGTAGTACCATATGCAAATGTGGTGTTGTAGGATGAGATAGTTGGTGATTCAAGTGAATAAATAATGCAATTTAAAGCACTGTAAAAGACTAATCATATTTTTGCAAGATGTGCTGTAGTTGTAGAATTGTAATTTGGTATTTTTTTTTTTTGAAAAATTGCAAATATGGCGCAATTTTGTCACATCTTTTCCTATTAATGTCAACAGATCTTTAATAATGAGCTGTTTGGATCTGTGGCTGAAGAAAAGGAGGTGAAGGGCATTGTATCTAAACTGATGGAGGCCAGACACAGTAAAAGTATGGACTCATATGAACTACTGGCCCAGTTCTGCAGCAAAGAGAGCATCACCAAACTTATCCTACCACTGAAGGAGGTGAGCAATTTATACTACAAAGACAATTTAATTCAAAAGTTAATATTTGTAAATCATTTCCCCATATCTGATCAACAAAGAAAAAAAAGAATTCAAAGTACTCATTACAAATAAAATAGACCCAACTTCTGTAATTTTATTCACTTCAATATTTTATGTATGAATAAATATATTTTCTTTAACATTTAAAGGTGCCCTATGCAACTTTTCTGGTGGGGGGGCTGATCCTGCATGGAGATTATGATTATTAGCTATTGTTCTTCACCAGTTTCCGCTTCTCTGTTATAATTTTTCCTTGCCAACTACCCCGATTTTGAGAGCCTAAACATCAACGAAAAGTCCCCAAACAGGAAACATGACAGTGCCCAAAGTGACCCGACTTAACAGCGCCACCTAGTAGGGAGTGGGGACAAGCAAAGTTTGCTGAAATTTGGAACAGTGATAGAGAACAATAAGACAAAGCAAAAGTTGAATGGGCACAAAGCTCTTTGATGAACAGAAAGGCGTCCATAATGGATCAAAAATTTGCCATCGCTTTGACTGTGTGTTTGTAAAATGCATCTAGTCCCTGCTTTTTGGTTCAAATGAGTTCACATTTGGCAAGTCATATCTAGAGACAAATGTTCACAAAATATATATATGTTTTTAGGATATTCTTCTTTCTTGTAGCACGCTGGCAAAAAACACCTTCAATTCCTGTTTCAGGCATTGGTTTAGAGCAGGGGTCTCCAAACTTTTTCCTGCTGTGAGCTAAGTTTACAAAACGAAAATGCTAAAGAGCTACTAGTTTTAGCACTCACAAGAAATGGAGTATATTTAAGTGTCAAAGTTAGCCTTAAATGAAGTGTAGTATATAAAATAAAACATAAACCATTATCCATTTATTAGTGTACAAAGTTAGGCATCAAAATAATACATATACAATGGTAATAGGCATTTAATTAATAGTAATAAGCATTTAATTGATCAAATTTTACTTATTCAGTAAAAATCCCTTGACGAGCTACTAGGAAGGGGGTGGAGAACTACCAGTAAATCTCAAGCTCCAGGTTGGAGATCCCTGGTCTAAAGGTTTAATGCATACTGTGGGAATTGCCTGGCAAAAATTTCATAGTGTACTTTAAAAAAGCATGTACAGTACATTTACTGTTTTAAATTATAAAGGTGTGGTGGTGTAGTCTTGGAACTTTTAAATATTTTGTAATCTTCCTATTCCTGTTTTCCCATTGACAGATCTTGGAGACCTCCTCCAGTCTGAAGGTGTGTAACAGAGTGGGGGCAGTGCTGCGCAGACTGATACTGGGTCTGCTGGTCAATAGTGGAATGACTCCTCAGGACGTCCTTCTCCTCTGCCACGGTCTGATCAGCGAGAGCTTGCCCCTCCTCACCAAGAGAGACAAGTGAGAATCTGACAACACATATTTACTATACAAACTTGAAATGTATATGTTCTAATGATTTCTCCTCATCAAAAACATGCCTAGAGTTGTGTTTTGTTTTATTCACACATGTTTAACACACATATTTAGGCTGAGTTCCTCTCTTAAACAGAAAACATGCCGTGCATCGAGCTTGTGATGTCATGTGGTAAATGTTTTTAAACTCCATACACCTTCATTTTTTCATGTATTATTTCATCGTCATAGTGATATACTGAACTGGGCTGCAGTGCAATGTTAAATGGAGGGAGGTAAAAAAAACAAAAAAAAACAACATGAAATCACTTAATGTGAATGAACGTCTAATTTGGAGGACGCGCAAACAATACTTTAGTTTCTGGCGCCGATGGCAATGAGTAAACAATCAGATCAGTGAAGGAAGACTTTGGATGGACCATGGGGAAGTGTAGGGTTAATCCATAGTGGCTCTTAGATTCTAGATATAGTACCGTAGTTGGTTGGTGATTATTAGAATTGGATTTGGAGTGTTTCGCCTGCATAATGGGTGCGATGTTGGTCCTAATTTTCATTTAAGTGGTCTTAAAAAGGTTTTTAAAAGTCTTAAATTCTGGAGTAGTCAAACCTGGGGATACCCTGATTTAAAAACTATTTCCTGCCATCACAAGGTGGAACAGAGCATTTTGTGGTATGGAGATGTAGACAGACTAAAAATACAGAGTTACTTAAACATGTGTGATGAAACAGAACAACTCCATATATGATTTTGATGAGTTAACAACATTATAACTTAAAGCTTAAAGCTCACAAAAGTCAATTTCGCGCAATATAGGATTTTTTAAGTAGATTGATAAGATTTATGTAATGCTGCATGTTTCTTATGCATTATGGCCAAGGCTTTTAGTCACTGAACACCCTGGCTCTGTGCTTGCTTTAGCAATTTGCTAAATGTCCCTACACATTCTTCTCCCTAATTTTACATTGCTAGCTTTGCTGTTTAATAGTGCATATTGTTTTCACAGAGAGAAGTCCAAAGCTAAGCCTCCTCCTGACCCCCGGCTGCCCCCTCCCAGCTGCCTCCTGCTCCCCCCGACCCCCAAGAGAGGAGGGCAGAAAGCCGCTGTCAGCAGCAGGACCAACATGCACATTCTGGTGGATGCAGGACTGAAGGTAGACCCATCTGTTTGTTTTTAATGGGGGTGAGTGGGGTTTTTCTTCCAGTTTTAGTTAGTTGACCAGGAATTGGACACACGTGTGTGTGACTAATCTAGATTACAACTCAAGTACCGGTACTGATTTTATTCAGGTTTAAACTTGGTTGTATCAAGGTTTGCCCATTATTTTATTTCATTCATTTACCTGGCAGAAAATGTAGACCACATGCCTATTTAACATTTGATAGTTTATTTATTTCTTTTTGTATCTTTTTTAAAGAAATTATCAAGTACTGTGGTATTTGAGATAATACATTACTTGGACAATACTGCATCCACATTTACATTTTATGTACTTTTTCCAGCTTCTTCATATGAGCCTAAAAAGAGGCAAAGTGACGTCATCTGAGGTCTCTGTTCTGGAAATGCTGGACCCTTTTGTGCTGTTGCTGCTTGATTGTACCGACTCCATGCATGTCAAGGTTGAAATCTGAATGTTTATATTCTTTTATAATCATTATAAGTAGTAGACCACATTTATATTTTACTGTCTTTTTTCTGTTCAGGTGATCACTGAAGCCCTGGTTGGCTTGACTTGGCTGCTGAAGTTTCCTCTTCCTTCAGTTGAGTCAAACTCAGACCAGTTGACCAAACAGTTATTTGTTTTGCTCAAAGATTACTCTAAAGCTGGAGCAGCACGTGGAGAGAACTACCTCCTGGTTCAAAACTGCTTCAAGGTACAAAATACAATATATAATGAAAATACATTACATTATGATCAATGAACACAGTGCATTTTAAATAGGGCTAAAATAAATACATTTTTACACATATAGTTTAGGTATCGCTGCACTATGAGATTTGGTTTCACTTGACAGCCCCTTCAAATCAAAAGCATTGTTGTCAAAGTAAGTAGAGATAAACTGGCCTTGAATCTCCAACAGAGGCAGATATTTTGTTCGTGCTTGGTCAACCAGATACCTACACTGCTCTGTTATCCAGCTTGTAGTAAAAAAAGGGCCTGGATGACTTTATGTTCAGTTCAAATTAGATAATTTGGGGAAAATTATCAAAATCGGCCCCACATACTTGCCAAAAATTTTCAGCTGCGCTTATCAGATCAAGATTTTAACATCAACACTGGCAATGAAAAAAAACATATCTAGCAGCACCAGAAAAGACCTAAAAAATCAACCCACATAACATGCACCAAAGGTAGGTAAAAATCCTCCAGCTAAGGTAGTCCTCCTGACCAAGCCAGGATACAAGATGTGCTGCCCACTGCTCCTGAAAGGATGGATGAAATGCAGAGGGTAATAAAGTACTCCAAAAAAAAAAACTAAGGATCTGTCGATCTCTAAAAGTAAACCTAATACTTGTTACAGTAATAAATTCCATCCATCCATCCATTTTCGTCCGCTTATCCGGGGCCGGGTCGCGGGGGGAGCAGCCTAAGCAGGGACTCCCAGACTTCCTTCACCCCAGAGACGTCCTCCAGCTCCTCCGGGGGGACCCCGAGGCGTTCCCAGGCCAGCCGAGAGACATAGTCCCTCCAGCGTGTCCTGGGTCTTCCCCGGGGCCTCCTCCCGGCGGGACATGCCCGGAACACCTCCCGAGGGAGGCGCCCAGGAGGCATCCGGAACAGATGCCCGAGCCACCTCAACTGGCTCCTCTCGATGTGGAGGAGCAGCGGCTCTACTCCGAGCTCCTCCCGTGTGACTGAGCTCCTCACCCTATCTCTAAGGGAGCGCCCAGCCACCCTGCGGAGGAAACTCATTTCGAGCGCTTGTATCCGCGATCTCGTCCTTTCGGTCACTACCCAGAGCTCATGACCATAGGTGAGAGTAGGAACGAAGACTGACCGGTAAATCGAGAGCTTCGCCTTTCGACTCAGCTCCCTCTTCACCACAACGGTCCGATACAGCGACCGCATCACTGCCGAAGCTGCACCGATCCGCCTGTCAGTCTCACGTTCCGTCCTTCCCTCACTCGTGAACAAGACCCCGAGATACTTGAACTCCTCCACTTGAGGCAAAGACTCACTCGGTGGTAATAAATTAACTTTCTTATTTCTCAGACCATAACTGTGCTGGTGAAGAATTCCAAAACAAACACAATCTCAGAGACACAGCTGCAAGTGCTGCTGGGATACGCCGAAGAGGACATCTATGACCAGTCCAGACAGGCCACTGCCTTCAGCTTACTAAAGGTAAACACTGCACACTACACACTATACAGCTGTAAATACTGTTCCAAATTTATGTGCTAACATAATGTCTCCCACCAGGCTATTCTGTCCAGGAAGCTTGTTGTTCCAGAGATGGAAGAAGTGATGAGGAAAGTAGCAAAACTTGCTGTTAATGGTGGAAATGCTATGATCAGGATACACTGTCGACAGGTACAAAATTATGTTGTTTTTTTAACAGCCAAATATGATATTAAATTAAATAAAAATCCCAGTTAGGGCAGACATTAGGGAAGGCATTATTAGACCTCTGCCAAAGCACTTGAATTTCTGTAGCCCAATAGAATATAGAAATCCTATATTCTTAAATTAATCTTAAAATAAAAAACATATATATTTGAAATTTGTTACTCTGTATATTTGGCATGGTAATAAAACGATGTGTGTCTTTTCAGATCTATATGAAATACCTGCTGGACTATCCTCTGGGGACCAAACTTAGACATCACTTGGATTTCGTGGTTGCTCAACTTTCTTATGAACACGACACAGGAAGGGAGTCTGCTCTGGAAATGATGGCCTCTATCTTTCAGTCTTTCCCTCAGGTATGCAAACGTGTTTTATATTTTACCAAAATAAGCTTAGTTATCAATATATTACTCAGTTCTCAATATATACCATTACTTTGTTGTGGTTTTCAGAAAATGTTGCAAAAATACAGCACCATGTTCTTTGCCCCTTTGGCTTTGGTGGTGGTGAATGATGACTCCGCTCGCTGTAAGAAAATGGCCGCCATGTCTATCAAGGTTCTGATCACTCAAATCGACCAAAACCACAAAAATCATCTGTATTCACTTGTGGAGACATGGCTCAACTCTGAGAAGGTACAAACTCCTACAGTTACAAAGCAGACATTAAAAACAAAAACAAAAAAAGTGGTTGCTTTCCAAATATTATTGCATTTTCAGCTTTTTGGGATAAAGATATTAGGTTAATTGGCCTACACAATCTATTCAATGTTGTACGGTGATTGACATTGCCATACACAGCAAATTGAACTAAATATTTCCATAAACTAGTATTTATGTTTTGAGGTGGGCAGGATATATCACCAGTAGTATTTTAAATGTTGTTAATGATAGATATGCAAAACTGAAATATTTGTATACACAAAGATTATAACAAGAATATGAATTACCTCTTTTTTGTTGTTTATTTTAGTCCACTCTGAAACGCCTGGGCGCTCAGATTTGTGGTTTGTTTGTGGAGGTGGAGGAGGAAAAATTCTCTAATCGCCTCGAAAAGCTGTTACCGCTCATAGAGAAAGAGACCCATCCCGACAATTTTGAAGATGTAAGGATCATACTTACCAGTTACTATAATCAGATATTTTTAAGTTTGTTTTTTGATTTATTCATTTGTGTGTTTTAGATTGAGGAGGAGCAGGAGGAGAGGGGAGCAGACCGGTTATTGTTTACTTATCTTACTCTCATCACCAAACTGTGCAAACACTGTGGCTTTTTGGAGCTAACCAAGTCTCACAAAATTCTGATTAAAATCTGGAGTAAGTAAAAACATGCATAATTTAGAAATCTGTACTGTACTATCAAGTGTTAATTAAAGTGTTAAAGTAGGGTGCAGTCTATAATCAGTATCTTTAAGTGACCTTTTTTATCAAGGAAAAGTCTGATTGTCTCTTATAAGCCTTAATTTCATATAAGCATTAGTTTCTGTTAGCATTATTTGTAAAATATTTACGAGTAGAATATGTTTAAAGTAAGGAATTACTTGAGTTGCAATAGGAAAATCTAGTTTAGAGTGAATTTATACAATTCTGATGATTGTGGGACAAAAGTCACCATATTAATAAATTATGGTTTCATTTATTAATACGTTTAATTTTTTTTTCTGTATTTACTGATGACAGTGTGCCAAAAATCTGATATGTATTACTATTTCTCATTTCTTTCTCTTTCTAGGCCACACTGAGGCTCACCTGCGGCACCCTCACTTGTGGGTGTGGCTCACCGCCTCTCAGCTCTTTGGTCAGCTCTTCGCTGCACTGCATCCCGATCAGCTGCTCAGTCTGTGGAGAGAGGAAGAAGAGAGGGCAAATCTACCAGCAGCAAAGGTGTTCATCTCCAATGCGCTGGACAAGAAGGTATTGAACATAAAGGTTATGCTAAAATGATTAGACTTAGACAAACTTTATTGATCCAAAAGGGACATTTTTATTATATTTACTGTTGTGTGAGCTACTGTGTCCAAATAAAGAGCAAAAATGTAAATGGTAATAATACACACAAATGATGATTTCATTAAATGAGATGCACTCATAATTTAACCCTCAACTTGTTGTTTTCATGTATACAATATATACTCCTATACCAATGCAATGGATGGATTAGCTTGACATTTCTCTACTGTCTATCTTTGTTTTCTCATTATTTTAATTGTTTCAACATCTTACATCAAATATTTGTGTTAACTAGCCTAATATGTTTTAGGTTGCTTTAGAAATACATTTTTGTTGTAAAACAATTGAAACAAACTTGTCATTTGTCTAATTAATACCAGTACAACATTTCTATGATTGTAGATGAGAGAGTTGGCATTGGCTTTTTGTTATCAACTGCAATCTAAGTACCTGGATGTTGCTTCAGGAGAGCAAGTAAATCATTTAATTAATAATATTTAATTCTAACAACTTTCACTCCCTGTATTGAACTATTGTCTACTCTATTGTCTGTTTTCAGGTTATCAAAAACTTGCTCTTTGTTGGCAAAATTATCTACCTCATTTCTCCTGAGTCTGATATTACTTGGGCCACAGAGGAGGAAGTTAAAATGGAGGAGGATCAGATGGAGAAGCAGGCAGAAGAGGAGGAAGAGAACGGGAATGGTCTTGAAGAAGAGGAGAAAGAGGAGGAGAAAGAGGAAGAGGACAAAGATGACCGACTGCCTTCACTTCTGTGGCTCATAAACAAACTGTCCCTAATGGCCAAAAGAGAAGCAGCGTATTCACCTAAAGTGCCTCTCAAGGTAGACTTGTTTAACCACTGTTTAACTTAATACTGTACATAATTCAGGCACTGTACCTACTGACAGACATAATCATAAAATAAATCTATTTTTCCTACATTTATTATTGGGTCTGATAGCAAGTACTATTTTGTCATTAGATTAGATAGATATTAAATACATTTCCAAAACTGCAGATTCTTACTTTTAGTGTGCAGTAGTGTATATGTTCCATGTTTCAACTTTTGATTGATTCCCTGTCCTAAATGTATTGAATGTCTGCGTTCTTGTAGAGAACTTGTGTGTTTAAATTCCTCGGAGCGATTGGTATGGATTTGGGCAAAGAGCGTCTGGGGCCTTATCTGAAGACTATCATCACTCCTCTGTACAGAGAGCTGGACAGCACATATGCAGATCAAGGTACAACTGTTACATCCTTCAGTAAAGAAGTGCAATTAGTGTTTTTAATTTTAATACTGCCAGCAACCAATCTGGCTGCTTGGTGGCTTTTGTCTCCGATTGTTCCTTGATTTCAGTCACAAACTGAACATCCATTTTATCTATGACAAATAAGCTTAGATGAGATCTTGCAGTGTGTTACTTATTATAGTGTTTTAAAAAATACATATTGCTATTTTGAAAAGCTTATATTTAGCTTTTGGCCATCACTTAAGTCAGTTAAACTAGTTAAATTATGATTATACACTTATTATAATAATTATTATACAATTATAATAATTACTATATACATATATTATATAATTATAATCAGTTATGATTATACAAGTCCCTCATGAGAGTGCACTCTGATGAAGGACGAAAACATGAAAACATGAACATAAATTTCACGTTGGGAGCTTTAAAACTGTGCGGATTTTTTAATTATTCCTGTTCCTTCTGAATATGAAAAGTACCCATATACCCCTGTAATACTAACTCCTGTTCTTGTTCCAGACCCCACCCTGAAGAACCTGGCACAGGAGCTGATTGAGCTCCTGAAGAAGCAGGTGGGACTCGAGCGTTTCTCTTTGGCCTTTTCTGCCGTTCAGAGAGAGTTCTCCCAGAGACGTGCCGCACGAAAGAGGCACAGAGCCCAGCAGGTACGGACACAAAAGAAATAACAGATATGACATATGTGACCATGGCTTACATTTAGCTTTACATGCAACGTGCATGTTGATTTGTTGTTTTTAATTAAATGAGTGTAGAATGAAAGTAGATTGTTATTTGTAGTGTAACCTTCTATTTTATCAGCATTAATAGTTTACAACGAAACAACATAGACTGGTAGTTTATGTTTTAAGGATACAGAAATGTGTTCAGTATCTCACTGGGTTTCAAGTTATTATATATTTGGATTGTTGTCATAGTGGTTAAAAAACTAAAATATCTTGTAACTGTTCATATATCATTAAAATTGTATCCATAATTGGGACTGAAACCCATGAATGTAGCAAGTCTGACTTTAAAGTTTATATTACTTAATACCTGCAATGACAATGAAAGTTTTTTTAATTTTGTAACAGTGAAAAGTTTGAGCACTTGAGAAATACAGTACAAGTACAGCCTGTTTTTACGAGCCTTTTTTCACCTAGAATGTGTTACTTATGACCTTTTCGTTTTTTCTAATATATTCAGCATTTTAATAAAAGCAATGTGGCTGACATTTGTGTTTGTCTTCAGGCGGTGGCAAATCCAGACATAGCTGCTAAAAAGAAGCTGAAAAAGCACAAGAACAAAATTGAAGCTAAAAAGAGGAAGATTGAGTTTCTCCGACCTGGATACAAAGCAAAGAAACAAAGGAGCCATGCACTCAAAGACCTGGCCATGGTCAAGTGATGAACTCCTCAGACTTTTACCTGTGAACAAAATTTCTTTCTGGACTTCTCTAAGATAAATTATACACTTAATATTGTATAATGTGGAAAAATAGTTTTTGGAAACATTGATCTTTTGTTGAATCAAATGTTTGTACCATTGCTAATGTTATACTTAACTATCCCTACTTCTGTTATCATTAATACAATGTATAAACTTTCCTTATTGGAGTCCCCATCGAATCTGGTGCACCTGATTGCCTCTATGCATGGCAGCCACCCAGTGTCTCCTTGCAAGAGCTATGACTGAGGAACTGATTTCTAAGTGAAATATTTACTCAAATCAGGTATGAATTATATTGGATCTAACTGTGTCAGAAGATGTAGGCAGCTCCTAACAGGATCTGTACCAGAAGATGGATGCTGAAGTCATTGTTTTGAGTTATTTAGGTGACTTCTATCACTTTTTAAGGTTTTTGTATTACTGAGATTCTAAATGAACTTTGCAAAATTAAAGATGCACCATGCATTTTTCTGGGGGAGGGCCCAAGACTTGTGTCCATGGAAATGTCATTGCTGAAAACGGGAATGCTTGTTTTACTTGGCATTTCAGAGCAGTAGGAATCCCTGTTATTGAGTATATGCAAAATAGATATTAATGCCATACTATGGAACATTCCAGGCAACGCAATGACATTACTATGTAGACAAGCATCAGAAAAATGGTGGAAAAATTGTGTATGATGAGTTGCCCTCCTTTGAAAATATGTAAAGCAATCATTTTGTACACATATTACAAAAAAATGTAATATTTGTCATTCAAATGACAAGTGAAAAACTGTCAATTTGTATTGTATTGTTTTAAAATATACAAGTAGCATGTATAGCTTCATTATAAATTTAAACCAAAAGAACAAGCGTTACAATCAATCATCACATTTTACTGAGAATTTTTACTGTACAAGCAGATATAAATATGCAAACGATAAAACTTTGAGCATAGTTAGTATAGACAATATGCCAAAGCTGCACTTGATGGAAAAAGTCTTTAAGCACTCAAGTATAAACAAAATCAATTGACAGCATAAAATACATGTTCTGACTGGATTGTAGTACAAATACAGGCTGCAGCAACACTTGGCTGAGGACAGGTGATAAACACTAAACTACCATAACTTCAACAACTGTATATTCAGCACTTAGCAGATATTTCATAACGGACAAAGCATGCCAGGAAATAACTCTGAAAAAGGTGAAATTTAAAAGTAAAATTTGTTGTTTATGCTTATGCCTGAGACAAGAAATACATCAATGCTGTATAAACTGCAGAGGCAACATGCTCTTAAATGATTAAACAAGCTGTATCAAATATACTGCAACAAGCTTTGTAGTGGTCTTCCACAGAACACTGTATCCACCAGTTAATGCAAGTAGTGTGTGTTGTCCCAGTCTAAATATTACTGCAGCTTCACTTATGTCCAAAAGTTCAATTTTGACCAAGGCTTTGATGAGTTCAAAGTTGAAAAGGGAGGAAAAATGCAGCCAGGAGTGCAATCATGGGTCCAAAAAAAGAACAATTAGGAAGAGAAGGGTCAAGGAAGTCACAAGGGGTACACCAGTGTCAAAGTATGTACAAAAAAGGAAGGAGAGGCCTCACTGTCGACTCTTAAGGGCGTCCACCAACCTGTGGGGGAGCAGACAGAAAGTGAGTTACGTGGATTAAATGTTTTTCTAAATAGCTGTGAAAAATTGTAAAGCAAAACTAAAATTGTTATAATTAGTTGCCACAATCCATATTTTTTATTACTGGCATAATTTTAATTTTTTTTTATTTAACTGTCAAACTGTAGCACAATTCTAGACATAATTTAGATTTCAATACACCCGACAATACAATGAAAATATAATAATGTGGAGTGAAAATACCTGTTTTGTATGCTAGTGTTCAGGGTTGAAAACATGTTTGCCCATTTTTTTATAGTGACAAATAATGCTCACCACTCCATGCCCTCATCCAGTCCTGTTCCTTTGGTGGCTGATGTCTTGAAGATCTGCCATTTTCTGTCTTTGAGTGCAGAAAGTCCCAGTGCTTTGGCGACCTCTGCAGGGGTCAGGGCCTGGTCCATGTCCTGCTTGTTTGCAAAGACCACCAGGATAGCTTTCCTCAGCTCCTCTTCCTACAGTAAACACAGACAATTTAAACAACAATTATTTGCTTATGTAATATGGTTTGTAACTATGTTTTTTTGTTTTTGTTTTTTTCTCCATTGGATCCAGATGCCTTCTAGAAAGTCAGTTATAGTGAGTTTTATTTTCAAGAGCAAAGGTGTGTGTGGGCGTGTGTTTTTTTTCCTGTCTTTTATTAATACATTACTGATTGCATGTAGCATTGTTTCACAGAGGATACTGAACTATTAAGTATTGATTTTTTAAAATCTGTAGAAGTTTGACTTGTACAGTGTACAAACCTCCAACATGGCAACCAACTCAGATTTAGAAATCCCCATTCTGTCACGGTCACTGCTGTCCACAACATAAATGACTGCATCGGTGTTTGAATAGTAACACCGCCAGTATGGCCTGTGTATAGAAAGAAGATGTGGTAAGAGAGCAGGCACAGCATACTTGAAATTTAATCTAGAGCACAACTCAATGTTAACTTACCGAATACTCGTCTGGCCACCGAGATCCCACACCTGAAACTTGAGGTTCTTGTATGTGACAGTTTCTACATTAAAACCAATTGCTGGAGAAAAAAAAAAGATTTGAACAATTTAAGTTACTGACACATTATGCAAAACAAAAACACTGTTTAATGAAGAGAAGCTCCTTTGCACTTTTATATTTGTTGTTTGACTTGTAGCTCCAACAAATCAGATTGATGCATTTTGCTTTGAGATGGTAAAGTGAATATTGAAATTACAGGACAAATTAAAAATAAATACATACTGGGAATAGTTGTGACAACTTCTCCGACTTGCAGACGATAAAGAATGGTTGTTTTTCCAGCTCCATCTAAACCCAGAATTAAAATCCTCATCTCCCTGGTGCCAAACAGGCCAGAGAAAAGACTGGAAAATAAGCCACCTAAAAAGAAAAACAAAAGAAAAAATAAGCATACTTGATATATGCTTGACACTATGAGACAAGCAACACTCTAAAATGACATAAAGAAGAAATTTGTATACTGAAGTTTAACAACGTGAAGGGAGTTTAAAGAGCCCATAATATAGTGGCTGTATTTCACATGATACGTTTGTTGTTTGCGGTCTTATTTGTAATTGTGTAAGTGTAGTACTACTGTATTTGTGCACCTGTTGTATTGGGGCACAGAATGGATTTAAATTTGAGTAGAAACGCAATGTTTACATAGAGTTGTTGGTGGTAATGTTTAATTAACCACTTAGTGTATACAATACATTGCAAAATTGATTACAACGTAATGATATATGGTCAAATAAGCATAAAAGTTAAGATAAATACGCAACGTGGTAAATGGAAATTCCGTACCAGCGTGATTTTAGCTCTTAGCTGCTACCTGCAACAGCAAGTTTACTTGTGGCGTAGGATGAAAGAAAGCGGAAAACATTGGAAATGATCTATTCAGACAGACTTATTTCTGATCTGAGCGCAAAATATGACACGTTATTTGAATATATGATGGAAAACTCACCCATTTTGACAAAGCTACGGCTCCTCTCAGAAATACAGCTGCGGTAGGAAAAAGCAGCAAGCGTCTTCTTCCGTGTGGTTGACGTGTCACTGGACAACGTCACCGGCCTAGCTGTGATACGGTTTCGCACATACTTCACAATTCAGCTCTTAAAACATAATAACTATAACAAATTATGTTAATCGATCATTTTGCTTAGTTTTTACATATTTTACCTACATGCATTTCTCTGTGCACAACATCTTTTATTTAAATTTCAATAAACTTATGTGTTGAATCTGCTCTGTAAGAATAGGGCTTGGTTTATTGAGCACGCCGTGGGCTGCATTCACAAACACGTATAAATGTAACGTTTCCAAACCTTCGTACCGTTTTATCAGAGGATAGGGGACAGAACAGAGATGACATTGTTTTGAACGCAGCTTGGGTAGCAGTGACATCAAGGAGTTGCCCTCTCTAAACAGCATCAAATTTATGACCACTGCAAACCAAATACATTTTATATGTAGAAGTAACACATCAGGGCGTAAAGGTGTTATGACACATTATGTAGGTGTAGTAAACGTTAATAATGTTGGTTTTCATTTGAGGTGTAATCTACGAATGGACGCTGACTGGCGGCTGAGACATCCCTGCAGTCCGCGGTGAGACAGACGAGGCGGGACAGGGATGATGGAGCGGTCGGACAGGGCCCCTCTGCTGGACTGGGAGGAGGCTCCATCGGCGGAGAAGCCCGGAGGAGACGCTCCTGATGACCGACTGTCGAGTCCCTCCAACACCCGCTCTGTCGCGTCTGGGTTTGGGTGGAGCAGCGGGCAGGGGGGTCCCACTAACCCACCGGTTACTGACCAAGCCCTGCGCCCGGACGAGGAGGGCTATCTGTCGGACTCAGCCGCCAGGGAGGTGGCCTTAGAAGACAGCATGGTGAAATGGGAGGAAAAGGACCAAATAGTGTCTGTTTTCGTGGTTACGTTCAATACAAGAACAGGTGAGATACTGCATTATGCTGATCAATTTAGAGTGCACTAAATATAGTAATCATTTAAGAATGATTTAAAGACATTTAATGAAACTCAGACATAGAGATGTAGGAACCAAAGGCAGTCAAGCAGTAACAGACTGATCCCAGTCAATTTTATATGTTATCATGATTTTTTTTAATTATCTTTCTTTTTAATAAGAATTGTTTTTATACGTGTGTATGTTTATCTTCTGAGGACAAGTTATACTTATTAGGTGGGGACATCCTGATTTAGTCAAATTTAGTACCTTGATTATTTTCATTGCACTACACATAACATCACCAATGTATGTGGGAATTGCTAAGTGTTTTTTGTACACTTAGCCTGTTAGTGAAGTCAAACTGCCTTACAAAATAACGTGGGTACATTTTTGACATTTTCCAATGGAAACTTACATATTGCAATTGTAATACATCAGGCAGACATTTGCACAGCTCTGTTGATGAAAGAGAAGCCCATATCTCTCTTAGAGAGAGTCAATTTTGCACCACTACAGGTGTGGCTTTTAGTGACAAAGCTAAATCCGCTACACCGTCCTCTGCTGTCAAAACAGGTAAAATTAAAAGTCCAGTGGTTTTAATACTGAGCAGATCAATGGGACCACACTAGGCAGAGTGAGTCTATACATTTTTAATTAGTGCGATGTTACAGACAGGGCAAGTCCTGGTGAAATAGGAGGCACTGGGGCTATCCGTCTGATCAATCTAAAGATCTATAGCCCAACAAAATCATTACAGGAAAGGAAATCTGATTTGGTATTTCCACTGGAGCTTCTTACCCAATAGGAAGAAATAACAAAATCAGTCCAGATCCCTTTTCTACCATGGGGTCACAAAGATCACAAAATGTTTCCTCCATATTACCCTTTTAATTATTACCTATTGATTTCTCATTTATGCTGGAATTTAAATGAATGAAATTAAAATCTGCATGTATGTTGTAGCATCCACACAGTTTTAGCACATCTTCAGATTTAACAGTTGAAGTGTCATTGCTGTTCAAGGCCTTTTGAGTGTTTGTTTTCAGCCAATGAAAAAATATTACAGCTGAGCTAGAACTGAACAATAACCTTTGGCTTAAACTAAGTATTTTCAGTTTGTAGAGGCTAAAACTACATGATTAGCAGAATGTCTGCAACTTGTTCATCTGCATGGAGATGTTAATGCTTTGCCTGGAAGAGTCCACAGTATTTCCTTCTATCTTACATTTATTTACGGTGTTCTTATTGCTCAATGTATTTTTACCGAACAGGGTCGCCTCTCAACAGATCTAACTTGGCTTGGTACCATGACCGTCTTGTCTCCATGGCTCTAGATACATTAATGCCTTACTGTGGAAGAGACAACCAGGTGGCAGAACCTTCACTAGAAAAAAGTTACTTTTTGCACTTCTTCCTTAAGGCAGTAATAAGAATACTATTTGTTTCTTAAAGAGATTACACAAAATTGACTCTTGTGAGCTTTAAGTCATGTTGGAGTACTATTATCTCATCAAAAACATACCTGGAATTGTATTAGTCTCTCTGCCCCACCTTGTGATGTCATTTAGAGGTAGTTTTGTTATCAAGTACCCTTTACCTTTTGTTTAGTAGAGATTGGAAATTCCAGATCTGAAATAATCCAAATGATTCTAGTGGAGAGATATGGAGTTTAACACAGTGGGGTACTTTCTGTATTAATGTGACATCACAAGATGGAACAGAGTGTTTTTGGTCTGAGTCTAAATATGCAAGATTTGTGTGTTAAACATGTGAGAATGAAACAAAAACAAACCTCCAGATATGTTTTTGATGAGGAAACATTATAATATAGCACAGAAAATAGTATAGTAGTAATATATGCCCTTTAAATAACAGTAGCTTTTGCAACTTGGTAACTGCAATCATTCAAACTGAAATTTAGCTTCTATTGTGAAATGTTGATTGTGAAGCTGTTTGGCTACTCAATCACAGCAGGTAGCTTTTATTTCCTCTGTTCTAATAAAAATGCTACAGATTCCTATGTATCCCCCTATCTGCCACTAAATACATACTTATACCATCACGTCTGTCTGAGTCACCCGTTATCCTGCTCCTGTATTTGCTCAGCTGCCACTTGGACGTCAGCTAACACACAAAGAACTGCCAAGAAAACATTCGGGCTTCGTCACGTCTTATTCAGTGACATGACAGGGCCTTAATATTGTGTCTAACTGTGGTGTTTGATTGATGGCTTAATTTGCCTGTGTTTTGGTGCAGGCAACATGCTGGAGTGGTGCCTGCCCAAAGACATGGACCTGGAGGGAGTGGAGTTTAAGGCCATAGCCAGTGGATCTCATCGGGTCTCCACAGACTTCATGTATGTATTTGCAGATCCAGTTTTAAAGGGGCACTATGCAACTTTTCTGATGTACGATTCACCATCTACTTCAGGGGATGTTATGTCTGAGATGTCCCACAGTATGACTTATCTATCTTGCATTGATCGAATCATAGATGTTTTATTGGTTGCCTTTGAACAGACCTAACCTATAACTTGGCCTAGTAGCATCAGTTGCTTGTCTCCCTAGAAATGAAAGTGTTTAATGTAATTTTATGAAAAATTCAGGCAAGGCAATAAATCTGTGTTTCTTAAACTTTCTACCCCCTAAAATAATATTTGGCTTTCACCACTAAATTCTTATTCAAGCTAAACATGGTCTAGAATGAGACTAAAGTATGGCCACTTTATTAATATATAATGATTAAACCAAATTAGGTCAAAAACTTTAATAGGTTTTAAACAAATACTCAAACTACAGAGGACCCCATGTACCACAGGAGCACAGTTTGGGAAACACTGCATTATATCACCATGGAAACAAGCAGCTCCACAACAGACTCTCCACTTCAAATGTTACATAGCATACCTTTAGCTGCACTCTAAGAATACCACCAAAGCCACCTCCTTCTCTTCTCTCTGCTGTGTTTTATGACTCGTAATTACCTTTGTCTCCCTGTGCGGCCATTTTAGCTACTTCCGAAAGGGCAGCTACTTTGGCCTGGCCTGCTTTGCCAACATGGCAGTGGAGAGCACGGTGGAGAGAGGGGCCAGGATGAAGTCCGTGGGCATCCTGTCTCCTTCGTACACTCTTCTCTACAGATACATGAGCTTCCTGGAGCATCAGGTCAGGTAAGGCGCCCCCTGCTGCTGAAGTGAAAACACAGCGGTACACAGACTCTATTAACTGTGGTTTTCCTCTGGTGGTATCTCTACAGTTTCTGTCTATACTAAAATTTTAAATCAAATAAATTGTATTATTTAAGTGTCAGTAGCTGTGAGCATAATAAGTCCTGGTTTAGACTTAGTCTCTTAAATATTAGATGAAGCAGTATTAGTGTGAAAGGTTTGTGAGCCGCTGGTCTATAGGCACATGAAACTATCTTATTACAGTCTGGAATTGCTTCCAGCATTGTATACAACACACTCTAGGTTTATTAATTCAAACTAAACTAGATCTCAAACTATCCTCCTGACTAAGGCTGGACAATTAATTGAGATATAATTGTTTCAAATGGTCACTGCTTAACTTTATGCTTTGTAGTCAAGAAGCTAAAAGCATGGGGTCATGTCTTATTCATTCATATTATGGCGGTGATCTTTTTCTCATACTACTTTTAAACATTTCCATTCTTCTTTTACCTTTAAAGAATTTCAATATTTTTCAGAGATTTTAGTAATTCAGACAGTTCTGCTTTTGTCCGCTCTGTTCCTCTTTCTCAATCCCCTTTTTATATTCCACTCCCTTTCTCTCTTCTCCAATTCATGGCTTTGCTTCTCTAGTGTGAGAGTTTGAAGTTGTTGTTTTTTTAACACAAGTAACTATAGAGTCTCTTTCTATCTTTTATGCTACTTATTTAGAATTTATTATTACCATTTATATTTTTTCTGTGTGTTACTATATTATATTGTGAGGTGTAAGCTATTGTGTCCAAATAAGTTCCCTTGTGGATCAGTAAAGTTTGTCTAAGTCTAAGTCTAAGAGTAGTCCTGGTCCCCAATCTGGTCCCATGCTTTAGTGACGATTATATTTTCAGTCTATGTATTCAGACCTTATTAAGTCCTGGCCTGTTCCTAGTTTTACCCTGGTTTAATCCTTTTTGCTTTTTAATTGCTATACATTTGATTATAGTGGTCGATTTATAAATACAAAAGAATAAATAACAACTGTGCAAATGTAAGAATAAGGATATATATATATTTTATATATATTTTTAATGTGTTTTATTACTCATGATGAATGACACCTTACCACCTTGAAAATTAAGGATATTTTTGGAGTGTAGGTTAAATTGAAATGAAAACTTTGCTTCTAAAATTTCAGTTCAGCCTGTTCAATTTAGTCAGTCATATTTCTGTTTTCTTCTACCAGACTACACTTTTGTCTGTTTTGGTCCATTTGCCTTTCTTCCCCTGATATTCCTCTGGTCCCCTCTCTCACTCCATCCTGCATTTGGCCTCGGGTTCTGCAGGTCATGCTCTCTGCTTCTCTCTGCCTCTCTCTGCTCTAGATTCTCCATCTGTGTCTGTTATGCCGCGTCTGCTGCTTATATAAAGAGCTTAGTGTTCATCACGCGGTGATTAAGACATTTAGGAATGTGTGTTTATCGGCTGGGCCTCTTCCCTGCATGTCTGACATAAATGCCGAACTTTCGACGAATACAATATAATCTGTAATCTGTTTTTGTGAAGTTTTTACTAAAAACATTTAGTTAATTATTTGTTTTATCTTAATTTTAATACCAGTCATATAACATTTTGTACTATTACCGTCAGTGACACCTTAGTACAGGAGCATAGACCATATATATGTACAGGGGTGGGCAATTTTTTTTCCCATGGGGTCACATGAGAAACAGAAAATATTGTGGGCTGGGCCAAAATGCTTTACTTAGTTCTGCATAATATTAATTGTGTTTCTTCATTTAAAAAAGCAGTAAATAGCATTGTTTTGATGAGCTGGTAAGACTGGTAAGAGTTTATGTTAAGACTAAGCAATGAAAAAGTGAAAAAAATGTCATAAAAAAAACACACCTAAAAGCAATGCAGCTTTGGTCCATGCATGAAGTAAAATTATAAAATATTGTTTATTTTGTAATTCCAAATTATCTTAAAGGGGCCGGTCAGAGTCAGACAAAGGGCTGTATGTGGCACAGGAGCTATACTCTGCCCAGGTCTGCCTTAGTAGTAGCAGTAGTAACATGGTTATACAGTAGTTATTATGTAAATTATTACTTGTTTGTGCTTTAGCTGTCAAAATGTTACTTGACAGCTGAAGCACAGTGTTAAAACCATGCATTCTCAGTCTCAGTATTAAAACCATGCATTTCAAAGGAATTTTAAATGTGTTTTTAATATTTTCTCTTGTATTGCCAGACTTCAGCTGCAGACTCCAGGCCACTACTCCCCTCTAGAGGCTTTTTATGAAGATAAGAGAGCAGTGCTGCCCCCTGGTGGTGATGGGATTGTTACTGCGTGTCCCGCAAATGCCTGGGGGGCAGTCATCAATCACAGTATGCACCCTGAAATGAAGGTAATACACGAATACACCGATCTACCTTCTGTGAATCTCGATTTTTCCATATTATTTAAAGAGGTTGTGTAAAACTATGTATGAGGGCAGATATTTTTTTTATTATTTTATTGCTGTATTATTTTTAAAACTTGTATTGTAGCTAGATAATTTTTTTTCAGAACAACCCCATATAAATAGGACAACATTTTCCGGAGTAGTGTTGTTGATCAGAACCAATATTAGACCAGTAAAAATATATTATTAACACATTAAAATCACATTCCACTCTCAAATTCCTTCCTGTGAAACATGACAACATAGTTCATTTTTGTATATTGTATATATGTATATTATTATGTATTATGTATGTGAAAGGTAAAATATAGTGGAAATGTTTGAGTACAGGGTAGCCTTGGGGTCTTAAAAGTCTTGTTCCTAAATTAAGGCCTTAAAAAGTCTTAAATTATGTTGTCCAAGTCTTATTTTTTTCACAAAGGTCTTAAATTTCATTAGCCTATTTTTTTGTATCCTCAACTGGGCTGCAGTGCAATGTTAAATGGAGGGAGGTAAAAAAAAAAGCAACAACATGAAATCAATGAGTAAACAATCAGTACAGTGGAGGAAGACATTGGATGGATCATTGGGAAGTATATGTTTAATCCACAGTGGCTCTTAGATTCTAGATATAGTAGTTGGTTGGTCTTTATTAGAACTGGATCTGGTGTTTTTCACCTGCATAATGGGCGCGATGTTGGTCTTAATTTTCATTTAAGTGAACTTAAAAAGGTCTTTAAAAAAGTCTTAAATTTGGGGTAGTCAAACCTTGGGATACCCTGGAGTAACATTTAAGAAAAATACACAAGACAGTTGAGAAAGTCATTGGTGCTCAGGAATAGATTAAAAGTAAATATAGTATAATATATTTTATCTTTTCATTAATTACACCTCTATTCCCGTCCATCAGATCACTCACCCTGCAGGCTGCATGTCCCAGTTCATCCGTTTTTTCGGGGAGCAGATCATGGTGCTGTGGAAACTTGCTTTGCTTCGGAGACGCATCCTCATCTTTTCTCCACCGCCTGTGGGAGTGGTGTGTTACCGAGGTGAGACAAAGTTACTACACCATACAACACTAAAGTAAATAAACACAGATTATCAAAACTTTGGGACTGTGAAAAGTACAGGCAGCAAGAGGAAGTGTTATTGGTGTTGTCTTAAATGAAAAAGCAGTGTCATATTGTCAGTGTCTTGACAAAAGCACTCTCAACTTTTGTTATAAGTTTGAACAGAATCTAGAGCAACTGGCTATATGTTTGTGTTTTTTATTTTAACCCTGGAGTGGCTCAGACAGACACAAAGAGAAAGTATTAGTGTTTTTTTTTTTTTAATTGAGTAATGTTAAGTAATCTTCAGTGCTCAGGCCCCAGCAGAAGACATTACGATGAAGGGTGTGACCGATTAGATGATGTTTAGGCGATGTCTTTCCGCCTAGGGCCTGGACACTGGAGGTGGTAGCGGTGAGGCTGAGGAGAATGAAGGGGTCGATGAGAGGATGAGAAGCCGAGGGGGCGTTGAGGAGGAGGTCGGGCGTGGCACAAGCCAAAGCACCTGTGATAGGGGTTTAAATTGGGATGACTGGGCACTGATTGGAGAAAAGGAGGTGTGTCGAGCAGCGGGGAGGAGTATTTGGGATGAGCGATGAAGACTGAGGAACAGCTAAACTCTGGAGAAGCGTTGAGGCAGATGGGAGCAAAGTTAGGTCTTCCAGGCTAAATTTACCCTAGCTCAAAAATTATATTATTAAAAACAAAACTAACACCCCCTGGTGTTCTTAAGTGGGACCATATGTTATAAGGTCTAGTGTTAGTCCTAGTGTTGTTCTGGTTTGCTCTGGTTTAGTACTAGTTTGCCTACTTTTTGTATTAGTTTTTCATAAAAAAAAAAAAAAAAAAAGAACTGGTTTGGAGTAACAATTTTGGTCATTATTCTGCAATATTATACATGTTATGTTCTTTTGCAGTGTTCCCAAATCCACAGTTCACACAATATACACATGTTAATTTCTGTCTCTCTATAGTTTACTGCTGCTGCTGTCTGGCCAACATCTCCATCCCTGGGATTGGAGTCGCAGTTCCAGAGTTTAGGCCATTTTTCTATGTAAATGTGGCTGATATCAATGCACTGGAAAATGAGCTCTCTTACGTCGCTTGTAAGAAAACTGCAATTTTTACTCTTTACTTACGGTACGTGCTGCAAATGACCTGTTTCGTTTGTACTTTTAGGCACTACTGAGAAGATCTTTGAGGAGAAAAAGGATCTGTACGACGTTTACGTGGACAATCAAAATGTGAAGACGTACAGAGAAGGACTGAAGCCACTGCTCCGTCTCAGCGCGGCGGACAAAGACAAGTATCACAAACTCACTGAACAAAGGTACAATTAACATTATTGCTGTTGCTATGCTATTTTGTTTCCTTATCTCATTTCCAAAAGATAACCTTTGTAAAGCAACACTGAACCACTTTCAAACTAGTCTGAAGTTTTGTATGTTCAAAAGTTATGCACATTTTTTGTTTGTTTTTGTTTAGGCAAATGTTGCTGTACTCTCAGGAGGAGACTGGAGACTGTGTGTCCAGTGAGGAGGATCTATTTATTCTGTAAGTGCAAGTTAATTAATTGTGCACAATGTCCGTTTTTAAAGCACTTGAATAAATAGCAATGGAATAAATAACTGAATTAACAAATACATTTATTCCATATTGTGAAACATTCCAGACCAATAATATTTTCAAGGAGGTGAAAAATGGACATAGTGTACCTAGAATAAGAATAAGTTTTACATAGTAAGCACTTCCTAAACAAAAATATATTGACATGAGTCGGCTAAATGGAGGATGTTGAAATACAATAAACAATGATTCAATGTGTAATATGATACATTAGTTACAAAAATATAAAAATAATTAAGATCTTCTGTGGCATTGGCTGGATAAATTAAACAATAAGTATTTCAGATGTTGTAATTGTTCAATATATACTGTTGCGTGTTTTTTACTTCCCATGCCTGTTCCTTGAAAAGCAAGTTACCAACCATAAAACATGTAACTTTATATTTATTTCAATAGAACTATCTTTCATCTTTTAACTATTTTTAAAAATATTCTTTTTAACTAGGTTTTTCTTGGAGCAGAACAACCGTATTTTCCAGACACTGAGTGAAGTTGCCAATAGCACTGAGCCCACCCTGACCCAGGAGACAGTGAGGGCCATGGGGCTGGACCCTCACGGAGACCGGCTGTTCCTGCTCCACCTGCTGGAGATCTACGGCTATGACACACTGCTCGTATCTGAACAACTCTGCTGCAGCTGAGAAACCATCGGTCAAATGAAAAGAGGAGTTTTGCCTTGATTTTGTACTGCACTACTGCATTCCCAGAGTCTTCTTTCTGGGACATTAGGAAAGTATATTGAATTATTATCGCTATGTCTAATAAGTTGAGTTTGTGTGACATAAATCCATTTTACAATGCCAATGATTTAAGTTAGAGTTAGAGGACAGGTCAGAATTTGTTGTTTAACTTTCACACTGCAGATTTCTTGACCTGGTTCCTGGTTAATATCTCTGTGATTAAGCGGCTTATCTACAAGAAACAAAAACTGGCATAAAGTTCACTGTCTTCAAAAACTCTTGCCCTCATTCAATACCAAAGCACCAAATACATAATTTTTGAAACTGTTATGAAAAAATGATTCTGTTCAACAGCTGTGAATTTTCTCATAAACTATAAATCTCCCATAGAGTTATATAGGCGTCTGTTCTCCATCTGAAATCATGACGTTATAAAATTCTAAAAAGTGAGCACAACCTATTTGGCAGTTGTTCTGTGGTCTCTTGCTGGAAATTAGTTATAGCTAGTTGGGTACCTTCTTAGAAAACCAAACAAGATTTTTAAAATTAGTTTTATGAATTCTTCTCTATAACTAATCATTACAGATCATAGCTAAATTGCAGATCTTAACAATATATAGTCTGTTGCACAAATTAACCCTTAACTTTGGGTTTCAACCTTTGCTGATTTCTAGCAACAGGTCTTATGTGTCCTTGTGTCTACTGGCTCTTCATAAGAGAGCCAGTGGATTTGATTGGTTAACACCAATTTAAAGCAAGCTGGACACAGACTTCATAACTGAACATTTAAGATTGCCTTGTTAGTGAAGTTGAAGTTTGAAGTTGAGAGAAAGGTAGCCATTTTGTAAATACTTTTTGTACAGTGTGTCAGCCTCTGTGTGTATGTGTGATATGGGTTTTCCTCTTTGTACAAAAGTGCTGGAAATCACATTGAACTTAATGCCTCTGTCAAAATCAGGTCCACACTAGTTGAACTGTAGTATATTGTATGGTCAAACTGCCTTCACAAGCCATGTCTGTAAACACTACATTACTGCTGCAGAATAAGTTTAGCTCAAAGTGTAATTGTTGTGACTGAAAGAATGCATCTGAAATAGAAAGTACTACAATGAAATAGAGACAAACTGTTGGCTGGGCCTACAGTACGAAAAAGGTGTTAACTTTAAGTGTTAGAGCATACACAAATGACATTTCACCATCACCAGTGCTTGAGTGCTACACATAATTTGAATGTAAGATAATTAATATACATTTTATTTCAACACAAATGGGTCTTAATTTAATGAAATATTTTTACTACATGTGCAAACCTGAAAAGCAAGAGAAAAGTAATGCATCTGGACACTCAAAATTACACACATTAAGGACTTTTATACATATATTTTACAGATGTTTACACGGTGTTGTTTTATGTTAGCAGCAATACATAGTTTAGCTCTTATATTATTGACCGACCTGCTCTTCAAATGACCAGATAAGAAGAATATTAAAGGTGCATTATGCAACTTTTCTAGTGCTAGTCTACATAGAGATGTTGCTTTGCCTGGAATGTTCCATGGTATGACATTAAACATATCAGTCTAGGATTTATTAATTGCAGGTATTTCTATTGCTTAAAAATACGACAGTTCCTTCTGTGAATAAGGACAATTCTCCACAGATCTGAATTAAAATGTGTAGTGCTATAACCTGCTTGTCTCCCTCGTGATAGATAGTTTAATATAGTAGTCTAAACCCATTTCCATGGAGACAAGCAGGTGGCGGATCTTCCACTAGAAATGTTACGCAGTGCACCTTTAAGGGCCAAACACAACAATGTTACAGACTGCTTTAAAATAATTGTCGAGGGATTTTAAAGTCATTTGAATCATGACTATTTTAAGAAAGGTCAATGAATGCACCTTTTGTCACATAATTTTATAACAAATAGACCTCAAGAATCACCTACTTTATGACCTGAACTTCACACTTTGTGCTTATGTGGCTCCCGCACAATACATGTTTTTGTATTATTTAAATATTTTGTCGTATTAATTTGTAGATTATTTTGTTGTAAATATTTATGTTCTGTAATGTGAAGAAATGGAATAAGCTGAATGTGTTTTATATGGCCTCTTATGATCCTTGTCAGAGGTGGACAAACGTAATTTTATTCAAGTGCTGTGCCCAATAACTTTACTGCTAACAAGCAACAAAAGCCTCCAGATTTTGAGTAAGTGGATAGCATTTTTAGACTTCAAATCAAAAGATTCTTGGTTTGAGAAAATACAAAAAACATTATTGGAATATTATATTGTATTTGATTTAACTTGTTTCAGAACTGTGTTTTAGTTTTGCGATTTTACTTTGACTTTAATTAAGCCATTATTACCACCTCTGTGTCCAATATCCACTTGAACACAAACTTTGACTCAATGTACAGATTTTTGTTGAAGGAACACAAATATGACACCAGTTAAAACATGTTTATTTATTTTACTGTAAAACATTCTCAAATAAAGTGCACTGTCACTGGTAACGATCACCGTCCCTGAAGTTAATGTGTATACAATATAATTAATTTAGTCACTACACTGAGTTACCACTGGTTTCTGTATACATTAAGTTATCCGGAGGCTACATGAATCGTTAAAAAAAATCAGCTTAAAATAAATAAAAAAATAAAATAAGTAAAATAATTAGTAGTACAATTTTAGTTGAGGATCATTGAGAATCAAAGCTCTCTGGGAGGTAGATGGTTTGCTGTGCCTAAGCTAATTTTAATGGTACTGAATTTAATAATTACTCAAAACCATAAAGATGTAGTATATAATATTTCAGGAGGAGGGTACACTACCTGCCTGTCTCCAAGGTGAAATGATTGCTTTGCCGGCAGTGTGCCACAGCATGGCATTAGATTTATCCATCTCCATCTTTCTAGCAATCAAATTAAGATCATTTTTAGACACAGTATAGATAAGCTTAATGCCATACTGTGGAACATTCCCGGCAGAGCAACATCCCAGCAACAAGCCAGAGACAGAGCCCCCAATAGAAAAGTTACATAGTGCCAGAGATCCAGAATACATGCTTCTTCAACATCTCTCGAACATGAGTTTGGTCATCGGTGAATCAAATCAGTATAAATGCATTTTCAATTTCAGTTCCTCTTCTAAATCCATTATATCATATTCTGAGTAACTGATATGCATTATGTAAAATATTGTAAAAATTGTCAGAAATATCACTGATTTAAAGTTACTGTGGCTCCTGTTCAATTATAACATAGTCTTCACTACTGGAGGAGCCTGTGTCAGATATATTACCATTACAGGATTCAAGTGTAGTGTTGTGAATTGCCATCTTGAGAACAGTAACCCAGCGATCTCTGAGGTCCGTGTGGTCACAAAAGAACATATGTGTGATTTTTGATTGTCTTAAACAGAAACAAACTTGATCCGGAAACTCCTGCGGACATTTCTCCACTGTGTAGCCCAGCAGAGGAATAGTGGACTGGGGTTTGACATCCTAAAGAAAAACATAGCAGTGAATGTAATGAAATAAATAACAAACATGACATGAATTAATTAGTGAAAAGATGATAACTCCTTCACAATATTTACAAACAATTTCACAGTCAATAATAACTCATTTTCTTGGTGGACTGTATATAGGTTTATGATATAGTAAAACATTACATTATCTACAGAATCAGAAAGATTTTCAGAAATATTGTCACTTTTCCTAAATCCAAAAAAGAATTATTAATTTTATGAACTAAAGCAAGAGGTGGCACTTTTAAATGTTCTAAAAAGCTATACATTTGTAAAACCCAACACTGATGTTTCTGTACCTGTGGAGCAGCGTGCAAGTACAGGACTGATGGATCATTTTTAGGAAGAACAGTCCAAGTCTGATGCCTCGTCTTTGGGTTGTCACCGTAATTTAAGAATCCGCTCATTAAACTGGGTAATATGGGTGTGTCTGACTGAAGCTAGAAAAAAGGATTAGAAATCTTAAAATTTATCTCTGCCATGCTAGCAGAAACCAGAAACAAATCTTAGATTAAATTGTGCTTTACAAGTTTGACAAGCTTTTGTAAGGGTTATAGTAAGCCATTATAGAATCACTTTTGCTTCTAGTCCAACAATGTTCTGATGTTAGTATACTTCACTATATTCTACTTTTACTAGAGTCAGTTATTGCTAACCTACTACTACAGCAAATTGTAGTGCATGGATTCCCCTGCAGTTCAAATATTTGCTGAATTAAGTGTCAGTGTACACCATATTTTTTACCTCTTTTAGGTTAGTCATCATTATTTTAGTTGTGTAATCACCAAGTGGTACTTTGTGTCAAAGGTTTGAGAATCACTATGTACAGTTTGGTGACCCAACAAATAAATCATTTTTGAGAATAAAACGAAATCGATAAAGAAACTGTGTCTCACATTTTCTCTCCATTGCTCTTGTCGCTGAGCAGTCAGAACAAGGTAGCAGGATTTACACACTTTGTTGAGTTTGTTCCCATCGTACTCCAGAGCTGCTTTATTGTCTGAACACTTCCAACACACAACCTATTAAAGTAGAGAGGACATAACAGTAAAAGTAAATGAGAGAGTAGAAGTTAATTTGAGTATAAATCCTACTTACACATCCACAGGCTCTGCAGTGGTGCCTTCTTCTGGTGAGGGGATGAAAAGGCTCATTACATTTCATACACATTGTCACCTCATTATCTCGGATCCACTTTGGAGCGCGGCGTCCTAGTTCCTTCATCTTCATAAATGCAGAGAACCATTGTAAAACCTTAAATAATTTAAAAGTGGTACTGCACATTTTGTTAATGCATCCAAACTTACAGGCTCCTTCACAATGAGCTCTCGGGCGGCCATTTTGAAGGTTTCATTTTTCTTTTGGAAAACTTGAATGGCCTCTTGAATCACCTGCAGGAAGAAGACACGATTTAAAGAAACAATTAAAAAAAAAAAAGCTGCACGATGTAACTTCTCAGATGGAGGTCACCCGCTTGTCTACATTAGATCAATTATTGCTTTGCCTGGAATGTTCCACAGAATGGCATTAGACATATTTATCTTGCACATCTTTATTCAATTTCTGGTGTTATATTTATGAAATAAAATCCATTGGAAAAGCATGAATTCTTACTATGTGGTATCCTATCCACAGAAACAAGCAAGTGGCAGGCCCTCCACTAGAAAATTTACATAGTGCCCCTTTACCAACGTGCTTGTGGAAGAAATACACAAGATTGAACATTACCTTAATCCATTCATCACGTTCTTCTTCAGAACTACATGAGGACAATAATAAGGAAAAGTTTAGTACTGTTGTGAAGATGTATTAATATGCATTCACCATAATTTTATCAACAAAAATACATAAATGTCAATATCAAAACAAACCAGAGCAATGATCAAGCCCTCATTTACAGTAGGACTAAAAACTGCCCTTCTCTCACACCTGGCCTGCAGCTCCACAGTCTTCTCCTTCCCAGAGACCTGAAAGGTGAACGGGTGACCATCGTTTGCGGTCGGCTGGACGTTCATCCCGTCAATGCCGATCCTGTAGCGCACAGTGTACCTCTGCCCCACCAGACTGAACTTAGGCGAGCAGCACAGCAAGAAGTTATTGAACTGTGGGACACAAAATAAAGATAAAAACATCAATATTAAAAAGAGTGTATTCCTTCATTCGACCAGGAGTAGTTCAATGCGATCAAAAACGCAAAGGCAGCATCCAGATGACCCTCTTTGAAACTGTCTCTACATTAAACAGAGTTATGATTTATTATTCTTATCCTAATATAATGAGCATAATATAATAAAATATTTTAAAATACCGTGCATTTCAGACGTCCCAGAAACTCAAAATATGCCTTAATAAGTGTTTCGTAATATATTCTGATACATGGTTCAGAGTACTGATTAATACTTTCATATAGAGCTGCATTATACTTGTTTACTGTTGCATTTATTTATCATTAATTAGTGAAACCGCACATGTACACACCAAAAGGAGTGGTGTTTTTTTCTTTTTTTCTCTAACTAATACCAAATAGTTCAAAGCATATGTTTCTTCCCAACACTACCTACACCTATGAAAAAGGCAGTACACAATAGTTTAGTTGTTCTAACCAAAAACAGTTGTCTCTCCATGGCGGATGTGTTCCTGGCGGCCAGTTTGACCAATCGACCCTCCTTCAAAAACTCGTTACTGGGATTGATCACCTCCTCCTCTCCCACCATCTCATAGACCTCCAGCAGCTTCCTCAGATTCTCCTGTCAAGAAGCACGGTGTTACACAACAATACACATATGATAACACAAAAGTATCAAGTTTGACCAATGCAGACACCAGTGCAGTCATTAGTGTATACAGTGAAATCTACAGGACAGTGCTGTGTTTTGGAAACTTACAGTTTTTTCAACAGCGCTGTTTGAGTGGACTGTGGCCATGGAAATAGTCTGCAATGACTCTGTAAAGAGACAAATATAATAGACCTAATGAATATTTGTAATTAAAGTGGTCCTTTACAACTTATATAGACACAAGAACTTATATTGAAAAGAACAAACAAAAAATTATATAACTGAAGACCATAAAGTATTAAAATACCACTGTTTTCTTAATGTAAATAAAACATGAGCTACAATAAAAAGAACAGTGAAACTCTTAAGCCATTAGTATTTATAATGAGTCATGTTAATTATTAAACTCTTATAGCTAAAAGATAATAGTCTGCAAAAACCTGAAAACATTTCTCATTAATTCAAATAAATGTGTATTTTTTAAACAATGAGCCATTAATTATAAGAGGGATACAAAACTTTTCTGATGAAGTGCCCTCTACTTGCTTATTTTCATGGTAAAGCGTAATGCTTTAATATTGAACATAACAGGCAAAGCATCGTAAAGGTTATATTGTGCTCTTTTAACAATGAGTCACCAGTAGAAGTTATCAGGAGCCTTGTATTTATTGGATTTTAATACTGCTATGGTTTACTCTGAGCAGGTTGATAATCTGGGTGATCGTCTGGAAGTTTCTTCAAATAATCCCGAAGCAGGAGTTCATATCGAGGAAGTCTCTGCACTGGCTCCAACATGTGGTGCTGCAAGGTCAGACTGCCACACTGTTCCAGACTCTGCACACAACACACAAACACATTCAGACACCACCACTGAAATCAAGAATTCACTAGCAAGGACCACGCCACAACAACGAAATACGATAAGATGTTTATTGATGGTGGACAGATGTGATGGCTGGAGGGAGACTCAGGGTGGGCGCTCTGTCTCCAATTCAAAATAATCACCCCTGATTCAGAATCCCCTCCTCCTTAAAGATGATGTCTTCGAACAGAAGGATGGATGAGAGACACGGGGTGAGATGGAGGGGGACGAGAGAGCTGACACAGGTGATGATGTCGGGATGGCCATATAAATAGGGCTTCGGGATAATTGAAGGCATGGTTGAGATAAACTATGGTTGGCTGGAGAGAAGGTGGAGGCGTGGTCCAGCTCCTGAGTCTCAGTTAATCATATTAACTCCACTTATTGGTTGACATTTCGATAGCCACTCAGAGCAAGTACTGTTGTTGTATAGGCAAGACATTTCACCCACCTCTAGCATGAATGTGGTGTGTACGTTAGTGATTGGTGGAGGACAGAGGGGCGCAAATTGGCAGCCTTGCTTCCATCAGTTTAACCAAGATCAGTCGTGGCAACAATTGTGCTATCTTACTACCATCGAGTATGGAGTGAATGAATAATCACTACAATGTTCAAATACCCTTTGAAGAAACATTTTTGAACCGATGTCAGGAGAAGCACATACAGCGTTTTGAAGAAGTCTGTTGTGGCTAATTGGTGACTAAAGACCATAGACTATCTTATGTCCTCACCTGTATTTCCTGAATGATGTTCCTGAAGGCAGAGGAGCGCTCAGTCCAGGTCCTGACCAGGTACAAGGACTGGTCAAAGTTTCGGACATAGTCTGCGTACATCCTCATGAAGGGGGCGTGCTGCAGCAGGACATTGCCCAGCCCTGGACATTCACCTCTGGAAAAAAAAAAAGATTAAAAGTTTAGGTGAGTGTATGTATATATATATAATCATATTATATATAGACACTTCTGTCAGAAATGTGTTTATATTAACTGCATAACTAACTACAGTACAAACACTTTAGACTTGACTGAACTGATGAACAAGTTATTTATTAACAGACCAAATTAAGGCCTATGTTGATATGCATACAGTACATTAATCACATGTATAGTATTTGGAAGTTCTTGGCAATTTCCAGCCCTATGTATGTCAGCCTTTATACCACCAACTAAAATACAAAGCCCCTCACCTGTGGCTGAGGCAGTTCTCGAGGTCTGGGAGCAGAAACTGACTGTGGAAGGAGAAAATGGAGGAGATGTTGGAGAAGATGTTTTTGACAACTTCAGGAGGAAAAGAGCCTCTGTTTGCTTCTTCTGTCAGACGTGCACAAAACACCTGAGGACAAAAACAGGTTAATAAAATCTTTAAAGTAGAGCCCGACCGATATATCGGCTGACCGATATTATCGGCTGATATGGGCACCTGGAGACATATCGGCTATCGGCTGAAATGCTTGCTGATGACGTGGGCATGTTATACCTCGTTATAAAGCTTAGACTCTCTACATTATGTTCATTTAATCCAATTTACAGACAGATAAATGTCCTAATATGTGGCTCCGCATCAGTATTTATCTGCGGTGTAGTCCGTACTGTCCCTGAACACACCACCAGAGTCAAGGCGTAAAGACGTACGGTCAGGAGGTGCGTCGTGCACCGGGGCCATAGCAACAGAACGTCCGCTCGCTCAGTTGCTCACTTCTCACTTGAGAGAAAGGCTTCTTGAACGCTCTGTAGACACTTGTAAGTAACTTTGATATTCATCTCTTATTAGCCCAGCAGCGATTATAAAACACTGTCACAACACTCAGTAACTCTCTGTTCACTGTTTTGAAGGTTTGAAAACACACCAAACCGGGACTACTTCACCATGGGTGGATTCGTCTTCCTCCTCGACAACCTGGAACTCCCCGAAGGTAAAATTACTCAAATAACATTCAAACATGATAAATTATGATAAATATTAATAACATAGTCAAAATACTTAATGACAAGAACAGTTTTGTCCACCTGGGTGTAAGGTTTGGCTCCTAACGCAGGTTTAGGAAAGTTGATTGTGACTTTTACTCAACGATTTAATTTTGGGTCAAGATAGCTCGTGAAACTGCTCTAAACATATCAGCACGAGTGCGTAGTGAAAATTTATCGTCACATTTATAGGAAATAATTTGTCTTGTATTGTCTGAGCATCTTAATTCATCAGGGTTTGAATGGCATTTTTTGAAAAAACATGGCGCTAGCTTAGCCATTGTAAATTGGAATGTTTAAAAAATGCACTTTTGATCTCCATAGAAATCCCGGTGTTCGGATTTAATTTGAGCATTCCATTTGAGGTTTGGTTTAGGAGGAGCTGCCAGACTCAAATCACTGCAAGAAAACCTGTAGGACCCACCATATAGCCTATAAAGTATAAAAACATGCTTAATTAAAGGGTTCAACTAATAATCCATAACTATATTAATAATTATGAACTCATTCATCAAATAGGCCCCCATAATGGAATGAATTAGGTCAGGCAAACACCAAGAACCCAGCAAAATGTACTGTAGCCTAATGTTTGGTTATATTCTTTAAATTACAATTATGTACTCAAGTATGACCCAAGTCCAAGTAGAACTTCACAATAAAAATGGTGTGTTCTTAGCGCTGTAGGTCTTTACGTGCCATCCACCTGTAGTAGGCCTAATCGTGTGCAATACTGTAACATAATGAGAGACTTTGCAAATACAATTCACCCAAGTCACTTGATTTAAATTGTCCATATGCTGCACTGTAGATAATACATAGTTATAGCTACTTATTGTACACATAATATAGTGTACTCAAATCACTTTATGTACTGTTTATTCTTGTCCATTTGCTGCACTGTTCATAACTCCAGTCAGATCTACTTATTGTGCACTTTTGTAGCCTTAGAGCTTTACTCTGCGGACAGTGTTGTGTCTAGTGTATGTCTTTATAGTATCATTTATCTTAATTTTGATCACATGTTCCTGTTTTCCTTCTGTTCTTGAACCATGCATTGCAGCACTGTAATGACAACGTCATACACAACCTAATGTATTCAGCCGTTCCAAATTGCTCAATTTGGAAAACGCCACAATAGATGTAAAAGTAAAATAGGTCATCTGAACTGATCAGAATCAACCTACAGTTAGTTTAGACACAAACATCAAAATAACAAATCGTCCCTGCAAACTCTGGCTTCTTCAGATATAAACCATACACCTTCCATATGTTACTTACATAACTGAGTAGTAGGAGTAGTATAAGTTAGTAGAGTCTGTGGTACTAGTCTGACTTGCTCCAGCTACAAATTGATGGGTGTTTAACATGATTCAATCTGTTGCAGTGAACCTTGAGGACCTTCAGGACCCTCTGGACCTGGAGGACCAAGTTGAGTTAGAGGTAGGTGGTCCTTGGTTTGTTTTTGGGTTAGGTATTGAAGCGGACTGGATCGTCGGGCCAGCTGATGAAGTTTGGGATTGGAGTGACGAGGAGGAGCACGAAGAGGAAGACGAAGATGAAGAGGATGAAGAGAGGGAAGTGCTGTTCCAAGAGGAAGAAAAGAGGGAAGAGCTGATCCAAGAGGACGAAGAGATGAGAGCGTTGCGCGAAGAGGAAGCACGTATAGAAGCACGTATAGAAGCAGCTTTAGTTCGTCTCTGGGCGACCGGGTGGATTCATCCTGCTCAAGCTTTGGAGCCAGAGGATCGCGTCCCGACCCCCCTTCCTCAGCCGCAAGCACCCAGCTCTCCTGCTGCTCCCTGTCCTCCTCCTATGGGTCCTGCTCTGGATTTCATTCCTCTCAGCAGACACAAGCGCTTGAGGGTTGAAGATGATGAAGAACAGGACCACCCTAGCTCCAAGCGGCCGTGCCTCTCCTCCTCCGACCCAGGCCCCACCACCTCCGACCTAGGCCCCACCACCTCCGACCTAGGCCCCACCACCTCCGACCCAGGCCCCACCAACTCCGACCCAGGCCCCTCCACCTCCGACCCAGGCCCCTCCACCTCCTCTGGAACGTCTGGACGCTTCAGGTTCCAGTACCACCACCTGCTCCAAGACTCGGAGTCGGACGAGGACTGAACTCAGCCTCTGAGACTCAGAGCTTGGCTCAGTGCGGCGATTTTTAACCACCTTCAACCACGCCCATCATCCAATTGATTTCTTGATTGATTTATTGATTGATTTCTTGATTTTTTTAAATGAATAGATTGAAGGTAAGGAATACTATGTAGGATTTCATAAAACAACAAACACTGGTGATAAGACATAACCTTTTCTTGTTGAGTTAACTGTAATTTTTATTCTCAATTCAAATCTGAGTACTGCAGTTTTCCAGAAATTCCTGTATAGTACACCTTATACTTTTTGATTTATACAGATTATATATATATATATATATATATAGTATATATATATATATATATATAATATATATATATATATATATATATATATATATATATATATATATATATATATATATAATGTGTTTCTCACCTTCCACGGTGGTAGGTCTCTCTCACCCTCATTCAGCTCAGGTCCTCTACCAGAGGCCTGGGAGCTTGAGAGTTCTGCGCAGTATCTTTGCTGTTCCCAGTACTGCACTTTTCTGGACTGAGATGTCCATTGTTTTTCCCGGTATCTGTTGAAGCCACTCTTCCAGTTTGGGGGTTACAGCCCCGAGTGCTCCGATCACCACAGGCACCACTGATGCCTTTACTTTCCAGGCTCTCTCCAGCTCCTCCTTGAGCCCCTGGTATTTCTCTAGCTTCTCGTGTTCCTTTTTCCTGATATTACCATCGCTTGGTATTGCGATGTCCACCACCACGGCTCTGCTCTGTTTCTTATCCACCACCACTATGTCTGGCTGGTTCGCCATCACCATTCTGTCAGTCTGTATCTGAAAGTCCCACAGGATCTTGGCTCGGTCATTCTCCACAACCTTTGGAGGTGTTTCCCACCTTGATCCTGGGGTTTCCAGCCCGTACTCTGCACAGATGTTTCTGTACACTATGCCCGCCACTTGGTTATGTCGCTCCATGTATGCTTTCCCTGCCAGCATCTTACACCCTGCAGTTATGTGCTGGACTGTCTCAGGAGCCTCTTTGCACAGTCTACACCGTGGGTCTTGTCTGGTGTGGTAGATCTGGGCCTCTATTGCTCGAGTGCCCAGGGCCTGCTCCTGAGCAGCCAGGATCAGTGCCTCTGTGCTGTCCTTCAGACCAGCCCTCTCAAGCCATTTGTAGGATTTCTTGATATCAGCCACTTCAGTTATATTCCGGTGGTACGCCCCATGTAGGGGTTTGTCCTGCCATGATGGTCCCTCCAGCACCTCTTCCTCTGGACCCCATTGTCTGAGACATTCTCTGAGCACCTCATCTGCCGGGGCCTTGTCCTTGATGTACTCAAGGAGCTTGGATGTTTCATCCTGGACAGTGGTTCCCACACTCACTAGTCCTCGGCCCCCTTCCTTCCGGCCTGCGTACAGTCTCAGGGTGCTGGATTTGGGATGGAACCCTTCATGCATGGTCAGGAGCTTTCGTGTCTTAACATCTGTGGTCTGTATCTCCTCCTTTGGCCAGCTTACAATCCCTGCAGGGTATCTGATCACTGGCAGGGCGTAGCTGTTGATTTCCTGCACCTTGTTCTTGCCATTGAGCTGGCTTCTAAGGACTTGCCTCACTCTTTGCAGGTATTTGGCCATAGCCGCTTTCCTTGTTGCCTCTTCAAGGTTGCCATTTGCTAGTGGGATACCAAGGTACTTGTAACTGTCCTCAACGTCTGCTATTGTTCCCTCTGGGAGTGACACCCCCTCTGTGTGGACTACCTTCCCTCTCTTTGTCACCATCCTGCTACATTTCTCAAGCCCGAATGACATCCCAATGTCTGTACTGTAGATCCTTGTGGTGTGGATCAGTGAGTCGATGTCTCGCTCACTCTTAGCGTACAGCTTGATGTCATCCATGTAGAGGAGGTGACTGATGGTGAGTCGGTATCCATAGCCAGTGCGGTCGATTATTTGGCTGAGGGGGTTCAGGCCTATGCAGAACAGTAGTGGGGACAGTGAGTCTCCTTGGTATATGCCACATTTGATGGACACATGTGCAAGTGGCTTCCCCTTGGCCCTTGGCTTCAAGGGTGGTTTTCCACAACCGCATCGAGTTCGCAATGAACGCCCTTAGAGTCCTGTTGATATTGTACAGCTTCAAGCACTCAGTGATCCATGTGTTGAGTCATAGTCAATCCAGGCAGTGCACAGGTTGGTCTTACGGGTTCTGCAGTCGCGGGCGACTGTTCGGTCAACCAGGAGTTGGTGTTTGGCTCCCC